TGACGGTCAAGTAATGGCCGGTGCGCTCCAGGTGAGCCACCTGCATGAAATAGCCGGAAAGCATGGCCTTTCTTATGTTGACGTAGTAGTCGCGGCTGTTGAAATCCGTGCTGCACATCCTCAGATTAAACCTTGACATTATCCTCACCAGCTGCTGCCTAACATTGTCTGCAGACTTCATTGCTCTATTGTTGACAAAGTTCTCGAAACACCAGTTTGGGTCTTCATCTGTCAAGTTCCCAGGTTTGGTAGGGTCAACTTAGTTGTCTTACACAGACATATAAGAGAAAAGCACAAGGTAGAGAGAAGAGATAACTCACTGTTTTGCTTGTAGGCGTGGTACACGTTTAGCAGCGTGAGGTGATCTCCATCAATGTGTCCAAACCTAGCTTTAGCTTCATCTGCTGCTTTTTGAGCCTCTCTAGGCCGGACAAAGCAATTCGGTACTAGAGAAACAATTGGTTTTATAACAGAATATGCCCATGGAAGAGGTCAGCAGATGCATAGAGGCGACAGAGACGATACCATTTGCTTGAGAGAATACTGAGAAACTGCAACTAAATGCATCAGCACTTACTTAGATATCCCCAACCATGGACATGGACATGGACAACCCAAACTAGTGACCTTGCTTATAACAACCTAACTCTAAGATTTAAGTCTAAGTGTCTAATGGCAAACACATACACAAATGGATTTCCTCATGCAGACACATGGCATGCTTGTATGCAGTGGATGTCCATGCACATAGACCAATTGCCCAAACAATATAGCAAAACAAAAAATTACCATGGCAAAGGACGTACCTGATAACATTGCAGAAACTGAAAGAATCTCATTGGAACAGTTGAACTCAGGGCTGACTATGAGCATCTTTGACATCTGTGGATCCAAGGGAAACTCACTCATGATCTCACCCGTCCTTGTCAAGTTACCTTCATCATCAAGTGCTCCCAAATAATTCAAAACCTCTAACGCCCTCATCAGTGTCTCAGGAGCAGGGGGATCCATGAAATCGAAGTGCACCAAGTCATCTATACCCAGCTTTTTCAATGCAAGGACAGTGTTAGCAAGGTTTGATCTCAGTATCTCAGGATATGTCTGCGGCTGCAGATCATTGTTGAAACTCCTCTCTGTGTAAAGCCTGAAACACTTTCCAGGCCGAGTTCTACCAGCACGACCTGATCTCTGGTGAGCACTTGCCTTTGATATTGGGGACACCAACAATGACTCAACACGGATCCGTGGGTTGTAGACTTTCTGCTTAGCGAAACCAGGGTCAATAACATAAACAATCCCATCAATGGTTAGAGATGTTTCAGCAATGTTGGTCGAGACGACAATCTTTCTGCCAGCAGGGCCACCTTCTGTTAAGGGCTCTGGTGCAGGGTCGAAAATCTTCTGCTGCATCGCAGGTGGGAGAGTAGAATACAACGGCACAACTTTGATAGGCCCCACTTGATCTCCAAGATTACTGACCTCTTTATTAATTTTACGGCAGGCATCTTCTATCTCCTCCTCTCCAGTTAAGAACACAAGGACATCTCCAGGTGGCTCGCACAAGTGAATCTGAACAACGGTCCTTATAGCAGCCTCGAGATAGTCCCTCTCAGGCTCCGGCGTATAGAAGATCTCCACTGGATGAAGCCTACCAGGGACTTTCATAAGAGGAGCACCGCTAAAGTATTCCTGAAACTTTTCAGCTTCCAAGGTCGCACTCATCACAACTAGCTTAAGGTCAGGTCTATTCCTCAAGACCTCTTTCAGAAGACCAAACAGCACATCCGTGGCCAGAGTTCTTTCATGAGCTTCGTCGAGGATAATAACTTTGTATCTCTCTAGAAGCGGGTCCGCCATTGCCTCTCTCAGCAGCATACCATCAGTCAGATACCTGCAATGGTGAGCGAGAAAGGTTAAGATCAGATCACAACATAAACGTTAAAATGAGAAGCAAAGCCACCAAAAGGAAAGACAAACACTCACTTAAGCATGGTACGAGAGCTACTACAGTCCTCGAAACGGATGCTGTAACCGACTTCTTCTCCAATGGTCACATCCATTTCATCAGCAACACGACGAGACACAGACATTGCAGCAACTCTACGAGGCTGCGTGCAGCCGATCAACCATTTCTTACGCGTATCTGTGTTCTCAGCCACCACGGCATCTAAAACAAACTGTGGAATCTGTACAATAAAACAGCCTTCTACTGTTACATTCCTATGTTCGAGCACACTAAAACCAAAATTGCTGATGAACATTATCATTTTCAAATGAGCAAGATCAATAATTGAGAGCTGAAAATCTCGCCTGTGTAGTTTTGCCACTCCCAGTTTCGCCGACGAGTATGAGCGTCTGATTAGAGTGCAAAGTCCGAAGAAACTCATCTTTCTGCAGCCAAACCGGAAGATCCTTCCTCTTCTCCAGGATCTCAAAATACCTCTGCGAGTAAGCCTTTCCGTTCCATTTGTTGATCAGATCGCTGACACCTGCCGCAGCTCCGAGACCGTTGGATTTGGTGTTCTTCGCCGAAAGTGATGGATCTTCCATAACATCGAACAAACTAACCTTCCGTTTTCTCTCCGTACCCATGACGAACGAACGAACGAGAATAGCAGGCGGAGAAACGAAAGCTAGGGTTTGTGGCGCGAGGACAGACTTTACAGGCAGACGATAAAGTTCATCTAATTTACAACTGTAATCCCTCATCTTTCCAGTATTGTCTTAGGGACCAAGGCCCGTCAAGTTTTAATTGGGCTGAAATTCTACTCAATATGTAGTCAACGTTTTAAGTGGCTTGGCCCATGGGTGGCCTATTTTTTCAAATTCATCCATCTTAGTCGAGGCCGATTCCCTTATTTAGGAAATATATTTCTTGACAAATGTCAAATTTAAATAAATTTAAAGATACCAGGAGATGAAGATGAAGATGAAATGGGTTCATGCGCTGTGTTTTTTTTCAAGATCAGGAGTACAGTACAATACATATCTATTGAAACAACTTGTTCATAAAAGGTCTGTGGTAATGAACATTTGCTTCTCTTTGTTAAGAGTGTACGAGACTTGAGGTATACAGGAAGTTAATTTCGTCACTGCTATTGCTTTCTTGCAGCTTTAGATTGGTAGAAAATGTGTTATGAGTAGAAACTGCTTCGAGACTTTCGAGGGACCAGTTGGGTTACTAAACGAGAAAAGTTTGTAAGTTGTTGAACCAGTGGGTCTCTTTAAGTTTGTATTTTAGTTCATTTACTTTTGAAGCCATCAAGTGTTGAGGTACTTTTGCTTTCGGTTGCAGTCGTGGCATTGTTTGGAACAATGATTATGTACCTTTGGTTACAGGATTATCACTCACCGTTAAGGTCAATACAGACATACTAAAGCCAATGGCGTTGCCATGCACTCACTAGACAAAAAGACAAAAAAGTAGTATTACCTCATAAGATTGTTTCTTTCTTTCTTTCTTTTTTGCTTCCTTGTTCGGTTCTATTGAACATTTTTTTCAGTCACACACATGGCCGCAAAAGTATCAAAAAAAGTGAATTTGCATGGTAACTTGTTTCCCTGCTTTTTACTTTTTGATTATTTGTTTGTGGGATTTGGTTTTTTTACCTTTTTCCAACAAATCCGTGCACTTAAAGCAATACACAAACGTTGATTGTTATCGCTGATTCGCTATTTCTCAAAACCACTTAAGGATTTGCCAAATTGGTATCATGCGTTGGTTTCACGTACGGTTCAATTGGGTTAAGGCAAAAGAGAAAGGAAATTGCACTGGCGTTTACATACAAATGTTAAAAATTTCAATTCAAAAGACACATTTTGTTTTTTTGTTTTTTCTCAAGCACAGATGATTTTGTACTATTAATTTATAATTTTGTAAAGTTTTTCGATACATAAACGCATATGAAAGAAATACAGTCGTATATACTTAGGCACAAAAAAAAAGGATATAACAAAACAGTCTCATCAAATATTGTACTAGAAGACTGTAGTAGTATGTCACATAAATTTATTGAAAGCGTCCTTAAGTAAGAGAATGGGACTCTAATCTAAACACGTTTATATTAACCAGAATAGGAGACTATTCGAGTCTTCATCACATGTCATTGTTTTTCAAATGTAGAAAACATTTGTGAAGTGAGTGTCCAATTTTTTTCCTCTTATTTTCGTTTTCGATTTTAAATTTTGAAAAAGGTAAATAAAAATAGCAAACGACATAATACAGTGCACACGTCTTTTTCTTCACCGTAGTGTAATCATGATTCATGAAACAGCAAGAAGAACAAAAGCAGTAAATAAAATAAAATTTAAATAGATAAAACCACGAACGTCAATCAAAACATAGAAAAGAGTAGGTAGAAGAAGTAGTTGAGTTTATGCTTCCAGTTTCGCATTAACTTCCTCTTTGATTATCTCGCTTAATTGAAAACTAGCTAAGTTTTTTAGATTCCAAGACAAGAACTTAAGCAAGGCAAAAGTAATCACAAAAGAAATATTAATTGACCCTGTCTTTGAATAGAGATAGAGTAACCTGAAACCCTAGAACGCATTAGAACCGTATATTTGATTTTTACTTTTTATTTAAAATTACAAACTACAAAGCCTATCTATGAACATAGAGTTCATGCAAAGCACTTACACTACCAAATTTTGAAAAGACGACCATTATTATATAGACTGTGATCGGTAGTTTACAAAATAATTATGCAATTTAGAAGTTTTTGCGAGTTATAATATTTACAAAATTTCTGATTCATGTTTAATGCTAACTACGCCAGTAGCCTACCAATGTTAGTATGTTACCATAGCTAGTTATTTCGTTTCGTTATAATTAAACTTTTCCTGGCTAGTAATTATTCCATGGTTTCATCGATGAAAATCATCAGTGCCTCAGATGAAAATGAAACACCTCTCTCATGAGAACCAAAGATTAGACAATTTTACAAATAAAACCTAGAGTAAATACTAAAAATTACAATACTATCCAAGAATAAACTATACTACTCTTCCTTCAACATATGAGACGGGACAACATCCTGAAGAAGTCCATTATCTTGAACCAAACCTCCACTCTTCTTCACATGATCATCGTCACCAAATCCACTTGCGTGGCTATTAAGGTACTCGCTAACTCCTCCAAAACAAGACACCAGTTCTTGTTGTTGCTGTAGGTGGTGGTAATTGACAAGTTGTTGGAATTCAGGAGAGATTAATGTTGAGCTCTCTATAGGAAACCCGAAGTTACCGAGATTTGAAGCAACTCCTGATGATCCGAAGAAGCCTCCAGTGGAAATTGGACGAGACGTGAGTGGACTAATGTGTGTGTGTTGACCTTCGTAGGTTGTAACCACAGTGCTAGGATCTCTGAATGATCTCTCCACTCTCTTCTTTACGTTACATGAAGCCGTTGTGCAACGGTAGTAACTCCTGCAAGCGAAACACCATTGCGTGTACCAAATTAGGTTACTTTTTTTTTTTTTTATCAATCTTTCTTTTGAATTGGAAATTGTGATTGCAAAGGGAAAAGTTGTCATTTAGGTTTCATGTTTGTATTTTATAACTTTTGAATGATGTTGCGTTACGAAAGTTTCAAGCTTTCCTTAATTTTACAATATTAATAAAGTGGTTTTAATTAACACACAAACATTTAGAAACAATCGGACACTAAATCCCACAACATTAAACATAATGCATGTCCTAAAGAAAATCAGAGGATTATTATTAATGTATTTTTAAGCCTATTACTGCTCGATGTAATTTTAGTTAATGGAGACGTATAAACAGAAAAGAGAAAACAAAAGCATGGTCAAAGGATGGATTTTTTACCTGGGAAAAGGACTGTTTTTGACAGCTTTTTGACCATATTTTCTCCATCGATAACCATCTTCGAGATGATCAACCTCACTCTTTGTCATGAACGCTACTCTTGCCTCTCTCTGTCTCTTCTGGTTATTCTTCTTTGGTTTCAACCTGTTCATACAAAAAAAAAAGCATTTTACTTTATGATACCATTTTCTCTCTGAGTCTTTTTCTCGAACAGCTTCCGCACATTGAAAAAAAAATATGTGAAAATCAAGAAGACAGAATGGATCTCTCACTGTTTATTAGTAACACTCTTCTTCTGCTCCTGTTCATCTTCTTCTTCGTCGTCTCTTTTGGCTTTCTCTTCATTTACAGCCTCGCTTGAGGCCGACGAAATCGACGACGAGTTAGGAGTCGCCGGTGGATTCATCAGCAAATGTTCTGAACAGAAAGATTCCACCTTTGACGTCACTGGTTTATCCGCCGTAGTGTTTGACGGTGGAGCTTGAAGGATAGTTGAAACAGAAGAAGACAGTTTCACCGATGATTGCGTTTGCGTTAGCGTTTGCGGTTGGGGCGTTTCGAGGAGGAAGGAATGAGGAAAAGGAGTTGTAGCAAAGTCCTGAAGCTGATGATGTTGCTGCGAACCTAACAACTCCATAAACCCTAAGGAATTCCTCTCGGCCGCCGCGAAATCTCCGAAATCCCAAACGCTTTGCGACGACGGGTGATAAAAGCTCGTCTTCGAGAAATCCGTAAACTCCATGTTGTTCTTCTCTCTCTTCCCCGGAAAATAAATCAAAACCAATCAAACACTGAAACAGAGTGATCGCACCAAAACAGAGATGGACGCGAAGAAAAAGAAACAAATACAGAAGATCGATCCTTCGATTGATAAGTGAAGCGAGAAGAAGACGAGAGAGAGAGAGAGAGAGGCGATGAGAAAGGGAGAGTTTTTAGGGTTAAAGAAGAGGAGAGAGTGAGAGAGATTTGGCTTAGAGAGGAAAGAGAGATAATTATTGTCGAAGGATTTGATATTTGTCACACTGTGTTAAATGGGGGGTGGTGGATTTTATGCTGACCGGCAGTAGTAGGTTGTTATACAGTACGGAAAAGTTACAGTAACCGGTCACCGACCAAGTCTTTTCAAAATTGTAGTCACTGGTCAACGCGCAAGTGTACGCTTTCATACGCCTGGTTTTGACTGGTTCGATTATTAACCGGTTTTTACGCGCTAGTGTGAACGAGGACGAAAATAATTACTAGTTTTGTTGCTAAAACTAAAAAATTTCTTTTTAATAAAAAAGAGAGCCTCGAGTGCATGGGAATATCAATTAATGTGAACGCGAAAGCTTGGTTTTTCTTTAAAAAAGACTCGCCCTTTAAATTTCTTTTAAATATCTTATAAATATAGATAGATATCTCACCGATGAGATTTCTCAAGCCATATGAGACATTTGTGGGCGGTGAGACCATTGTCCGTGAATATTTATTCCGACCACAATTATAAGCGGTCACGTAAAAGGAGATTAAGACAACTATATATCATAAATCAAAATATTTAAAGTTCTGAATGTGTAGTATTGTTTCGGGGTATATATCTAGACGAAGATTAATTGTAAATTTGTAAATAAAACAATTTAATTTGCCAACGTTACATGATGTACTTCAACATTAATTGATTCTTCTTTCTTTTATTTATCAGAAAAGAAGCACGTATAGGTGATTAATAAATAAATAAATAAACAAACTTAAGTGGTGGAAAATAAGATATGCATCAAATTATATCAATATATATATATGTCATATATACATAGAAAAGGCCGAATTTAATGGACCGTGTTCACATTACCTTTTGTCTTTTGGAATGTGATTTATACCCAAAAAAAAAAAAATATCTGATGAAAGCCTGCTGCGCAGGTATAATATTCTTTTTTTCTTCTGTACAACTTCTTGTGATCGAATTAATGCCATGTTAACAAGAACAACAAATATTCAGTATCACGAAACAAATCAAATAACGATAGCGTGTAAAACACTAATATAAAGTTCCTAAAGAATACAATTTCTTTCTTGCTCAAAACAGCATAAAAACTCTAATATAAAGTTACATACAGTGTGCATATATATAGTATATTTGTAATTGGAATCTACAAAACCCTATATAGGTTAATATATGTATATATACACTCTTTCAAAAAATGTATATAATGTAATATAACATATGTAGTTCAGTCATGGGCACGAACCTAACTATATAGATTGGATTTTGCCTAGTTCCGAAAAAAATGAAATTAACTTATAATTAACTTAATAATAAACTTGACAACATAAATATTTTAGAGTCATGATTGTTATTTATAAATCCCATGACAGATCCACAAATCCGTTGGATTTTCTAATCACGTCGTTTATAAAGACGAGCGAATTTGTTTGTTTTTTTTTACATTCGTAGCACCAATTATTGGTGTGCCCTGTATATCTACTACATACATGAATCTATGATATAGTGAGAGATTTATATAATTTGATTAAAAAATATTACTATTATCAAACTATTAATGCAGTTTTAAATAAAAATCCGTGGACCCAAAGCAAATCCGAAATAGATTAAAGTTAAGGGCCCAGATTTATATAACTCCTGCATGCCTCATGAATTTTTATAAAAATCAGAGCGGTGATCCCGATGGCAAAAACAAAAAGATAAAGGTAACAAAAGTCAAGATTTGAATTTCTCTTTTTGTTTCTTTACCGATTTTCTAAACAGAAATTTGCTTTATCCTTTTGAATTTTTTTACCTCGGCTTTGTACATTATATTTAGAATTAACTAAGAAAAAATAAGAAGAAGAAGAAGCATGCACGTGTGGTGTACCATGGGAGAAGAAATGAGAGGACCCACTCCCGTATAATTTGCTTGCAAACTTAGCTCTCCTTTTGCATGCTTCCATGATTTTGTTTTCCCCCTTTTTTTGGTAACCCATTTTGGTTTTCATTTTATAAATTTATTGAATTCGACCCCGGTGCATCATTTGATGTAGCCTAAGTAAAATATGGTATTTGTAGTAACTAAAACATTTCTGTTGTGTCGCATTTTTTTATTTTGAGTTTGTTGTGAATTTGTAAATTTTTGTAGTGAAAAAGTAAAAAAAAAAAAATGGGGGGAAAGGGTCTCAATCAATGGTCGGCCGTGGGCCAAAAGACGCGCGGCTCGGTGTTAGCGTCGGGTTGCGCACATCAAGGGTGGCGTATGTTAGTCCTACGTTTGCAAATATTACACGTGTCTTGTTTTGTCGGCTTATGGGTCCCATCCCCTAAAGAGTCCACCTGGCACCTTCTCAAATCCAAGCTTTCATTTTACTTCTTGTTCATTCGTGCCGTTAGATTACGAGCAAGGATAAATTATTTGTTTTTGAAGAAAATTATCTCCTAACTTTTACTACTTATTTGTTTCGATAAATTTATTTGCTATTTCATGCACATAAATTTAAGATGGACGTGAAAGTAAAGGCTCGAACGTGCAAAAGAAGATGGTTGAAAATAAATAGGATGATAGAAAAGGTAGGGATTCGTATCACCGAAGGATAAAGAAAAATAATTATTTATTTATATTTTCTACTAGGTTGCTTCTTGGATACATTTAGGATCTAAAAAAAAAAACGTAGTGGATTAATATTAATAGGAAAACAAAAGTTCGTGGAAGTTTATAAGGAAAAAAAAAAAAAAGAAAAAGCTAGAAGAAAGGAGATACGAACGCAAACAAAATAAATGGATTTCACTCCGGTCAAGAGTCACGGGTCACAGGGTAACGAGACTTCCACTATACTACATACACAATGCTGCGACGATTCATAAAACAATAGTTTAGTACCCTAGGATTATTAAATATACACAATGTAGTCAAATATTTGAAATGTGACGTTCCACTATACGAACACGTATGTATATTTTAACATTAATATACACACCCTTACACACACAAAGACAAAATTGGTGTTTTGATACGCATGGTATCGCAAATTTATGGATGGTTTTTCTAATATATCTCCATTTCGACACGGATGTCTCTCAACCCTTTTTCTTCCTTACTGATATTTTAAAATATTTCAAAAATTAAGAGAAAAAAACATATATTTGAGTTTTAGTTATAATGTACAGGCTAAGCTATTATAGAGTTGTATGTAGTTTCAACTGGATATTAAAATGTAATTTAGATCGTAAGTGTAATCAATTTACGTCAAATAAATTGTTTTTGTGTGAGTGTTTTATATATCCAAATATGTTCCCTACCAAGAGAAAACCTTCTACTATAGTGTCTATATGAGCTGAGGAGGCCTGAATCAAGGGATACTTCACGTTGTTTCTTTATTGGATACTTATGTCTCGTGAATGCACAAGTAGCAATCAAATCCCTAATTACATGCCTTTTTGTTAGTTTAATTGAAAAGAATACACAAACGCAGTTCGTATCTCATGTGTTGACCCACTTACGATTTTTTTGTTTCCAATACTAAAATGAAGCCGTGGATGAGTTAAAAACATAAATAATTAATTAATAACCGTTGCGTTGGTATTTGCACATGGTGTAAGTCAAAGTAAACGCATTTTGGGATCTTATTTTATTTATTAATCGCCGCATCAAACATGATGCCGGTTAATATAAATCCTGTCTGATGGTAGCTAGTCATTAATATCATTTTATTACTAGTACATGTATAATTTTTTTATCTCCAACGAAACACGTAACTTCAAAATATACTATGTTTAAATTACGTATTATGTATCTTACAAAATTTACTAGTTATTAATTTACCCGTTCCGTTATCTCTAATAGCGGGGAAAAAATGGAAAACGTATTTAACCATAGAAATAAACTATTGAAAAGTAATCGAACTATATAAATGGACGGTTTCCATTACATGGACCCAAACGTTGTTATGTTAAGTCGTGGCCTCCACACTTACAAAGCCCAACGTTAAACGTTCTTCTCTCAACATTCGTCTTTGGTTATATTGGTAAAACACTTTGTTTTGGCCTCCCAACATCTGTATGTCTCTAACTGAAATACATAATTTTCATAGATTTTGTTTATAAAACCTTTTTTTTTTTGCAATTTATAAATCTAGACACCTCTTACAACAAATTTTAGTTTTTTACAATTCTTCGTCATTTGTTCATGACTGCGCATAACATCTACTCCCATGGAATGGAACAGTTATCGAATTATATATATATTTTCAGAATTTTGTTCCCCAAAACATCATTATATCGTAAATTTGTGTTTGCGGAACATACATCAGCAATGTAAACCAACCTTTTTTCTATATAGCACAACAGAGGACAATCACACATGATAATAATAATAATAAAACACGGACAAATAAAAACTAAAACACGTATCATAATATGATGATAATAATGATTAAAATACCCAGCAAGATTTACAAAAAGTATATATATTAAGGTCATTTTTATACACAATCAGTTTCGGTCAAAACCTGAACCATTGTCTGCATAACTCTCACTTTCATTTCCAAAGCCAAAATATAATCCGCAGTTTGTCTAAAGAGTCCATCCAAACCTTCTGATGATTTGGTGTTGGGAACAAGCTCTTTTAGTGTCTTGACTCGTCTATGAATCGCACGACATGGTCTTCTAGAAGCTTCTAGACTCTTCTTTGGTCGGATCATGATCTTCTTCACAAGTGCCCTTCGAGCTCTTTGTCTTCTCATCAAAACCCAGATTGATTCCTTTCTTTGTCCTAATTCTAATGTTACTCCCATACTAAATAGTCTTTGTGGTTAATTATGTGGTGAAAGAATGTTGTATAGACAAGAACTCTTAAAGATGATATAATATGATGCAGATATGAGATGGCCTTCGTTTATATAGACATAGATAAAGTTTTGTGACCTTTAGATATAACTTAAAATGGAGATTACAGCTGCTGAGAAGGTTCTCTTTTCTATCCCAAAATAATTGGATGCTATTAGGACAAGTGTCCACAAGAGTGTCTTGTTTTTTGTTTTTAAAATGTTGTTATCGATGGATAATTAGGGCTTAGGTTAGATTAGAGGATATGTCATCAAAATACAACTCAATGCACATGCACTCACATGATTGTCATCATCACCCAACTCTCCTACATGCTTAAACACCAACTTTCTTCCCATTCACATCACCATAAACACCCTGTCTTATTCCTTCTTTGTTGCGATTTATAATTTTCTTATATATATATATATATATATATATATATTTGCAGCCAATTAGTTCGAGTTTACCAAAGTCGGACAGATCAACGTTAAGAATGTAGTTTTATATGCTTTAATAATTCTATATTAAATTCTAATATAACTTACAAACAATATATTAAAAAGGCGGTGGCTGAAATATATAAGTTGATAAGATGGAAAATCAAAAATATTATGGATTTTGTGTATGTTTCTTTCCGAGTTTAAGAAACTCAGAACAACTATAGATTTTATATGAAGCTCTTCCATTTTGTTGTTTGTCTGATTCATTAAATATTTTAGAACCATACACATATCAAATCAATTTGTTCTGAATTTGCATTTAGTTTGGATTGATCTTTATATTGATAGACATGATAAAATATGAGTAATTGGTTGTCACAATGCTTTTGCTTTTATCGAGTCCTTGTATCTCATTATTTCCAGCTGATATAATCCGGCGCAACTAATGATAAAATTACAAAAGCACTCTCCGATTAGTTTAGGTGTTTTATTTTTGTAGACAAAGTAGATAACGATGTTGGGAAATGGGATAAGGTTTTAATCAAAAAAGACATAAGAACATGCGAATATCTTCAATGTTTCTTTGAATTTGTGGACTTAATATTTATGGAATTTTATTTTAGTGAGTTGATTTGATTGAAACGCATCTTTAAGATTATTATGTTCTTTGCTCGTCATGTGTTTGTGTGTTTTCCTATTATTTTATAAAAGAAAGAAGAAAAAAAGGAAGAAAAAGAAGAAGCAGATTCGTGGAGGGATGTTGATCAGACATCCTAGGAGACTAATAGATTCAATGTATCTCCCCATCGCCGTCAACACGAAACGTTGTACTTAATAATTGATCTCTTAGACAGATATGTACGTCTAATAACATATAATTAGCTTAACACTAGCATGATTGAACAGTGTACTATGTGTATATAACTTATGGGTTTGAAGGTAACGTGAAAAGTACCAAACTTAATGAAGGTAGGATTATATAAATGAAGTAGCCATGATGGAAAGTTTAGTGGTCGAAATTGATCGCTTGTTAGCACGTTGTTTTATGTATATAATAAGCTCAACGTGAATGCACATGTTCTTATATCCTCCTATTCGTCTAGGCCATCCAAAATGAAATACCAAATTCATTTTTTTATTTTTTTTAAAGAAAAGCAAAAAGGCCAAAAACTATTAGACCGAATAACAGCACTGTGACTACTGGGCCAAAGTTAGGAATAATAGTTGGGTATAAGGCCCATTTATTATAATGAGGTTAAAAGTTGGCCCACATAAACCTGATACTTCTTCGATAACTAATTCTGTCGACGATAAAAAAAAAAAAAATTAGGTCTAGGAGGAGCTGATAAGAAGGAAGCTCTCTCTCTTTCTACTTTTGCGTCGGCGAGAAAAGTCTATTCTGGAAAAGATGGCGATTGCATAAGAAGAGTCATATTACATGTTTTGTGCGTGAATCTAATTCGAAAGCTTATGTAGCAGATTGTCAAATCCGATATTTGTTGTTGGATTAGATTCACGCACAAACTCGTAATCTGTCTTTTCAAATTTCTTTAGATCTGTGTTCGTTTTGAACTCGAGGAATCAAATTTTTGTTACAAGGTCTTCGATGTTGTTTAATTGCGTCAAGATCTACCTTTCTACTTTCGGGAAAAACAGTTTTTTTTTTTTTAATTACTCGATTTCTGTTACCAATTTTGGTTTTTTACCATGTTTGGTATGAATAGATTGGCGAGCCATGGGAATATCAATCACAATAATAATCGCTATTTATGTATACTGTACGAAAGTTTCAAACAACTCGTCCCTTATGACATGGAATCTTTACTTTAGTAACAAGTTTTGTGGATCTCTGATTGCACAATGCTTTTTAATTTGCTTTTTTTAGAGAAACTCACTTCCCTCGCATAGGCATTTGCAGAGTCTTTACTAGCTTAGACCATTTATTGTTCAAGTACAGATTAATAATATTGAGTAAATGCGTGGTTGCTGTTCATAACTAGGGTTGGTAAGTTTAGTGACAAAAAAAGTAGATTAATAATCTTGAGGAAAAGTGTGAACGTTAACTTTTTGTTTGTATTCTTCTAATAAAGTTATCTTTTCAAGTGCTCTGTTTTACTTTCAAGTACTATTTGTAATACAGTTTTTACTCTGGTCAAGTTCAATAATGTAATTTGTTATACAGTTTTTAGTCAACAGATGGTCTGGGAAGATCTTTGTCAATAATGAGATGTTCTTAAATAATTCTTCTTGTTGTACGTATTACGTTGCATATAACTGAATAGACAAAATAAGTAATTGTGCTAAACTTAATTGACCAAGAAAATTAGTACTTGTTTAATTTGTACCTCGTTTTTTTTTTCAACACTAACTCTTGATTTGTATTTTAAGTGATTTTGTCGAAGATTACTACTTGTAAGTATAAAATTTTAAAGTATTTCTAAAATACAAGTGTTAAGAGTAATAAAATGAATACTGATTAGTGGAAAAAATAAGTGAAACAATTTTATGTTCAACTTGTTTTTGTTTTGTAGAGTATAATTTTAAAAGGAATAAAGTTTATTTCTCTACATTAAGTAAAACTCAATTTAATTTGGAGTAACAGTCATTCACTTTTAATGGTTGAATTCTTCTAATATGCAATTTCTCCCATTTTTGTTCTTTTAGAGTGTCAACCATTTGCATCCTTAGTTTAGAGTTTTAGGGGGTGTATTGAAATCTGAAAGAATCTAGAATGATTTGAGTTTTTAGATGATTTTGGGTAAATTAAGGAATTTGTTATAATTTGTTATTAAAAATCTATGAAATCCTATCTAAATGTATGAGATTTGGTTTTTAAAATTTTTTGACTAACAAACTCTACCAAAACCACTTAAAACCACCCGAAATCTTATTAAATCCACTATTTAAAATATTTCTAATAACAGTGGATTTGATTTAGTTTTTATAAATTCTTGATTGAATAACATAAGAATGCAAATGATTTTAATTAGTTTTATATAAATTTCATGTTTAATAACATATGATTTTGTAAGACATTTAGAAATCATTAAGGAGAGTGTATTGAAACTAAAATTTTAGAGAATTTGAAAAAATTTGAGTCTTAATGAAATTTTAGATGATATTATGTGGATTGAGAAAGTTGATATGATTTGATATTAAAATTATATGAAATCCCATCTAAAACAATGAGATTTGAGTTTCTATATTTTTAACTAACAAACTCCACCAAATTATTTAAAAGTACTCAATATTTTTTAAAATCCACTATTTAAAATATTTCTAATAACAGTGGATTTGATTTAGTTTTTATAAATTGTTGATTGAATAACATAGATTTTTAAATGACTTTAGTTAATTTACATAAATTATATGTTCAATAACATCAATTTTGGTAAAACATTTATAAATCATTAATTCAATAACAGAGATTTTTAAAACAACCATCAAAAATCTTCTAAAATTCTTAATCCAATACACCCCTCTAATTGAATAACATAAGATTTTAAAATAGTCACAAAATCTTCTGAAATTCGTAATTCTTAATCATTAAAGAAAAACCCATAAAGAGTCAATTTACAGTAACAACAAAATGGTAAGAAAAACAAAGTAGTTGACTGTTCCTCTGATCCTCTCTCTGACTAATTAAATTTCACACTATAAAACGACGTTTAACGGAGTAAGAATTAGCATGCCACACCATAACACTACACCTTAAAACTAAACACGCAATTGATGCCTTGTTCATTGTTTTTCATAATATATTTCTAATACAAAAAAAATGAAAGGAGTGACATTTTATAGTTTCTGTTACCATAATTACTACATCGTGTGTCTAATGGTGATCATATTGGTGAACGAATCTCATCAACATTTACATGGAATCTCCACCCAAATAGCTAACACCATAACCGTCGATCTTAACGGCGAGGGAAACTACAAAACGGTTCAAAGTGCGATCGATTCAATCCCTCTTCAAAACCAGAACTGGATTCGTATTCTCATAAAAGAGGGCGTTTACATGTAATGAGTACATATTTTAGTGTTTCCTTTTCCCACTATTTAATATGATTTTAATTAAATTGTCACGTTTGCTTAATGTTGAAATACGAGTTAACGAAGTTTTAATGTAATAATATTGTAGAGAGAATGTAACAATACCAATAGGTAAAGGATACATATATCTGCAAGGCGCAGGAATTGAGAAGACGACAATAGCTTACGACGATCATCAACTCACCAACACTAGCTCCACTTTCACTTCCTATCCTGACAATATCATTATCTCTGGAATAACTTTTAAAGTACGTCTTTCTTTTTCTAATTTGTCATATAATATCATAAATACATTATTTATTGGTTATAATTTTAGAAGGAAGTATTTTTTTAATTAGTGTGGATCTATAACTTTTGTGTGCAGAATACGTATAATATCGGATTGATAACTTCTTCAAACAGACCGATTAAACCGGCGGTGGCGGCGATGTTGCTTGGAGACAAATACGTAGTGATGGATTCTAGTTTTGATGGTTTTCAAGATACATTGTTTGACTGTTTCGGCAGACATTACTACAGCAGATGTGTTATTTCCGGTGGCATCGATTTCATTTTCGGTTCTGCTCAATCCCTTTTCGAGGTATATCTACAAATTCATATATATGCTATAAACCTATTTATAATATTTTTTCCCCGTAAAAGTGGTATAAGTATAGTGGATATGTTTTATCTTGCATCGACCGCTTATATATTTGTGTTATTACTTCACAATGCAAGAACTATAGAAACATACAAATTTAAAGAAAAATAAAAATTGTAGGAAAAAAAGAGAACGTTTTGTATGTACTTCATCGATTTTATAGTGTAAAGTATAATAAGAAATACATGTGCTAACAAAGTAAGTAATGGTGAATGTAACAAAAAATAGGGATGTACGTTAAATTTAACGTTGGGAATCTACGCACCGGAGAGAATGTACGGAACAATAACAGCGCAAGGAAGGGAATCGCCGGAAGATAACGGAGGGTTCGTGTTCAAAGGCTGCACCATTACCGGAAACGGCAAAACGTTACTTGGGCGAGCGTGGAAACCTTACGCACGTGTCATCTTTTATAGTTCAACGTTTAGTGACGTAGTTTTGCCAATTGGTTGGGATGCTTGGACAGCTAAAGGCCAAGAGTATATACATAATCTCTTCTCTCTCTTTTTTTTGTTTTTCTTCACATTTTAAATATGTTACTTTTGTATGATTATAAACTTTTGTTTGTTTATTAGGAGCCATACAACGTTCGTGGAGTATGGTTGCAGCGGAAGTGGAGCTGACACGTCGCAAAGAGTGCCATGGATGAAGAAAGCGAGTGCAATAAACATTGTTAGCTTCACCGATATTTCCTTTATTAACCAGGAAGGTTGGATTAATAAGCTCCCTGTCAAAATTTAAGATGAATCACATCAGTACTATAGTTAGTGATAATAAAAGTTTTGGTATATGTACTGTTTTTCCTTTTTACTTGTTATGAATGAAATCGAAGTTTGCAGTTTATATTAAAACAAACATACAATTTCAATTTTGGTTTGATGTGAAACGAAAAAACCAAAATCCCATTTACAGTAACCAACCTGCAAAGAGGCAAAGAGCTCATATGCATCAAAGTAGTAATAAACTGTGCCATCTCTCACAGACAAGTCAAATCGTGATCACATTTCGGATTTCGACCCAATAGCCCAGAACGGTGACGTTTTAGTAGTCAAATTTTTATTTAACCGAACCACATCGATAATCACAGTTCCGGTACGGGAAACCCCCTAAGACTGACTCTATCTCTCGCCTCTCTCTCTCTATACCGGCGCCGGAGAATTTTCCCGATCATTCAATCTGAGACTAGTGCGACGAGTTCGGTTTATCGAGTCAAAGAAAGGGGTTTTAGATGGAGAGACGCGTCGGGAACGCCTTCCCCGGTCAACCACCGCCACCAGTTCCGTACTATCATAACAACAACAACTACAACCCTCACCATCACCAGATTCATCCGCCTCACCACCATATCGCCGCCGTTGGATTCCACCAATACCCCCAAAACGACAACAGAGATCAGCGTTTCAACCAGCCGCATTTTGATAACCATTACCCCGCCCAACAACAACAACAACAGCACAATATGATCGTTGACGCTCCGCCGTTTCCACCGACTAGTGGCTTTAGTCCTTCTCCTGTCAGCTTAAGGAAGAGACGCTCTCTGTCCTCTACCCCAGGTTCTCTCCAATTTTTGATTTTTTTATTTCTTTCCTTCTCTCTGCTTCATTACTAGACTAAAAAAAGGTTTAAACTTTTAGTGATTCACCATTACCAAAATACTCCTTTAACTACTTTCTTTTCGTTCTTGTTTTTGTGTTTACGAAGATCCTAGTGCTGCTGATGGTAGTATTGCCAAGTTATATGTTGCGCCGGTCCCGAAGACAGCAACTGAAGAAGATGTGAGTTTCTTGGCTTACTATTATCGTTTTATGAAAATGTTTTCCAATGAGATTCTGTGTCACACAATCTGTGTTATATATATCAGGTCCGTCAGGTGTTTGAAAAATATGGCAATGTCACGGAGATCATTCTTCCCAAAGATAAGAATACCTGTGAACGAGCAGGTGACTTACAATTACTTGAAAAGCATACTCTTTTTACTGCTCTTCACTGATGTTCTTGCTTCTCGTTGTTGCTTATAACATCCTCTATGTATAATGTATGTAACAGCTTACTGTTTTGTAAAGTACAAAAAGTTAGAAGAGGGTAGTGCCGCTATTGCAGCTTTAACGGATCAGTACACCTTTCCTGGGGTGGGTCTTTGCTGCAATGCTCTCTTTTCACAACATTTACTCCACTGATGCGTGATTCTTTACAAAAGTTTATTTCTTTTTCATTGTTTCAGGAAATGGCTCCAGTCAAGGTCAGATATGCCGACGCAGAACGTGAACGGGTTGGTAAGACTCTGCCTTTCATACTCTTAGATAGAAACATGCTTGATAGTTTATTAGTATGGGAACTCTTGAACTTTTGAATAACTTAGTTAGTCTTTGCTTTCTCATGCCTTCATCTGCTTCTCGTTCTCCCCCCTTTTCTTAATAGAGAGAAGATGCAACTTTCACGAGTTCCTGAGTACGAAAGATATTCTCTTCTTTTTTCTCATATGTGTATTCTCTTTTCATCTGGACCTTAGGGTTGCCAACAGCTCAAACTCCAGAGAAACTCTATGTTAGATGCCTCAACAAACAAACAACAAAAATGGATGTCCATGAGGTATGGCGGGAGTCCTTTGACGTTTTTTATTTTCAGTTAATCTGAATTCTTTTGTCACTGACAATTGACTGAACTGTGTGGAAAATTTTGTTTTTCTTTAAGTTTATACTCTGCTATACTCTCCCTGGCTTCGTTTTAATGTTAATGAAGTCTCAAAGTGTACTCTTGTCAGGTATTTTCTAGGTACGGAATCATTGAAGATATTTATATGGCACTCGATGACATGAAGATTAGCCGTGGTATGTCTTTTTGGTGCTTGACTTTGTAATCATGATTCTTTCAGACATCCTAGTGTGAATTGCTCGGATTTGCATGAAACCTGATTATAACCAACTTCTTTGCTCTCTGCAGGGTATGCATTTGTTCAGTTTCTTCGTAGGGAGATGGCACTAGCGGCAATCAAAGGTTTAAATGGAGTCTTTACCATGCGGGTAGTTCAGACAGTTCTTTGTCGTTTCCCAGCGTTTATTTGGCTTCCACTTTTCATGACTTGGCTGTGTTTATGTCTTCCTCTCAGGGTTCTGATCAGCCTCTGACTGTTAGATTCGCAGATCCTAAAAAGCCCCGTCTAGGGGAACCAAGGTTGTTTCTGAGGATTTGCCTAATTTTCTTTTCAATTACAAACTCATCTTCTTGGCTCGTATCACTTGTTGTTTTGCTACTTTCAAAACTTTTTCAGCAGCATTAATACAATACTGCCTGTTGATTTATATGTCCATCTCAACCGATTTTGGCTGTTTCGTGTCTTCAGGTCTAACTTTAACGCTCCACCTGCAATGCAACAGTTCGACCAAAATTGGCATCCACAACCATATCCCCAGTGGGGAAACAACGAGCCTAGAGCCGCTCAGCATCATGATTTCGCTTCACAGCCGAATCACTTCCCGCAGCAAAATGCTCAAGCAGCATCCGAGGTTCATCAAGATACTCCACCTCAAAATTCTGAGACTGCCATCGCCGAGGTACTCCTTTTGTAGGATCTGCTAATGGCAGACGGATCTTCAACTTCTGGACCACGAGTCATATTCTCTTTATTTGCAGACTAGAGGCGATGGTCAGAAGATTTCTAGCCAGTCAAACGCATTCCCTGAAGACCAAAATACAGTGAGCCCTGAGTGTGACTGGAGCGAACACACTTGTCCTGATGGGAACAAGTATTACTTCCATTGTGTCACTTGCGAAAGCACGGTAATACTTTTTTACCTTCTTTCATTGTGTTGTACTCCACTGATGGCATTTCTAGTTAAGACTGATTATATGGATGCACACACATTCCAGTGGGAGAAACCTGAGGAGTACTCCATGTTTGAGAGATGGTTCGACGAGCAAACAAGGCAACAAGATGATAAGCTTGTATCTCCGCCGTTAAACAATCAGAGCCAAGGGGAAATCGAAGAAAACAGTGAGCAACTTCAGTCTCATCCAATGCAACAGACTACCAAACTCCAGCAACCATCCTTATCCACAGCGGTTAGATGTAATTTCTAGAATGTGCTTCGCATTGACACACTTTGACTTCTATTTATTTTACAAGAAGAGCAATTAAACTCCAATGTTTCACGTGATGTGTGTTTTCAGGATGAGGAGAAGAATTTAGTATATCCGGTAACACGAGTGGCTGTTGAAACAACCTGCTCATAATCTATGGTCTCAGGTAATGAACAGTTAGATTCTCTTTATTAAGGAAGCTAATATTACATCTCGCGAGATCGTATCATCATCCCTAATTGCATTCCTCTGTTTCAATACAGGAAATCTCACTAAACAAGTATTTTGGAAAAAAAAAAGTTAACTTCTTCAGGACTCGGAGCATTTGGTAAATAGAAAATGTGTAATGAAAGTGGCATAAAACTTTGAGACGTGTAAGAACCGTTAAAATTTTCTGATTATGGGCTCGCAATTGCTCAATTGTTTTTTGAGCAGCAAGACTCTCTAGTGATGTCCACCACAGCTTTTAAAAATGCTTCCTTGATCATTTCAAAAAATCTACCTGAGCTCTTATTTGTATCAATCGTTTTATTTATCTGGCACAATACTTTTTAATTATTTACTATAGCAGCTTAGTGGGAGAATTTCGAATTTACACACTAAAGCTAGAGCCTTCTACGAAAACACATGGTGGGGCTTAAAATGAGGAGAAACAAAACCTAAACCTCTGTTGTGCTTGGCAATACGCTTATAGGACTAATCTTCAGGTCGTGTTGCTTCGAACCAGTATGTACGGTTTCGATTTAATTACATATTTGCACGAGCATATTTACCAATGTTTAATGAGCATCTTTTAATTTTAAAAATGCTTCCTTGGTCATTTTAAAAAATCTACCAGAGCTGTATAAGTTTCTTTCATAAACATGCACATTTTTTTAAAAAAATTTAAGGACACTCTGTTTGTAAATCTGTTTTTAAACATATAATAACTGAATTTGTTTGCATTGACATTGAATCATGCCAGCGTACCAACGCAAAGAAGATATACACTCACTATCCCGATTCTGTTATATTTCTCCCATCTGATGAAAGTAATTATGGAGTAATTGTAATTAAAATTGTATTCATAAACAACAGAAAACTGTTTTTCAATTTTATGTGATTATTATTGAGCTAAAAGACTATCAAGTGCTTATTACAAATAAATAAACTTTTTTTGTAAGAGTTCATCAAATTTGAGATCAAATATAACTGTCTTAATCCTAATTGAACTGAATTTTAACATGTTTTTTCCCTTCAATAAATGAAGATCGATTTATATATTGACATTATTACTATTTACACATATAAAAGTAATTAATAAAAACGAAGCTGGTATATTTAGAACCAAAATGAAAGAAATAAAATAGAGATTACTCACAACAAAAACATGAAAATATATATATTTATGATATTTTTATTAAATTAATGTCAGATTATTGTATTGAAAATTTGAATTTGAATATTGAAAAATCAAAAAATTGCAATTACAATTTGAAAAAAAACAACCAAAAAACATTATAAGATAAATACAATTACAAAATCATTAAAGAATGATGGTAAATTTTTTTTTCTTAACGTGAAATGCTTGTTGAAAAAGCTTTTAACCTGAAACAATATAAAATACAACACCAAATTTCAAATTTTGTGTTAGATTCAAATTTTATTTAGTATTGTTATTATTATTATGATCATATTTTTTCCTAATAAAACCGATTGATCTGAATTAGCTGTGAAAATAAATTGAACATAAATAATCTCTAACGACCAAATGAATTCAAATAGCTGGATACCATGTCCGGTTAGTTTCACAGCTAATGTAAATCTAATCGATTTTAAACTAATTCAAATTTTAATACAGATGTATATAGAAAAACACAGAATAGAAGACATATCTTTCTTCTTTAGTTTTTTTCTCCTCTCGGCATCTCTTGCTTTCCTGATTTCAATTTGTGGAAAAAGTTTTAAGCTGAAACAGTACAAAAAACAATACTAAATTTCATGTTTGTGTTAGATTCAAGTTTTATCTAGTGTTGCTATAATTATTATTACCATATTTTTTTCTTAATAAAACCGATTGATCTGCATTAGCTGTGAAAACAAATTGAACATAAATAATCTCTAACGACCAAATGAATTCAAATGGTTGGATACCACGTCCGGTTAGTTTCACAGCTAATGTAAATCTAATCAATTTTAAACTAATTCAGGTTTTAATGTGAATAAATACTAATAAAAATAGAATAGAAAACTTATCTTTTTTTTTCCGGAGTTTCTTTCTTTTTAGCATATCTGATTTTCGGAGTTTTATTTTATAGAGAAAGTTTTAACCTGAATCAATACAAAAAAATAACATCAGATTCATGTTTCACTTAGTGTTGCTAAAATTATTATTAGTATTATCATGTTTTTTCCTAATAAGAAATCGATTAATCTGTATTAGATGTGAAAACAAATTAAACATAGATAATCTCTAACGACTAAATGAATTCAAATAGGAGGATATCATGTTTGGTTAGATTCACATCTAATGTAAATCTAATCAATTCAAATTAATCTAAGTTATAATATAGATGAATTAGAAAAAAAAGAGAAAATAGAAGACTTATCTTTTTTATTGAGCACAAGGCACACCACTGCAAGCAACAACGAACCATGCAATAATCACAAGGGGCATTTCTGCAAGAAAATCACAATTGATCAATGAGAGATTATATCTGGAAATATACGAGAATGATCTGGTGTTGAATTTTACTTACCTTGTGTTGATCGTGTGATAGCAAAACTCAAAATCTGATGCTTCTCCATCTAGAAAATGGGTCCTTGAGTCGCTCTGCTTTCCTTTGGTGGAGGAACCCATCGAGCTTTGACGCTCACAACCTCATACTCGATGAGCAAAAGATTGTTATCTTCCTTCACGGCCGCCACTTTAACACGCCCCCATCTGTCAACAAGAATTGAATACGCAAAGCCATGAGAATTGAGAAGTAATCAAACACAAGAATAATAAATTTCAGGCTTATAATTCCTAGAAAGTAATGACATCTCACCAGAGACAAGCACAAGTCGTCGAGATGCTTATGACACTTGACGGTACTTTTCAGGCTCAGGAGATAGTAGTTTCTTTTTCTCTTCCTGGTACATATGCAAGGGAAAAAAAATTGGTTTATTCGTCTCTGTGTATCCAGATTTAAGTTGAGAAGTGCAGCTAAAATAAAACATACCACAAGATTGATGCCACTGAGTGCTGTGACATCATTAAACTTCTCAATACTTCGATCTTTACAAGTCCCAAGTAGTTTTTGTTTCTTGCTGTAAGTAAACACTTGCTATAAGACTTCAATAATCATTATAAATCGCAAATGAATGCTGCAAGTGGTTCATCTTTTACAAACCAGCCACCTCTATTACCTCGATGGTGGCAGCGAAGAACCTTGTGTCTTGAGAGGTTTCTTCTGACCGACAGAAGGCATTTTGGGTGTCGTCCTAACACTGGCTCCTGTGGGAATGGTCCTGATCTGTGAACCAAACAACTTATCTGTTAAATAGTCTATTTACTCTTCACAATCAAGGATAAACATAATTTAATAATGAAAACAAAAAGAAAGTTTAATAATGAAATTAGTGTGTGTCAATTTTTTTTTTTTTTTTTAAAAGGTTACCAGTCAATAATTTAAAAATCAAGTGCCTCTCGACGAGAGAGAGACTATCGTAAGTCATTTCCTCTTAAAGGCAAATAGATTCGCAGACTGAAAAGAATTCACTCACTTTGCGGAAACAGCATCAACTTACTTCTCAACGTTCTAACTTGTGTTGTAACTTACGGAGAAGACGAAGGTTAGTCTTTACTCGAGTTCACGTTCCAGATTTCGATTTCTAGTCTCTTCGCTTGAAGATATTCGGATTGATCTGAGATTACCTTGGAATCATTCGATTTTCGCCACATCTGAATTTCGCTCGTCCTGTCTAGATCGAGGAAGAACAAGTATCGATCCCGTAGATTCGTTTTTTTTCTTTTTCTACAGAAGCTAACCGGTTTTGAATCTGATGCTTTTGTCTGATTATGATTCGTCTTGGTCTTGTTCTTCTTCTTCAAGGTTTTTGGGATCTGAAGTTTTTGTGCAACTAATGGCGAAGATCAAACCCCAAGCTCTGCTGCAGCAAAGCAAGAAGAAGAAAGGACCGTCTCGTGTAAGCATAACCAACATCCTCATCTACAGCTTGGCTGTGCTATTGGTTGTCTTCGTCCTCTTCTCCGCTTACAGGCGTTGGACCCAGAGGTTGCTCACTTCCTCCATTACCTACTGCTCTCTCTATATTAGTTGACATTTGATTCTATCATTCCATATGCTTGGACTAGTCGAACATGTTTAGGAAATTATACTAGCCACCAAGACCATCTGTGTTAATAGTTTCTTTGGTGCCTAAGATTTTTGAAAAAAATACTGAGGAGTTGTTGTGGATTTCAGATCTGAGACCCCAACGCACAATGGTAGATCAGTTCTTGAGGTATTTATTCTCTATGAGTCTGTTTCTATGGCTCTTACTGCAATTGTTATGCCCTTTTGTGATTGAAATTGATTGTCCTGTGTAGGATGCAGCCTTCCCGGGATTGAAGAATACCAATGCCCCACGGTTTGCTGTGAGTTTTGTTGTGCCCATAGTGTTTTTAGTGTTTTCTTTTTGTTTCCCTTTCACTGTATCGTTTTCTATTTTGATCTCTAGACCTTAGACACGGGCAAAGGTTCAGTAACCATTGAGCTGTTCAAGGATACTGCTCCCAATGTTGTCGACCAGTTCCTGAAATTATGGTAAGCAACACTTCTTCAGGTCCATAAGGTGTTAGCCTCTGAACACTTGTAATTTTTTGTTTGTTTTCTCATTGGTGTGGGCATTTCTCATTGGTGTGGGCAGTCAAGATGGGTATTTTAAAGGAATCTTATTCCGTAGAGTTGTAAAGCACTCTGTGATTCAAGCTGGTGACTCTGCTGAGTTTGATGTTGTCAAAGATTGGGCACTCCAAAGGAAGAATCTTGATACCAGGTTGGTACTTAATAAGCTTAAAACTTTTGTATGATTGTTTGTTTGTTTGTTTGTTTCAAACCTAAATAAGGAAACTTTCTGTGTGCCGTGATCAGTTTGAAACAAGAAGAATTCATGGTGGGAACTCCTAAAGCTAACAACGAGAAAGGAGGATTCGAGTTTTTCATTGTATCTGCTCAGATCACGGATCTGAACGAGAAATTGACAGTCTTTGGTCGAGTTGCAAAGGGACAAGAAGTCGTTCAGGAGATCGAGGAGGTTGAGACGGATGAGCAGTATCAACCAAAATCACCAATAGAGATCATGTCCGTTTCTTTGCTTCAAGACATATGAAACTCGTGTGTTATTCTTGATGTTATGTTACTTTGTAATTCGAACCCTTTTGATCACCTCGTTTGTACTTTGAAGTTGCATAAATTTTTATTTATCTTTTGCATCATTTCTCGTAGGTAGTAACTAGTAACAAACAACACACGTGACATGTAGATATTCGAGAGCTGAACCAAGAAGGATAAATAACATTTTAAATGATACAACAAGATTGTAAAAACACTTGCAACCATTGCTAACGCAATCAATTATCCCAACCAGATTTTCTTTTCCTCTCTCTTGGTCGACCTTCAGAACTGCAATCATAGGATCAAATAAAACCAGTCAACACTACGTTACAACTAAAATAACACTAGTAAACAGTGAAACTATAAGGAATCAAAGCTAACCTCTGTGGATTCTTCTGACTTGAGTTATGTAATGAAGCGTTATTAGTAGGAGTTGCTGCTGGGGGCGTTTGACTCTGAGTTCTACCCATGTCCCCACCAATGGTCCCACCTGAGACAAATCCCATTAGGGATGGTCTCTTGTTCGGATAAGCCTGGCTTTGTGGGTTCGATGGCGTAGCAGCCACAAAGCTATTCTTGAATTGGGCCATTACTCCGGTTCTCACGGAATTGATCGCCCCGCTTCTACTTGGTGCAGCTTGAGACGGTGTCCCACTTGATCCTGAGTTGAACCCAATACCAAGACCAAAATCAACTCCTCGTACTCCTCTACTTCCACCTCCTCCTCCACCTCGTCCTCGACCTTTCTTCCCACCTATTCAACGAAGAGATTTAGAGATATGCACAAGTTTTTGAATGGATAAAAACTCATATGCAAAGAAAACATTGACCACAGCTTTTTCTCTTTCGGATTCAAATCTAATCAAAAATTTCTGTTCGCAGATTTTGGCAATAGGATATAATACTGAACAGAGCTAAACTATGCTTACCTCCTTTTCTTCCGTCGCGCTTGGACTTGAACCGTCCATCCTATTGATTTACAAAAGTAAATTTCACTCAATAATCATGTTTTCGATTCATTCAAAAATGGAACTTGAGTGGTGGAAAGAAGCTAGTCGGATGAACAATCACAGCATGAATAGTAGACACTAGAAAGTACGATCGTAGCTTTAAAAAAATAGAAAGAGGAGCTGTTATTACCTTCATGGCGAGATCCATGAGTTCTGGAGGGACATTCTGACCAGCAGCAACCAGACTGTTTATCAATTCACCAGCAAATCTAGCCTCTCTCTGCGTAACAAGTGTGTAGGCAACCCCGTCTTTGTCCCCAGCACGTCCTGTTCTGCCAATACGATGTACATGCATGTCCATGTCTTTTGCAATGTCGTAGTTAACCACTGTCTTAAGCGATTTGATGTCGAGACCTCGAGCAGCAACATCGGTCGCGATTAGCACATGGTAGATTCCAGATTTGAACTTCTGCAAAGTCTCCATTCGCGATGCCTGGTCCTTATCACCGTGAAGGGCAGCAACTTTGAAACCATTTAGAGTAAGCTGAGCTTCAATCTCATCAACCGTGGCTTTTTTAGAAGCAAACACTAATACGTCACCATCATCAATCATTCGAGGTAGCTTCTCAAGTAGCCAAGGAAGTTTTTCAGAATCTGACGGTATCACATTGACAACTTGTGTAATATCTTCATTGGCCATCCCAACCTCACCAACAGTGACTCTAATGGGATCTGAAAGGATTTCCCTGGCTAACTTTTCAACTTTCCACGGCATAGTTGCTGAAAAGAGTAAAGTCTGGCGATCTGGACGGATCTGGCCAACGATAGACCTGACCTGTGGCTCAAAACCGAGATCAAACATCCGATCAGCCTCGTCAAGAACCAAATACGTGGCTCTCATCATCGTCAAAGCCTTCATCTTTAGCATGTCTATCAACCTTCCAGGAGTAGCAACAACTATCTCGCATCCTGCCTTGAGTTCCTTAAACTGTTCATGTTTAGACATTCCACCATACACAGCGGAGACTCGTAGGCCATATGCTTTAGAGAATTTCTTCGCTTCCAAGAATATCTGATGGGCCAGTTCTCTGGTTGGGGCACATATGACACCAATTGGACCTTCGTCTTTCCGAAGTTCTGGCTGATCCATAATATGTACAATCATGGGAAGAACAAAAGCTGCCGTCTTCCCTGAACCAGTTTTGGCTATGCCAATAACATCTCGACCAGATAGGACGATTGGTAAAGCCTGACGCTGGATGGTTGTGGGTTTTTCGTAAGCTTGCTTTTTTATAGCACTCATGATCTGTGAGGAAAATCCACAATCCTCAAAGGTCTTCACTGGCCGAGGAACATCAAAACCCGACACACGGATTCCCAAACTCTGACGGTAATCCAAAGTTTCTTGTTCACTCATTCCTGTATAAAGAAATTTGATACTTTGAGTCATTCAAACACAGAAACTCAATTTGGATATGTTGTTACTCAATTTAGATAATTTCAAAAAATCAAGTAACTTTTAACTTGGACTTACGCGATATTGATTCCACCTCCTCGTAGAAGTCTTTATTAATCGGTTCGTAATCGACGGAGCTATGATCCAGAGCTTGAATTGGCTCGATCTTTCTTTTATCCACGACGATCGGATTGTCATCGGAATCGTAATCCAGCATGCCAGCATCTACCGCCTTGGCTGCAGCGTACACCTCCTCGTCGGAGTTATAACCTGCGTTGAGAGCGTCCGCTGCTAGTGTGAGGCCCAAATCCTTCTTCGCCTTCAGGAAACTCTCGACAGGATCGTCATCTTCGTCGTCCATGAACCTCTCCAATTTCTTGTTTGGCTTAGGAGGTGGAGCAGCCTTCACTTCCTCGTGGATTCCCTCCATAAAGGCGTCCAGTGGATCGATCTCATCATCACCTCCACCATTATCCGCTGCTGCAGAGCCGCCGTTCTCAACGTCTTCTTCAGCCTCTTCGTTTTCTAAGAAATCAATATTATCTAGATCGGCATCTTCGGAGTTATCTCCGCCGCGAGAGGACGGAGGGACGTAGAGACGTTGCGGTGCTTTAGACCGCTCGAAACTGTAGGTAGTTTGCCGATTTATGCCGAATCCTTCAAATCCGGACTTTCGATTAGACATCTTTTGCTTAGGCTTCCTCTCTCGGCTCTAGCTTTGAACTAAGAGCTCGACTGTTGTCAAATTTTAGGGTTTCGTGGTTTTTCCGGTAGTATGTAAATCGGAGGAAGGAGACAATCTCGATTTCCCCGGGTTAGCCGACTTGTCCAAGTTTATATAGTTGGGGCAGTAATGGGCCGGCCTTTCTTACGAACTTCACTTATATCGTAGACCCACAATTAATGAATTACTGTGTTAATTTTCTTTTTCCTTCAACATCTGAACAATTGTTATTTTGATTATATTATGAAACACAAAATAATCATATATATGAATAGAGGTGAGCCCTCTCCCACAGCTTGATACATCATCATTTCAGATGAATTTCTAAGTGATAAGTGTCAAATAATTATTATTTTTATTAATGCATTTGGTGAATATGAAAAGATTATTTATTTATATATTAAAATTGTAAAACTGAATTAATTTATCTATAAATAATCAAATTCATATTGAAAAATTAAATTTGAAATAAAGAATATTTAAGATATAATAAAATCAGATAAAATTAATTTAGACCAAAGTAGAAGATAAAAAAATAATTTGACAAATGTGTTGGTGTAGGCATATAAATCGGTTTTGTCGTGACAAGTGTCAACTTAATATTAACACCACAAAAATAATCATAATTATTTCTACTAATGTATTTTGAGGATATGAAAAGTCTATTTGTTTATATATTTAAGTTGAAAAACTGAAGTCATTTATCTACAAATAATCAGATCCATATTAAAAAAAATTACATTTGAAATAAAGAATATTTAAGATATAATAAAATCAGATAAAACTATTTCATGCCAAAGTAGAAAATAAAAAGAGAAAATTTGACAAAAATGTTGGTAAAGAAATATAAATAAAGTTTGTCGGGTCTATGGAACTCTGGTGATAAATATATAAAATTATATTTGATAACTATGTTTCATCGATATCTATAAGATGATATGCTTCCTTAAAAATAGCATATAATGTTATAAATTAAATTCTAATATATACAGAAATTCATTACATTTAGTAAATATACATTATTTAAAAAAGAATTTATAAATTTGATAATAAAATATATTTTAGAAAAACTCTGCACATATGCGAGTGTAAGTTTGGGATATTGAAGCACAAATGAGCACCACTCCTTTAATAAATTTTAGCTTTTCCCGAAATTCGTCACTTTTTAAAACCAGTCAATATATATAGCAAATTGTTTACCGTTTAATTATCAATAATCACCAAGCTAACAACTTTTTTAATTTTTCTTTCTAAAATGGAGTCTTACAAAGCAGTTTTCCTCATCGTGGTTGCTATATGGTTTACATTCACCGATGTTCAAGCCACCAGCCGTGCGATTCAAAACATATCCCAAGTCAATGCTTCATCGCTCGAAGTCGAACCGCCCGTATCGGCAATTTCAGCCGTTCCAGCCACCGCACCCGCCCCCATCTCCAAAGACATTAGCACTATGAGCCCCGCACCGGGACCCACGCAAGAAGATATCAACATCGACTTTAACTCCGTCACCAACGTAGAAGATCTAGCCCCGAAATTTGACCATATAAATAAATTCGATTTCTCATCTATGAAAATCGACACGACAGCGAAAGATGTATGCAAAGATACCGACCACAACAACGAGTGCCTCGCCGCGATTCTCCCGGATATACAGAAAGGTGTCGGTGAAGGGAAAAGTGGATTGAAGGCGATGGATATAATGCGAATGCAAACAGAGTCTTTGTTCAAAAAGGCAAACGCGACTCTCGACTACGCGAAACGCGTGGTGGAAGACAATAAGACGGAGATGCCGGTGAAGGAGGCGATGAGTGTCTGCGTCGAGAATTACGACTCGCTGATCTCGAGCCTGGAAGATGCGAGGACGGCGATGGACGGTGGCAATTACGGGAGATTGGAATCGGTCATGAGTGCGGCGATCTCCGATTTGTCGACTTGCTCTGATGCTTTCACGGACGTTTCTGGTGTAGACTCGCCGACAGCGTCTCTCGATGAGCTCATGAAGAAGCTTTGTAGCAACATTTTGGCCATGTCTCAAAAAATCAAGAACCGTTAACTCCATTTGAGGATGTGATCAGTAAACTTTTTTTATAAAAACTCGTTTGGAATTCAATTTTTCTTTATGGTACATGTTAGTCCTTATCCCACACGTGAGTATGTTTATTTTATTTTATTTTTTGTCAACCAATGTTTTAGTGTTAAAGAAAATTTAGCTAAACTCAGCCTACTAATGGTTAAGATTGATTACATTTTTTTGATCATTTTTAAACATGGAAGAAAAATAACAACTAGTACTATACCAGCATTTTGGCTAATTATATATCAACTAGAAGTGAATTTTTTATATATTTTTTTACGTTAAATCAAAATATTTACATACATTATTTTTTATTTTTAATTTTTTTTAACATAAATAGTTTTTACAAACATGTCAATTATTTAATTATTCTAATAGTGTTAAGTTTTGGTTGATTTGGATTGTGGATAGAGATTATTTTTTCGTAAATCAACAATCTAAAATTGTTTAATGAGATTTATATAAAAAAAATCTAATGGAAATAATTTATCATCATAAGGTTTTTTGTGGTAAATTAATTTAAACTATTTAATATCTATGACATTTTAATGATTAGAATTTAAATTTGCTTAGTTGAACAAAATTAATTCGATCATTTATAATTTTAATCATTATATGAATTCAACCATTATATTTAACCATTTTTGAATTTTACTGTAACTGTATTATGTAACTGTAATAGAAAATATTCTAAAATTAGATTACAAACATAAAAATAATATATTTTATATATGTAACATATTTAACATAAATAAAATTATAACGTGTAATACACGAAATAAAAAATAGAGATAATAAGCGTCGAAAATATTTAACATAAATAGAATTATAACATGTAAAACACGAAATGAAAAATAGAAACAACAAACATCCAAAATATTTAACATAAATAAAATTATAACATGTAGTACACGAAATAAAAAATAGAAACAACAAAGTACTAAAATCATCTCCAATCCTTAACACCATTTTTCACCAGATAGTTTACATAAATAGAATTATAACATATAATACACGAAATAAAATATAGAAATAATACGCGCTCAAAATATTTAACATAAATAGAACTGTAACGTATAATACACATAATAAAAAATAGAAATAATAGATTACTCAAATCATCTCCAATCCTCAACACCATTTTTCACTACATTTTGAAATAGATGATTGTACATAATGGAGTTGAGTTTTTTTCTAACCCACTCTAATATTCTCTCAAACATGGATGGGTTACATCATTTTTAATTTGAAACATGTTTTTTCGTATCTCTTGTTATGCTTATGCATATTTAATTGTATCGGAACATCGCGGTCACGTGCGAAGAAGACAAAGCGGCATGGGCTAACATACACACCGACGTGCATCTTCTTAACATGCGCACCGGCAAGTCTAAAAAAACAAAATCAACGCAGCAGAGTAGAAAAAAGGGGAAAGAAACGAGAGAGATGAGAAAGTCCGTATATAGGAAGAGGAAAATGGAAAAAAAAAAAAAATCGACTCGAGTCGCCTTCTGAGTTGGCTCACCGAGTCTATCTGTGGAAGGGGAAGGGAGCAGCAAAAGCCCGTATAACCGATAAAAAAGGGATCTTTGGATTTTTTTCCTTTCTTAATTTTTTTGTGTGTGTGTGTGTGGGTTGGTGTTGAAATAGCAAAAAAATGGTGAACGAGGAGATAATTAGTCTCTCACCTCTTTACTCCCTCCTTGTCTCAATTCTTATTCCCAACTCTTTCCCTAACCCTAATTCTTCCTGGATTCTATCCTCGATTTTTCCCCCAAATCCTGCTTATGTGGTTTCTTATCATCATCTTCTCTATCCTCTCAATCCGCCGTCAAACGCTGGTTCATCTTTGCTGAGCAGTCTAGGTATTTCTCGCCGCCTCTCTCTTGATTTGATTTCGATTGCTTCTAGTGATGATCGTTTTGTGTTTATAGACTGTGCTACTATTGGAGTTTTTGTTTTGTTTTCGAATGGTTTTGATTCGATCGTTTGGTATTGGTTTCAATTCGTCGAAAGTTGTGGATCCGCGAAAGATCGTACATATGTTTAGGGAAATCTAAGTTCGTGGCCGTATATGTCAATATCACACTCGTATTAATTGATCTGAGATTCTGGTGATACACTCGTTCTCATTGCACGCTCAATGAAATTCCTTTTGTGATCCTTCTGTTCGCTTGATTGTACGCTGCTCGTTGTTGTTATGCTGTGGGGCTAATGATTTACATGTTCTGTTTCTCAGTGTTCGAGCTTGGAGATTTCTCAACTCATCACTTAATCTTCAAGTTAAGTGGTTTGTTAAGAGCGAAGAGAGTGTATATGCCTATATATACTCTACAATGGAAGGTAACGGTGGTGCTCATTACGATGGTTTGAAGAATATGGTGAGGAAGAAACGTAGCTTGACCTGTCGTCGTCCTCGCCCTGAGGGATCGATTCTCTTAACACCTTCAGATGGTTTCAGCAAGATCTCGAGTGATGACATACCGGCATTTGATACTAACCCTAGGAGGAAAGAGTTCAGTCTTAGCCACTGTATATCAAGGGCTGAGTCTATAGCAGAATCCGAAAGAGGGAACAATGATTCTCGCCGGAGGGAGATCATCAACAGAAACAAACGTTCGACTGAAGGTGTACTCGCACCTGCCAGCTGGAAAACCCCTCGCCTGGAAGATGAAGGTGATGGCATGAGCAATGGAAAGGGAGCTGATTTGGATGAGAGAGTTGGTCAAACAAAGAAAATGAAGCTTAAGATTGGTGGTGTGACTCGGCTGGTTCATGCCAATGGTTCATCTGGAAAGTCTTCAAAGCCGGTGAATGATACTACTCGTTCTAACAACGAAATGGAGGTAAATGATCCTAATTTGGTATGCATATAAAGCTCAAGTTGTTGAATTATCTAGCATTCTAGCATACATTTAGATTGATATAGTAGTTTGTCATCCTTTTGCATTGAGTAACTTTTTCAGTAGCATTTACGCCCTACTCGTTCTAACAACGAAATGGAGGTAAATGATCCTAATTTGGTATGCATATAAAGCCCAAGTTGTTGAATTATCTAGCATTCTAGCATACCTTTAGATTGATATAGTAGTTTGTCATCCTTTTGCATTGAGTAACTTTTTCAGTAGCATTTACGCCCTTTTCGGGCCTTTGGCCCATAAATCTTTTCGGGTTCGGGGACCGGAGTAGGTTAAACTAGCCTCTTCTCGGCGGCCCGAGCTCAAAACAGTAAATGCTTTGCTGTTTATGGACAACAATTGGAAAATGTATTGTTTTTTGCTGTTACTCTGGAAAGGATTAGGTTGTGTCTTAATTTCTGTGGACTGTTTAGATACTGTAAAGTAATATATCTGTTTCCAATAAATTTTATTTAATGGCAGGAAAGTTCAGAAGATTGTGAATCCCCTCTAGATAAGAAGGCTGATCTCCAGGGAGTTACTTGGAACGCTGAGAAAGGCGAATCTATGGTGGGGAGGGGAAAACAAGGGGAGCCAACTGGCTCGGTTCGCAAGAGCAAACGAGCCCCGAAGAAGCGGGCTTTTGATAGCGATGATGATGACAATGATGATGAGATCCGATATTTGGAGAAGCTGAAATACAAGAATGTCTCTGTGTGTAATGAAGACACTGAGTCTGGGAGGAGGCAATTGAAGCCATCTGGGATCACAATTGGTGAAATTTCTGGTAAGAGGATATCTGCATCTGAAAATTCCCCCGGAGACATGGATCTTGCGGACGAACTTGAATCTGTGCCTGATGAAAAAGAGATTGGTAATGAGATTAAGAGGGAATCAACTTTGACTAGTCGCCAACGAGCCCTTGCTTCTTCTGCATCTGGCAGATCAAGCACGATTGAATTTCCAGATGGATTACCTCCAACAACATCGAGAAGTAAGTTTTGTTTTCTGTCTTTTGCTTCTTACACAAATATATCTTTTGCAATAAAGGCTCATAATTGTATTGTGAAATATAGGGAAGAAGGAGAATCTTTCAGAAATGGAGCAGCAACTGAAGAAGGCAGAAGCTGCCCAAAGGCGAAAAGTTCAGATTGAGAAAGCTGCAAGGGAGTCTGAGGTTGGTGTTTTTCTCCCTTTGTCATGCTATGTGCATTAATAAAAGATATTGGCAAATCCATGTGAGGGGATGGTCTTGGTTTTTGTTTTTACAGGCAGAGGCCATAAGAAAAATTCTAGGTCAAGATTCGAGCAGGAAGAAGCGTGAAGACAAAATTAAGAAGCGACTTGATGAAATGGCTCAGGTATTGGGAAATGCACACGATAAACCAACCACCATATCGTATAATGCGTTATTTGTTAAGTATGCTGAAAATTTGGGGTGACATGCGTTGAACTGATCACAGGAGAAAGCTGCACACGAGGAAATGGCCCCGACAAGCTTCATCAGAACAATAATGGGTCCTAGCGGAACCACTGTTTCGTTTCCCATTGACAAAGTGCCTAGCCTGTTCGATCAACAACCAGTCAGGTATGGTGCAATCTCTTTTCTTTATCCCAAACTCTGTGAATGGATTGACTCGAAATCAGAACTAGTTCATGAGTCAATGTCCCTTAAAAGAATCATCATAGCTGATAAATGTGGACTACTTTCTACACATGCTACAGCATTAGCTTGTTAGAGAGCAGTATATGATAGGGAATGCTCTCTAGAATTCGGCTTGTTTTGTTCGGTTGATTCTGTTTTGTGTTATAGCGTTTCATGTAAACATAAAGGTCATGAAACCTTATCTTATATACAATGTGTGTGTATCTGCTGCAGTTATCCTCCTCCTCGGGAAAACTGTGCGGGTCCATCGTGCACCAATCCTTACAAGTATCGTCATTCAAAGACCAATGCTCCTCTGTGCAGCCTCAAATGCTACAAGGCGGTTGATGCGCAGCGACAGACCACACCGGCGGTTGATGCGCAGCAACAGACCGCACCGGCGGTTGATGCGCAGCAACAGACCGCACCGGCGGTTGATGCGCAGCAACAGACCGCACCGGCTTAGATATTGATTGATTTATCTCCTTCGGAGAGGAACTTAGCTTCCCGAATTCTTTTTCTTTATACAGAGAGACATGATGTTGCTTTAGTTTTGTTTTACTTTGCTTTAGACTTGTCTGATCAGGGGAAGACCTCATTTTCTTTTGTGACGAGACGATATCTTGGCCGTCCATTGGCTTTTGCCAATCAATCATCATACCCGTTCATTTTATACAAATCTCCAACGGCTATCTCACAGTATCGTTATTTTATTATTAAAAAATATATATACAGTATTGCTCTATTATTGGGAGCGGGCGTCGTGGACTCGCATTACGCCGTCGTTTCTTAGCTGTGTTTGCGCCTCCAGTGATCATAAACTTCCAGATTTTGAAAATTTTCTCTCTCTCTCTCTCCATAATTTCTTTCCCGTAGTTGACAATGTGTGTAGACAAGAGAGAAACTTATTAATTGAAAAGAATAAAGGCCAATGATTTCTCATCACTCTTCCATTTGTTTAAGTAATCTCTTATTATGCGTATGTATCATATACTATAATATAAACGTATATTTAAAACTTGATTCTTTTTCATCAAACCTAACTTGAAACAATAGACATGGCACCCACTCCTTGATCTTTCCTTCAAACATAAACCTTCAATTTCCAAAAAAACAAAAGAAAAAACATATATATAAATAACACAAAAAGTGGATTTATGTTCCTTAACTTCTCAACCTTCTTTCCGCCTTAGATGAAAATGAGTCACGCCGGCGGAGGAAAGTGGCGGAGAGAGGCGGAGCAGCTGGTTGTTAAGCCTTTCCGGCTAGTGACAACAACTCTCCTCAGCCTCCTCCTTCCCCTTTCTTTCCTTCTCCTTAGCCGTCTCTCTTCAGCCTCCTTCCTCTTCTCCTTGATCAAATCTCCGCCGGAAACGAAACCATCCTTCTTCTTCTCTATCTTTTATTACACGAATCCGGCGATCCTATACGGCGTCGTTTCGTCAATAAGCGTCTACACTCTAGTTCTTGGTCTAACCACCAAGATCACAGCTACAGAACCCAACCGTTCGATTCCCTTTTATCCACATGTCACAATCGCATGGCTCACGCTTTTCCTTGTCCAAATCTCCGTCGGTCTAGGCCTGGAAGGAACGAGTTCAGAAGGTTTGATCATCGGAAGCGAACGTAATTTCTTGAGCAGGCTCGTGTTTTTCTTTGGTCTTCACGAGGTAATGCTTCTGTGGAGTAGGGTGATCGTGAGACCGGTGGTGGACAGCACATTGATCGGAGGAGATACTGCCGGTCACCACCGGGTAGAAGAAACGGCGGTGGAGAGAGTGGCTCTGGCCGTGAGCTGTGGAACGTTGTGGTGGTGGAAGCTTCGGGATGAGGTAGAGGCTTTGGTTGGTGTGGCAGAGGCTAAAAGAGCATTGTTGTTGTTGTTATTACCGATCGATGGAAATCTTAACGTCGGTTTGGATGTGGGAACGGTTGATTTCGTGAACTGGTGGTTATATTATATGGTTGTGACGATTGGTATGGTCAGGATCGTTAAAGGGTCTTTGTGGTTTGGGATGATTTTGCTTTTCGAACAAGGTAGAAGAAGAGATCCACGTGGAGTTTCTACTGCTCCACCTGTTTCTACGGCTTCTCCTTCTCATTATGACGATGAAGGTGACACTAAAGTGTAAGTAACGAATTGTTATAAATTCACTTGTGGGAATGCGTTTTTTTGTTTGTCCAAGTTTTCTGACCCCAAACACAAAGGTTCAAATTGATATTTGTAATGAGAAAGATGTTAAGATCTTCTAATTAGTGTAACAATGCTAGATTCAAAGAAATATGATAAAGACAGGCTTTACATTAGATTTCAATAAAAACATAAAAGAGATCATAAGCACAACTTAAGAATCTAAAACACAGCTTCTACAAGTATGTGTCTCTTCTTAGACCCAAACCCAACGATGTGGTTTAGATAAACTCTTCCTTCTTTCACAGTAGCCGACGAGGCAAACCGATGAACCATACCGCTGCTGAACCAGCCTTTCACAGAAGCTGTCCGCCACCCATCTGAGCTCTCGACCAATTTCGCAGAAGGATTACCTGAAAACACACAAAAATTAGTTTAAAGAACAAAAAAACTCGATAATCCAAATGCAATACTTGTCTAAAATTCATTGGTAGACAACAACAAAATCAAAACTTTATGGGAGATGTACCTGCGACAACAATCTTGGTGGGAGACAACAACTCAAGCCCATCTCCAAACCTCAATGTGCCACCAGTAACTTCAATTACAGTGACCTTATTACTATTATCACCATGGGCGGTAAGGTCGATCTTGTATAGTAAACCGGAGAAAGTGTGGATGACGATAAGGAACCCGTCAGGGTGATATACAATGCCGTTAAGAGCGACCAGGTTATTGTACCATCCAGGTGGAGTGAAGAGTGCGCTTTCAATGGTGGACTCAAGCTTTCCATTGACATCAACCTTCCAGATTTTACTGCCTTTTGCATCCGTAACATAAGCATTGCCTTGTGCATCAACAGCTACATCGTCTGCAAATGATTTCTCTTTACCTACATTCATCAAAATATTTATGAAAACAAGACAAGGAGAGAGAGAGATAAACACAGAAACTGAAATTATATTCAGATAGATGTTTTTAACTGTGAATCTAATTTCGAACTGTTTCACAAATTGACATTCGAATTAGACATCATACACTTCAGCAAGATTCTAGCGAATATCAAAACTTTGGTTCTATTGTTGATAATCTAGCAGAGACTTGACGTAATCGGACGGTCGAAAACCGTCGACGGACGAGGCTCACACAAGGCAGAGAAATTAGAAGAGCTTACTATGGCCGCTAAGCTCAGAGAGGAAGATGCGACGCCACGTGGACATATCATAGGCCGCTAGAGCGCTATACCGATTTCCAAGTAAATCGGCGACAGCGACAAGGAGACGGTTCCTGTCGCGGTCGACAGCGATTCCGAGGGAAGCGTTTCCGGCGAGGTCAATGTCTTTGACCAAAGTGACCTCCTTAAGAACGTCGCTGCCACCGTCGGAGTCTTTAGGAACAACCTCGCCGATTCCGCCTCCGTCCATGAAGGAGACGAGGAATCTCCGACCTACATCGTCCCATTTGGCGCACTCGCGGAAGAAGCCGGAGCTCTGGTAAGAGAAGACGTGCGTCGAAGGAACGGCTCGCTCTAGGAGAACGAGGTAAGCCAAGGGAATGGCGGAGATAACGAGGAAGAGAACGACGGAGAAACGGCCGGAGCAGAACGACGGCGACATTTTGAAAAGAATCAAAAAAAAAAAGAAAAAGAGACGGTTAGTAATTGGGTACGACGAAGACCAACTTAAGTAAAGTGTGGAGGAGCATAAGTTGGTGAGCGAATACGCTCGATTAAGACAGACGAGACACTACACAAAAGTGGGGCCCTCTAATTTGGTGGCCCGTTAAATGTATATTGGGCCCCAAAAGTGTATCTAGAATTCAATACCAATAATTATACATCCTGAGACTGTTGCCTTTTTACCAATTTAATCCAAGTCTTTTTTTAGTAGTGTTATTAGCATTTATGCTTAAAAGTTGCACGTGGTGATATTATTAGATAAGATTACTTATCCATTTACACTATAGAAACAAATCTAACTAGAACCATAGATAATTATATATATATCTGTCACACAAATTATCTAGGCCATTTTTGAAATATCATATTTAGCTTTTCTTTTAAAAAATTATTATAGCCATCCGACCAATTGGGCTCGCATATTATTAATATTATATGATAAGATTACTTGGCCATTTATACTAAAGAAATATCTAAATCTTCCTTTGTATGGCCTAAGTGGATCCACCAAGTAAAAATGATATCGTTTGTGTGTGACTGATTATATGATCATAGCTGTTTTTTTTTTTTCTTATTATAGCCATCCGACCCACTGGGCTCGCATATTAATAGTAAGATGGAATATCAAATTTAGCTGAGTTAGCCCGGCCCATTTGTTTTATCTATCGGCCCGGGAAAAATTAAAAAATAATTAAAAAAAACTCGAGTTAAATAAAATGGGCCGGACTAAGATGTTAACCCAATGGTTCGGATGGCATAATTATAATACCCATTGGGCTCACATATTAATAGTAAGATGGAATATCTAATTTAGCTGATTTTCCCCTCCAATCATCATAGCCCGGCCCATTTATTTTATCTATCGGCCCGGGGAAAATTAAAAAACAATAAAATAACTCGAGTTAAATCAAATGGGCCGGACTAAGATGTTAACCCAATGGTTCGGATGGCATAATATATATTATAGTACCCATTGGGCTCGAATATAAATAGTAAGATGGAATATCTAATTCGACTGAGTTTTCCCCTCCAATCATTTTAGCCCGGCCCATTTGTTTCTATTTGGGCTGGGAAAAATTAAAAACCCAAAAAACCTAGTTAAATAAAATGGACCGGCCTAAGATGTTAGCCCAATGGGTCGGATGGCAAAATATATTACAGTACCCATTGGGCTCGCATATTAATAGTAAGATGAAATATCAAATTTAGCTGAGTTTTCTCCTCCAATCATCTTAGCCCGGCCCATTTTTACATAGTTGGGCCGGGAAAAATTAAAAACCAAAAAAACCCTAGTTAAATCAAATGGACCGGCCTAAGATGTTAGCCCAATGGGTCGGATGGTAAAATATATTACAGTACCCATTGGGCTCACATATTAATGATAAGATGGAATATCATATTGAGCTGATTTTCACCTCCGATCATCTTAGCCCGGCCCATTTGTTTTATCTAGTCTGTCGCATAAAAAAATAAGAACTCGAGTGAAACAAAATGGGCCGGGCTAAGATGCGAGCCTAATGGGTCGGATCGCATGATATATTATAGTAGACTTTTAGTGGGCAAATTGATCAGTTTTCGCACCTGAAGAATCTCCTCTTCATCGGTTCCCGTCGTCTTCATCCTCACTCCGACTTGGTAAATCCCCAAATCCATCTCTCTTGATCTCTGTTCATTGCTTTTTATTATCTAGCATTTCTGGTTTATGTCGATTTTATCGTTCAGATAGTTACCCATGAAATTTCTAAATCAAATGATTCGGATCGATTCTTCTTCTTCTTATTGCGGCGATCTAAGGGAATCCAGATTTCCTTGTTAATTTTTTTTTTCCTTTGTTCTTGTGGGAATTTTCGGTTCTCTTCATGGGTGTCTTTTAGTACTGATTTTCATGAATTTTGTTTATCATTCTCGTCGGAGGGATGATATTTAGACTGGTTTTATATTTGTTAAAGGATGCAAATTTGGATCGCCTCATTTGTCACTGAATTGAATCAAAGTCTTTGATATCCCGGTTTTGAAAAAATCACTGATTGCCTCGAGAAAGAAGAACCATAGGCGTTTGATCTAAAGTGTTCATTTAATCAAATCTGCATATAGAGTTCCTATCTATTGGTTATGTTTGATCCAGTCTTTTCTAGTTACGAGTTTTGGTGTAGTGAAGATTGTTGGGACTAGGGATTCATGTTTGATCCTTTGGGGGTTGTGATGTCTCACTTTGGTAGGTTGAGAAAAGAAAAAACGAAAGAAGAGATGGCAGGACACAAGGTCGCACATGCGACATTGAAAGGGCCCAGCGTTGTGAAGGAGTTAGTCATCGGTCTGGCACTCGGTTTAGCTGCTGGTGGTCTTTGGAAGATGCACCATTGGAACGAACAGAGGAAAACCAGAGCTTTCTATGACTTGCTTGAGAGAGGCGAGATCAGTGTTGTCGCCGCCGAAGAGTAATGAAGCTGCGCAAAAACTTATTCTTCAAGACCAGTGCCTTCGAGTTCTGGTTTTTCTTTTTCTTTTTTGTAATAACTCTCAGATGAGTTGGGATTTTGTGAAATAAACGAATCTGATAATGGGATTTGTTCGATCATAAACAGACTCAAATGTTGATGTTGATTCAGACATAAAATCTCTGTTGTTTTGTTTTTGTATTGTTGTCTGAGAAACCACCACAAAAGGTGAATATTTTGGAAACTTATTCATGGAAGTATATTGCATTTGACAGAAAGTAATTCCAACTTTGTGATCCTTTTAGTTTTGCATTATTATATGAATCCGAATATTCTATGAAAAAAAAAATAGTTTGTTGTTGCATCTGCCAATTGCTATGTTCCATGTTTCTGCAAGTGCATTCGAATGCTGCATTTGCCCTTGGTGACCAAACCGGGCCAGAGACTCTGAAAAACAAAAAACATAACCAGAGATTTCAAGTTTTCAACAGACTGATCAGGTAATCATACGTGAGAAATCTTGTGGTTTTGTTTTCAGGTTGGGAAGTAGTGATCACGAATTTACCAGAGAAGTGATCTCCTTAGCTTTGAGTGATCTTCAAGCTCACCAAACTCAGGATTACCACCTCCTGTGGCAGTCGCTACTTTATCTGCAGAATCTGATTCTTCTTTGGATTGGTCTGGACTTGTGTCTACATCTGATGTGTTTGGAACACAGTATTTTTGAAGCCAGCGGTCAGTTTCCCAGAGAACGTGCATAATGCTTTCCCGCGCTGAGTAGCCATGGCTCTCGTGAGGAAGAACAACAAGGCGGCAAAGAGCGCCGTGACCTTTCAGTGCGTTAAAGAATCTATCCGACTGTTATCCAAAAGTATATGAAACGAAAGTAGTTAGAGAGAGCAACTAATTCAGAGAAAATTGGTGTGGATTGGAATCTAATCCGTTCCGGTGATTTTTTTTGATATTATAACCTGCATTGTTAGCGTTCCTGGGTTATTGTCTTCTTCACCATGGATGAGCAAGATTGGCTTCTTGATTTTATTAGCAGACATGAATGGGCTCATCTCTACATACACGTTAGTAGCTTCCCACAGTGTTCGGTCCTCATTCTGAAAAATTTCAGGCATAGTTAGAGTTTAACCAGAGATAAGTCAACTATCTACCCGAAAGCAGAGAATGAGACGAGAAAGAAAATGGTCATGGTGGCACCTGGAAACCAAAGGGCGTGAGTGTTCTGTTGTAAGCGCCAGATCGAGCTATTCCGCAGGAGAAAAGATGAGGAGCATGAGCAAGGAGATTTGCAGTCATAAACGCTCCATACGAGTGTCCCCCAACAGCAATTTTGCTTGGGTGAGCCACCTTGAAAAATGGGGGACCAAAAGAATACTAAGTTTCCACATTTTTGTGGTTTACTACAATAGCAATGATGGAATTGAGGATCAAGCAATGCTTACTCCACGCCTGACGACTTCATCTACAGCAGCCTCCGCACTTGTAACCAATTGCTCTACATACCTGAAAATGTTGTTTTTGTTGTTCACATTAGAACCTGTCAAGCTCAAGCACATCTCAGATCCAAAACTTAAGTGGTTTGCTATCAGTAGCACATTAGTTTTCTTATGCTTACAGGAAACTTTTATCAATAAAATGAAACTGGTTTCCACGTTTTAGCTACCAGCTTATCAAAAGTAAACATCATAGTACCTATCGTTAGCCTCTTCATCACCTTCACCAATTATAGGTATAGTAGGTCCAGATAATATAGCGAACCTGCACAATGCAGAAGAATCCAGATGGTATAAGCGAGCACTCAATCAACTAGCCCAACAAAATAGACTCCAGGACAAGCATAGAATTGGAAAATGTTTGATACCTTCTAGCAAGCCAAAGAAGGGCAGAAGTTGAACCAATGCCTGCAAATTCATTTGGGGAGCCACGGACTTGACTAGCAGCATCTTTGCTCTTAAATTCACCAGGATAAGACCAAAACAGACAAGGCAGAGGGCCGTCTTTTGATGGATCATAGCCTGGTGGTAAGTATAGTGTTGCGGTAAGTTGCACCCCGTCTTTTCGTTGATACCTGATCATCTCTTTCTGTAAGGAAGCCAACTGGGGATAAGGATGAGGGAAATTCGTTATCTGTTGCACTTTCCTATCAGGCCAAAGTTGGAGGGAATATTGGGTATTCTCAGTTTTTGACTCCTTTGATGTCAGAATTTTAAGCTCCTCCATCCTCAAATCCCCTTCTTTCTGGTCAGACATCAAGGCCACAACCGTCTCGAAATATTTTTCCTTGTCGCTCTCCCAGATCCTTTCTTTGTTGCCTGTGTTTCTAGATATATTTTGTACAATGTATACCCAGTTAATTACCACATTATGTCAATATAACCAAGAGAAGAAATGCAAGAAGGAGAAGCCTTTGTCAGCTAGGGCTTACATCTCAAACAAGTCAAGGAAAGGTACATTCCCTTGTGGTGTAGCCCCACTTCCGTTCAGTAAGACATAAGTGCCTTCATCATCTTCCTTCTTTATCTTTGCCATTACATAAGTTCCAGCAGCGGTTCTCCTCAGCATGGTTGAGCCAGGGTCTGAGTATACGTCTTCTGATGATCTATCGAACAATATGCGTGGACTAACATCGTTAGACCCAGGAGAGATAAGCCATGTCCTTGTCCGTCGTGTTTTATACCATGATTCATAAACCAGAGCTAATGTATCATCACACCAAGAAATCCCTCTGCAGATATAAAATCGAATCAACGTTAGGAACCATGCAGTTACTTTGATTTGCTGATAGAAGATGGCATTGATAATCTACAACAATATCTGCTGTGGTTTTAGTTTTTACCCATAGCGAAGATCAAGCTTGTGCAAAACTTCTGGTTCTTCTCCTGCCAGTGGTTCCGCAGACTGCATATAAACTATATCACGAGGTGAAGCTTCCACTTTGGCGTCACCTCCATCTTGTGTCTCTGCCCTACATATCTCAGAGAGTTGTAAGTAAATTATTTCCGAATCACATTTTTGAACCATGTGAATCACTTTGAATATCAAATAGTTACCAGTAGAGGGTTGACGGCTTGTCTGCTCGCCAATTTATAGAACGCATTCCTTTCCGCACACTATTGGAGGCTATGGGGATATCTTCGGCTAGGGGCAAGTCACATAGCTGTCTTACAAATTTACCATCAGCTGTCCAGACTTCCACCTTCTTTGGAAATCTACCACAAGGTACAATGAAAGAATACGGCCTGTGAAGGGACGAAACTAACAAGTACTTATGGTCTGTCGAAGGGTCTAACGACGTATACACAGCAGGTAACCCAACTTCCTTTGCTGTGCCATCCAAAGAAGCCAATACTAGTTGTGACGTAGCATAGTAGTCGAATAAATCAGCATCGTATTCATCCTTAAGCAAATCCTGGAACGTTCTCACTTGGACAACACTCTTCTTCTCGTTTGACAGAGTTTTGGGGCCAGACGGGACCAGAGGTTTCTTTGGTGGGTCTCCACGAGATGAAGGGATTGTGCTCACCAGCAAAGTGGAATCATCAATCCAAACAAAACTCTCGAAAATGGCATTCAGATGAATATCTTGTGACTTAAACAGTGGTCTAGCTTCTCCAGTCTCCACATCAGCTACCCATACTATAGGCTTACTAGTGTTTCCGTTCTCATCGATCCGGACGCTGAAAGCCAGATGCTTACCATCATTGGACCATGTAACAAAGTTGATCTTACCGCCATCTGGAATGCCAGTGATCTCCTTCTCTGGACTCAATGTACCATTAGGCAATAGCTGATGGATTCCTAAGCCAGTGTAGAATGACATCCTGCTTCTGGTGTTGCAATGTCCATCGATTCGAACACCCGCAAGCTTCTCCTCTGGTCTGGCTAAATCTGCCAACGGAGGCAAAGCTCTACGCTTGAGAAACAAGATCTTATCCCTATGTGGTGAAAATGACAACGCCGGGACAGGTGGCGCATCGACAATATCTCTGATTTCGGGTGGAGGGAGACGATATCCAGTGCCTGATGCCAATTCTACATGGTTCAATCACAAAATTAAATTACGTAAACACACACACACATCTCTCTGATTACGCAAAATTTCACATAAGGTATCATCGAACGAATTTAGAAAAGCAGGCCAAAACAAGCAATCATTTCTGCAGATAAGAGTTCGATTTCAGTGACAAGTAACAAAACTAACTATACAATAAACATTCAAATCCAATTTTCATGTACACAATCGACTGGTAGTAAGAAGACTTTCCCGTATCACTTGAATCGAACAAAAATCGGCGGAAATGGAGCAATTACCATCATCTTCAGTTGCCGTAGCGGAGGCTGAAACTGAGCCATTAGAGCTGCTACCACCACCGTCTTCTGCGCCTCCGGGACATACAGATGCGAGACAGCGAAGCCTAGAAGCAGAACGTGGAGACATGGTGACAGTGGTGAGCGAGTTTCCGGAGAATCGGCGAACTCTTGGGCAACGAAGCGTACGCAGCGTCGAGAATCCGGAGAGCTTAGGAGGTAGAAGGAGAGACAGAGACGGAGACGGCGGAGATAAATGGCAGAGAGGCGACAGAGAGAAACGATGACAAGCTTTGTGGAAGCGCATCATTTTTGTTTCTGACTTTTTAGCCTTTTTAAAGTGCGATGATTCCCTTTTTCTATTCGACGGTTGTATTGTATTGTATTGGATATAGTATCCACTAATAATAATTACAACAAGAAAATATCGGTTTAGGGCGTTTTAAGATACGGTCGAGTGCACCATATCTTCGTGGACGTCACTATATCTTATGTGGGCCTTAGCTATGGCCCAACTTGCTAGTTTCTTTTATAGAATATGGCCCAGAAAAAGTCCATCATTCCCTAAGCACTCAGCCGTTACAAATGTGAAATCCATATATAGAAATTTATCATTTGTAAAAGTGTTGTCAGTTTGCTGGAAACTGAATATTTGTAAAAAAATCTAATAACACGCGGCGCAATATGCTTGGTTGTTAGGGGATAAGAGGATCGTGTTCACAGAGTTCAATAGCAAGAAGCAGTATTTATCTTCTTCTCCTCTTCACATGAGAAAAATCTTTTTCTCTCCATCAAAATCCTCCAACGATGACAACCATAGCTGCAACCGGTCTCAACGTCGCGACTCCGCGAGTGGCTTTTCGACCGGCGGCTCGTCTATCCGCCCCGGTCCGTGTGAATTACCCGCGGAGATTCGGTTCGATGAACCGGATGGTTATGGTGAAGCCGGTGAAGGCGACATCGGAAGGAGGGATATCGGATAAGGTGGAGAAGAGTATTCAGGAAGCGAAAGAGACTTGCGCCGACGATCCGGTGAGCGGTGAGTGTGTGGCGGCGTGGGACGAGGTGGAGGAGCTGAGTGCGGCGGCGAGTCACGCTAGGGACAAGAAGAAAGCTGGTGGATCCGACCCTTTGGAAGAATACTGCACTGATAATCCCGAGACTGATGAGTGTCGTACTTATGATAATTAAAAAAAATGTTTTTGATATTTGAAAATTTAGGTACTTGTTCTCGCCGTCGTGTTTGGTTTGGTTTTGTATGTTTGGTGGCTTGTAATCTGATAATGAATATGATGAATAGTGTGCAACTACAATACACATGAGCTGTTTCATTGATTTCTACGTTTTTCTTTCTTTTCAATTAGCTTTGATGAATTACCTTCTGAGTCTGTGGAATTGAGAAAGAAATGTTAATTATTTTATTTGGAAAACTATAGTTCAAGTGTTCAACAGTATATTTAGAGGAAATACGATAACAAATTGCCACAACAAGAACATAAATCTGCGGAATTTGATTAATGAGCTGTACCACAATTCATGCACCAATCTATGCAAACAAATTACAAGTGGTCTAAAGCTTGTCAATAAAGTTCATGTTGGGTTCTTGAATACTCGTAAGTCGTGAGACCTCCATACAACTAAAGTCTAAAGCTAACCATTTTGTTCAGAGTTCGGACCATTGCCCAATATGCGAATGTTATTATTTTTCAATTGATTTATATTGATGCTATATTGGGCTTTCTTAAACATGGGCCGATGTATCGACCGGCATATAGAACATGCTAATGGCCACCCCACGGTCCTAACCAACAGTAACATAACGAATTAGTGACGCAAATTGCAATCTAATTGACCTGAACTGTATTTTAAAAACCAAAATGTAACAAATATTTTATAACAAATTTTGTGAAAGCTATGAACTTTAATCGAATGGATTCAAACCCGTCCATCTTATAGCGTTAAACTGTATTTATTTATTTTTTTTTAAAAAAAACATGAGTACTTTTCATGCTTTTGTGTGTATTTGCAATTTTGAATTCGTTCACTTAGAATTTTTGGCGGTAAGAAAAGTAGAATTTCACAGGAAATGCATCCGAAGTGGGCATCAGTATCAACAGTTAAATTTGATGGTAAGTAATATACGAATGTAATAAAACAACGAATTTAGGCGCAGATCTATTATTTCTTGTCTCGGCCGCCATAGAAGAGGTCATTTATACCCTTACAAGTTTCAGGCGGGTAAAGAAGATGCGACAGCAATTAAGGGGTGCATCTGTCTTCTTACACATACGTTGCCGAGTTTTCTTTTTCTTCTTATTAATATTGTATTTTCCAAATTTCATCACCCAGAAAAATCTACAGCGGTAAAATAAATAAAAAGGAGAAAAAAAGCGTCACTGCTCTTTGTTTCCTTCTTCCTTGTTCGCTCGACCTGGCGATGTCGTCGTACCAGGAGTCGCAGACAATCCGCAGAATGTAACGTTGTCACTGCTCGTCTCTCGTTTTCGCGACATCGGAATCATTCGGATTCGCTGTTCATCTCTCTGGTCTCTCTGCTCGTCGAATAGGAATCAAAAGTCATTTCATAACCACTCGTCAGGTGCTAGTCTTTTGGTAGCTGTATGTTTGTCCACACCCTAGATTTTAACGAGGTTAGGGTTCTGATTGCGCTTCTCCCTTCTCCTTTTTAGCTGCGGAATGCGGGTTTTTAGTTGGATTTCATTTTTATGTTTGATGGGTGATTTTCTATGTAATTCGATCTTAGGGATTTTGATTCCGGAATAACTCGTTCGAATCGCATTGAGCTTAGTGATGAACACGTAAGAGGGCGTTTAAGATTGTGTCTCAATCCTTTCAATTCAATTCCTTTGATGTTTAATGAAGTGAATCAACTTTCTTTGTGTATTCTGTTGTTTGTTCGGTCGCTGGGTCAAGGGCCGATTTTAATAAGCTGATAGATGATCATCTCCTGTGTAGGGATTAGGAAGGGAAGATAGCATTATTACCTCAGATTCCAACTAAAAAGAGAACCTTTGTTTATTTAATGTCATTTGTGAATCTGTGGACGTTGCTGCTCTGAAAGGGACTTGGTAGATTTTCCGTAGTGCATGCTGCATCTTAAGGATACTATCTTTTACTTTGGCAGTGACATTTAGTTGACGAGTGCGTCTCTATCCTCAGGCCGAGTTAAGCATGGAGTGGATACACAAATCTAACCCTTGTATGGAAACTTCGAATTTGGCAAACGCGGTTCAAAGAAATCTTCCTCTTCAGCGACAGGAGAGACTTGTTTGCCACTCGTTGCTAACTGATGTAGATATGGACCTTAGAGAAGTGTATTTCCTGATTTTGCATTTTCTTTCTACCGGCCCCTGCGAGCGAACATTTGGGCACCTGAGAGATGAAGTTTTTGAAAAAGGGCTTTTGCCCCGTAGATATCATTCTTGGTGGTCAAGAAGTGGCACTTGCAGTGGGCGTGCTGACGATGATGGCATCTCCCTCCCGTTGAATTATGATAAATTGGTAGAGAGGTATACTTTTCTTTTTCTTTGCTCAGCTCTTTCATTGTTACTGTGGAGGCCTTGCCATAGCCTATTGAATAAGTCGTACTGTATTTGAGGGTTCCCACCTCCCTACTTGACCTAACTATTTTGTCCTCCCACATGTTTCTTTTACTGACAGGTATCCTCATATTGAAAAGGATCACTTGGTGAAGCTTCTCAAACAACTAATTTCAAATCCACCTTTTCCTTCACACATGAGAGTTGAAGGAAATACTCCTAGTGCTGCTGATGTTCCAACACTATTGGGCTCTGGAAACTTTTCACTTGTGGATTGTACGTAATAACTCATATCCATCTACTTTTTCTTTTTTTTTGCCTGAATTTGAAATACTTATCCATGAATGTTTTTAGAAAAATGGGCACTTTGACGAAATGATGTTTGGAAAGCAGGATATCTTTTTTACTTTTGCATGCTATTCAGTTGATTTTATTCCGACCGCACGTTGTTTCTAGAATAGTTCGCTTGCCTTAAGGACAACATGTCTCTCGTGTCTTTGGATCTGGTACTTGGAAAGAATCGCATAAATGTATAAAACCTGAGAGTGGCTTTAGGGCTGTGCGTATTAGATTTATTTTCGTTCTGGTTTTGATAATCTATCCTTGGTAACATGACCTGTGTTTGGATTTCTGCTGAAGTAGATCATATAGGAGAGACTAAGTCTGTCTTCATGGATTTGATTTTAAATTTCATTCTGTGTGAAGATAAAAATATGGAGTCTCAGAAAGTCAGGCACGTTGCGTCATACTTACGCTGGCCCCATATGCATGCCGATCAAGTGCGCGGCCTAAGTTTCAGAGAAATTGGAGGAGGTTTCAGAAAACACCACCGTGCTCCGTCCATTCTTTCTGCATGTCATACTATTGCAAAACCATCAACAATGGTTCAAAAAATGCAAAATATAAAGAAGCTGAGAGGACATCGTAATGCTGTTTACTGCGGTATGATCTTCATTATACATCCTTTGTGATGAATCCATGGTCTGTGGGAATTCCATACTTTATATTGTCAGATGTGCAACCTTGTAATTTATTCCAACCTGATTATATATATAGTATCTTGAAGTCATAATGCAGTATGTCCTAATAGGAACACATTTGTTGTCACAGACAGTAACAGTATGGCTATTTTTTTTTTTTTTTTTTTTGCACAGCTATATTTGATCGTTCCGGAAGATATGTTATCACTGGTTCCGATGACCGGCTTGTCAAAATTTGGTCAATGGAAACTGCGCTTTGCTTGGCTAGCTGCCGCGGGCATGAAGTGAGCTATTGTTTTCCATATTTGTATTGTTTACTAGTCTATAAAATTAATTCTCAACTTCTCGCCTATGCATGTTCCCTGTAGGGTGACATTACAGACTTGGCCGTTAGTTCAAACAATGCTTTGGTGGCATCAGCTTCAAACGATTTTGTGATTCGAGTGGTAAGAATACAATTCCCAGTCTTTAATATCTTCACCGTTTTTATTTGTTTGTCAGTTATACAGTATTGATTTTTATGACAGTGGAGGTTGCCTGATGGAATGCCAATTTCTGTATTGCGGGGACATACTGGAGCTGTTACTGCTATTGCATTCAGTCCCAGGCAGGGGTCTGTTTACCAACTTTTATCGTGAGTTCTGTCAATATGTCTCTATTTTAACTAGTTCCTTTCAATTTGGTTTTATCTGTTCAAGAGACCACCCCTGGATATTTAGTCTGGATGTTTCATACTGCTTCCTGCATTGGTGATCAGTTATTTGTGCTTTATTTTTTTTAATCTATGTAGGTCATCAGATGATGGAACCTGTCGTATCTGGGATGCTAGGTACTCTCAATGTCTTCCACGAATCTATGTTCCAAATCCACCGGATACTGGCACTGGTAAGAAGGTGGCCCATCATTGTATTTTCTTCAATGTTAAAATATGTTTCGTTATAGAACTCATTGGAAGTTTCTTTTAGGAAAAAGCAATTTTACATCTTCTAACGCGGCATCTACGAGCAATGCATCTCAGAGTCATCAAATACTGTGTTGTGCGTACAATGCTAATGGAACCATTTTCGTCACCGGTAGCTCTGACAGCAATGCGAGGGTCTGTGTTAAACTTTCAACTTTAATTATCCTCCTTGGTAATGCAGAAACTACGGAGATGTTGTTAGGTTATAATTTGCTTGTTAGTCTTGATTGTCAGTATTTCCATAATCTGCAGGTTTGGAGTGCCTCAAAACCTAACTTGGATGATGCTGAACCGCCTACTCATGAGCTGGATGTCTTACGTGGCCATGAAAATGATGTCAACTATGTGCAATTTAGGTATTTTTCCAGCGAACATGATGCCTTTCTTAGATTGTGCATTTGTTGGTTGGAGAACATAAAAAAATATCTAAATTGTTTTCTTTTTTTTCTTATTAGTGGTTGTGCTGTGGGTCCAAGATCTTCAACAGCTGATACTCTGAAGGAAGATTGTTACCCAAAGTTTAAGAATTCCTGGTTTGTTTCACATTTCTTATAGTCATTACACTGTCTTCCTTCTATTCTTACTTTGAATCTGTTTAAGGTTTAATACGTTTGATTACTAGGTTTTGTCATGACAACATAGTAACCTGCTCTCGTGATGGTAGTGCAATTATATGGACTCCAAGATCACGTAAATTCCATGTAAGTTTCTTCAATCAACTGCGGAATGCAATGGTGGTTCGCAAGTTCATGACAGCAAATTTCCGATTTTATTATCAGTTTCCACAACCTCCTCGATGTTGTATTTCCAGGGGAAATCTGGACGCTGGATGAAAGGATATCATCTGAAGGTTCCACCTCCTCCACTTCCTCCACAGCCTCCTCGAGGAGGGCCACGTCAAAGAATACTTCCAACACCACGGGGTGTCAATATGATTATATGGAGCTTGGATAATCGTTTCGTACTTGCCGCTATCATGGGTAAGTATCATCAGAGGATATATTATGATGCATAGATTTTCATTGTGATGAATTTCTCTCTGTCTCACTTTGTTCTGGTCTTGAATAGTTTAATGCTTAACACTTATAGACGGTGTTTTTTGGTCACCTATTGGTGTTACGTGAACTTACTACTGTCTTCTGTTTCCCTGAACCTGTCGGTGTTTATTCAGATTGCAGGATTTGTGTTTGGAATGCTGCTGATGGAAGCTTAGTGCATTGCTTAACAGGTCACACGCAATCGGTAACAATCACCTAAATTTCTACTCCTTATCTTGATATCTTTTTATGGTTTTGATTTTGTACGCTTCATTGTGGTTCTCATTTCATGCCGACCTTCTCCCGAATGCCCTGTATTTTCCATATGGCATTTATCTTCATTTATTGTAGTTCAGCCCCAACTTGCTTGGGAAATACTAATATACGTATATGATCTGTTTCAATTATGCCCTCTTGGTAGTCCTATGTCTTGGATGTCCATCCTTTCAATCCTCGAATCGCCATGAGCGCCGGCTATGATGGGAAAACAATCATCTGGGATGTGAGTTTCATTTTTTTTTTTTTTTGAGGATATGAATAGTGATCTTATCAGTAGCATCACTTACCTCCTTAGATTTTTTTTCTTCTAGATATGGGAGGGTATACCAATCAAAGTGTACAAAATCGGGGACTTTAAGTTGGTTGATGGAAAGTTTTCACAGTAAGTAACCGATCAAACATCCAAGATAAGATCTTCTGTGTCCTATGTTTTGTTTCTGGGGTTTGCAAATGAGTCTGAAAATTGAAGAAACAGGCATGTTATGCATATCCAGTTGGGTATACAGTATTCATATTTCATTCATCAAAGACATCTGCTCCTAAAGCATCTATCTAGTCAGTGAAAATTATAGAATTGGTTACTTATCATAATTTTTTTCCTTGGTACTGTGTAGAGATGGGACATCTATTGTGCTTTCAGATGAAGTTGGCCAGATATATTTTCTAAACACGGGACAAGGAGAGTCTCAGAAAGATGCAAAATATGACCAGGTATGGTGGATTTTACATCTCGAACGCATGATCATTTTCTAATATATAGCTGTAGTCTAGTGATCCTCTATCACTTTCTAATCCTTTGTCTTGTCTTGTTTTCTTTAAGTTCTTCCTTGGTGATTATCGTCCTCTTATTCGAGATACCAATGGACATGTCCTTGATCAGGTTGGTTTCAAAAATACCTGTATCTTCTGTTTTCTTTCTACTAGTTCCCGTTGCGTTCTTTTTAAGAAATAACCGAATTACCCACACCTTCATGCTTTTTCTCTTGCTCCTCGTGTATGAGCGGAGATGTATGAATGATATCCTTGCACTTGCTTTATTGCTGACTAAATTTAAAGCTTTATAATTTCCATGGTGCAGGAGACTCAGCTTCTTCCCCATCGGAGGAACCTTCAGGATCTTCTTTGTGATTCAAGTTTGTGTTCAAAAGCTTATCTTTATGACAGTTATGCAAGATGTTGGTTATTCATAGAACATGTTCCTGGTGTTTTATTTTACTTCTCCAGGTATGATTCCGTATCCAGAACCTGACCAGACAATGTTTCAGCAACGCAGACTTGGTGCATTAGGAGTTGAATGGCGTCCTTCCTCAATAAAGTTTTCTGTTGGCCCTGATTTTAGTTTAGGTCAAGATTATATCATGCCTCCTTTGGCAGATCTGGATAGACTCATCGAGCCACTGCCGGAGTTTATAGATGCTATGTACTGGGAGCCAGAACATGAAGTTCTGAGTGATGACAATGATTCGGAGTACAATGCTGAAGTTTCCTCTGATGGAGCTAGGGCAAGCCCATGTTCCAACTCTTCGAATGAACTTGAGTGCAGTTCCGAGGACAGTGACGTTGAAAACATTCACGAATATAGCTATCATCGAAAAAGAAGAAGAAAACATCCTAGAGTATGTTTTGTTCAACTCATGCGTTTTTGTTTGTCCGTTACTAATTGACTAACTCCAGTTTTCTCAGGCTGAGGTCGCTGTTTCATCTGGAAGGCGTGATAAGAGAATTTTGGATGAGAATAATAACTCGAGATTTGGAAATAAGAGAACCAAGAACCCAAGAATTGGCGTGAAGGCTTCAAAAAGAAAATATTTTGATCTCAAGACATCACGACCGCAAAGAGCAGCGGCCCAAAATGCTCGGTCCTTGCTTTCAAAAATTTCTGGAAGCTCTTCGGATGAAGTTGATGATTCATCAAACAGTGAATCTGATAGAAGCGCACCCCTTTTGCCACTGTTGGAAAAACCATCTCAGATGCTGGAATCTCTTTCAAAGGACAAACAGAAGAAAATATTGATTGTTAAGTTCTCGGGTAAGAAGCAAACAGAGTGTGTGGAAAGCAAGGGAGATGTAATGAATCAAGCTGATTTGGATCATGTTTCTTCTAAATATGTGGAGGGGAATCACAAAGTGACTGGTAGTAAATACTCCAGAGAAGCTGGGTCAAGTTCTGTAGATGCAAAAGGTGCTTCATGGTGTCAGGATATGCCCCATTCTGTGAATACGCCACAGAGAGAAAAGGCCGAGAATCAGCTGATAAAATCTTCAGATCAGGGCCACGATATGTGCAAGTGGAGGGAAGAGATTCCTGTTTGTGAATCCACCGAATTAACTGTGCCTGAGAACATTGAAGAACCCCAAACATTTAATGGGTACGGGAGATCTAATTATGATTATCAAGGAAAATTATGTTCATATTAATACTTCCACAATATCTAATTCCTTGTATTCTCTTGCAGGGATGAAGATCTGTCTAGAGTTGAACCATTGTCTAATCAGTCAAGACATTGTGATATAGATACTTCCATGGAAGCTGAGGAGATTCTTCCAAAGAAAGTTCCACCACTGAGAATTAAGTTTCGGCTTCCCAGCAGTCCTCCAAAAGTAGAGCCTGATGAGGTAGCAGATGGTTTTGCATCCATAGCTCCCTCCTCCATGAATCCGACTATGGATTCTAAACCTGTTAGATACTCTCCTGCGCATGACTTTGAGTTTGGTGAAGCTACAGCCGATGTGATACGCAGGAAGAGATCCGTGAGACCGAAGGCCACTTCGAGTGAATCTAGTCCAAGAAATAGTGGATTACGTTTGAGGTCAGGCTCTGGATCTGTTGATAAAGTAAAGAAACAAGGAATTCCTTCCACGAGCGTGTATGATTCTGCATCACTTGAAGAATGGCCTTCTACCTCAAAAGCGGGGTCCCGGTCAAGATCTGCCAGCGCCAGCAAACAAAGTCTCAATACTGGGGTTAGCTTGAATAGTGTACCAAGAAAAATCTCATGGTTACTGTTGTCAGAACACGAGAAAGGGTGCCGTTATATACCCCAGCTAGGGGATGAAGTTGTTTACTTGAAGCAGGTAGGTCCTTTTTGTTCTGTCACTTGCATGTGTTAATTTGCTAGACCTGGAATTAACCAACTTTCTGTGGTTGTCGATTTTAGGGTCATCAAGAGTTCCTTAGTGGAGAATCAAATGTCAGTGATCGATCGAAGTACCTTCCTCGAAACCTAGGAGCGGTAGAGACTTGCAGAGTCGAGAAACTCAAGTACGATACATACCCTGGTTCTGGTGAGAGCTGCTGCAAAATGACCCTCAGGGTTGTGGAGCCTTCTTCATCACATGCCTCCCGCAAAGAGTTCCAAGTGACACTTCCTGAAGTGGACTTCCCGGATTTTATTGTGGAGAAGAGTCGATACGATGCTGCAATAAAAACAAACTGGGAAGTCGGTGTTGAATGCCGTGTGTGGTGGAGAGATGCGCTCCTTGGAGGCGGTACTTGGTGGGAAGGTAGGATTGAAGCTTCACAAGTAAAATCCAGTGACTTCCCAGACAGTCCATGGGAGAGATACAGCGTTGTCTATGATACTGGGGAGCAAAGTCTTCACAGCCCCTGGGAGTTTGAGTTTCCTTGGGAGAACCCTAGTATCGACCAAAAGACAAGAGACGAACTACTTTCTTTATTTGCTGGACTGGTGAAGCATCGGGTTTGTCTTCTCTCCCAAAAATCTCATTCCTCATCTTTCTCTTACCCTCGCTTTGCCTCTTAACCGGTTATTTGCTTCTGTTACTCCTCAGGATAGCTATGGAATCGAAAAGCTGAACGAAGCTGCTCAGAAGATGGATTTCCGCAATAGGTACACTTGTGCAATTGATTCTTTCAAACCCTCCCGTAATAAACTTGAAGTCAATGCTGTTTCATGCAACTCAGCCTCCGCACTTAAAAATGGCAGGTTCCCGGTTCCGTTATACCCTGAGCTGATTCACCAGAGAGTAGAGAATGAGTACTACAGAAGCATCGACGCGTTTAAACACGACGTGGATGCAATGCTCTCAAACGCTGATTCTTATTTTGCTACAAACACACAGATGGGTTCAAAGATAACGCGACTCCGAGAAAAATTCACCAAAACGTTAAGAAAGGTGTAGCAAAGCCTGATGATGGTATGTATCTTTTGATCCTTGCCGATCAAATGTCTTTGCAATCGCCTTGGTCGCAACATTTTTTTATAAATAATTATTATATAGCGAAAGAAAATGAAAAAAGTTTTCACTTTAGAAAAAGGAGGTCGGTATCTTGTTTGTCTGTTGTAGTCACCCGACACAGGTTCATGTATAGATCGAGACATCGAGTTGCTTTACTTGCACTAGACTAACATGTATGACAGAAATTTACTCTTTTGTCACAAGAATGACATCACGAGACGAAGATGATTATTTATAAATCACAGCTAAACTGTTTTCCTTCCTGATAATTACACTTCATTTTCGTTTAGAAAGTATTATTAATAATATGTGAGAAATCACAAATTAAAATGAGCTCAAAATAATAAAATAAAAAGTGAACAATATAAATAGAAAAATGATGATTAGAGAAACGCAGGCAGAATCCTAAAACCCTAATCTTCGGCGAAAAGAAGGAACAAGCGAGAGGCGGCGATCGAGAGCGAGCGAACAACAATGGCGGGAGGAAAGATGAGGAAGGAGAAGCCCAAGGGAGCTCCGTCGAACCAGTACCAAGGAGGAATATCCTTTCACAAATCGAAAGGTCAGCATATCCTCAAGAACCCTCTGCTTGTTGATTCGATCGTCCAGAAAGCTGGGATTAAGAGCACCGATGTGATTCTCGAGATCGGTCCCGGTACTGGTAATCTCACCAAGAAGCTTCTCGAAGCTGGCAAGGAAGTTATCGCCGTCGAGCTCGACTCTCGTATGGTCCTCGAGCTTCAGCGCCGCTTTCAAGGAACCTCTTCTTCTAACCGCTTGAAGGTAACACCAACTTTTTCGTTCGAGTTTTTGTTAGCTCCTTTTTTTTTTTGTCTCAGTGATGGTCAATGAATGGTTTGGTGGTCTGAAAGGTAATCCAAGGTGATGTGCTCAAGACGGAGCTTCCCCGGTTTGACATATGCGTGGCGAATATTCCTTATCAGATATCGTCTCCTCTGACATTCAAGCTCCTCTTCCACCCGACAAGCTTCAGGTGCGCCGTGATCATGTACCAAAGGGAGTTCGCCATGAGACTCGTTGCCCAACCTGGAGACAGCCTCTACTGCCGTCTCTCTGTCAACACTCAGCTCTATGCCAGAGTCTCCCACCTCCTCAAGGTCGGCAAGAACAATTTCCGCCCTCCTCCCAAGGTTGACTCTTCTGTTGTTCGCATCGAGCCAAGGAGACCTCAGCCTCAGGTGAACAAGAAGGAGTGGGATGGCTTCCTCAGAGTCTGTTTCATCAGAAAGAACAAGACCCTCGGATCCATTTTCAGGCAGAAGTCTGTTCTTTCGATGCTCGAGAAGAACTACAAGACCCTCCAGGCTGTGCTCGTTTCGTTGCAGAACACCGGAGAACCTGCTCTGAACACCGCCATGGATCTCGCGGGAATAGAAGAAGATGACGACAACGATATGGATGAGGATGATGATATGGAGATGGAGATGGATGGAGGAGAAGGAGGAGAAGCATCAGAGTTCAAGGTGAAAGTCATGAATGTGTTAATGGAAGGTGGGTTCGAGGAGAAGAGATCTTCAAAGCTATCACAGCAAGAGTTTTTGTATCTTCTTTCGTTATTCAACAAGTCCGGTATCCACTTCTCATAATTCATTTTATGGGTCGATAAAGTTTTGTCCTTTTTTCTTTTTAATCAATTCTTCATCAAAGGAAAGACAAAGTGTACCACCATGTTTTTGAAGCTTTGACATTTGAATGTGAAGAAAACCAATTTAAATTATTGAGTGATTCACTCTACCCTATTTCTTTTGCTCATAATTATTTTGTCTATTTGAGTTAAACAAAGAAATGAGAAAATTGACTTCTTAAATGTCTCTGGGTTGGGGTGGAAACTGAAAGTTGATAAAGTTATTGAGCCAAAAACAAGTTCTTCCCAAAAATAGTCATTGGATCTTATTTCAAAAGAAAACTATAAAAGAGAAACCGCTATAATGATTGTCATATTAACAACCTTTCTTCTATATGCATGGGGGAATATGAAACCCCCAAACCAACAGCACCATGTCAACAAAAAAGCCGCTTCCTATTTACTTACATAGTAGCATTAACAGTTTTCCACTTGCTATCGATTTGTCTAATGATGTTGGCAAGTTTGTCCTGATTCAGGTTCTTCTCTAAGAAGGCATCCATTCCAGCTTCTATGGTTTCTAATGCTTCCCTTGAACCAGGATCATGGCCAGATACAGCTATTATCGGTATATGCACTCCATATCTTCTCTCCACTTTCCTTATCTCTCTAGTTGCTTCATATCCATCCATTTCTGGCATCTGTGCAGTGCAGAAAGACATTATACTTCATTTTAGGAGTTGAACCATTTTATATGTTGTTTAATGGAGTTAGTCATTAGATTACCTGGCAGTCCATGAATATGTAGTCAAACGGAAGCACATTTACTGAAGCTTGATGCTCTCTCTGTGTAAGCCATTCACTCACTAATCTCACAGCTTCTTTTCCACTGTCGCATTGTTTGACCTCAGACACTCCCATCTTCTTCAGCTTTCTCGCTGCGACTGAAGATGTTATACGGTTATCATCAACCACCAGGACTCTCTTTCCTCTTAAGAATTCATCATCGTTCGCGCTCGAAGTTCCTTGCTCCTCCCCTTCTCTGCTCCCTAGAGGCTTTCGACCAGTACGCACCGACTTGTCCCAAGTCTCCCTCTCTGAATCTGTTGGTGCCATTATTGACTTGCCTAGCTTTTTGTTATACCTTGAGCTCGGTACCTCTTGGATTTCACCTCTCGCTTGTCTCAGTTGCGACTCCCTTTGCAGCTCAGTAGGTGCTTCTTTTGGATCAATTCCTCCAAATTCAGGCAACATCTTCAGCACTTGGTGAAGACGAGATCCGTGCAAAGGTTTCAAGCAACTAATGTCCCCTCTCTCACTTCCCCGGCCGCTCGGTTCGTTAAGCCAGACAACTTTACAGGTTATGCCATGGTGCAAGCCTCTACGAAACTGCTCGACAATGTCGAACAACTCAGAGAATGGTCCGGCTTTTGCATCAATCACCAGAAGGACAAGCGCAGAGAAACTGTTGCTTCTCCTTCTAGGAATCTGGCTCCTGGAATCAATAGCATCCATGGCAATCAAAGGTAAATCCCTGGAGCTCGGGCTTGAAATTTCGTTTCTCAAACTACCCTCTGCTCTTCCCATTGAACTCTGAGGTGAAAACCTGGCAAGTCTCTCCAAGACATGGCTCAGATGCTCCCATTTTTCCACCACTGTGACTTTGATTCCCAGGATCTTTATGTTTTTCTCCGTGACTCTTCTTCGTTCTTCATCTTTGAGCAGGAGAACCACTCGAGAAGCTTCCTGCTTTGGACTCGAGCTGAGACAGTTGTTGAATCGGGGGCTCAGGTTCCGTATGTTCCTGCCACCTCCCAAAGAAGTGTTTATAGTCAGACCGAGGTTGGGGGTGGATATGTAATTTTCTCCCGCTTCACTGTCCTGTCTCACTTTCATGTCACTCGCGGGCGACTCTGAGGTTGTCAGTAAAACATTGAACTGGAAACAGGTTCCCTTCTCTCCCAACGCCTTTTCAGTGATTCTTATCTCTCCTCCCATTAATCGTACCTGTAAAAACAGAAGCCATTAGATGCATTGCGTAGAGAATCAACCGTTTCAGTTTAGGCTTTTAGTTGCTTACCAGAGACTGCACAATCCCGAGTCCTAGTCCAGTTCCTTGCTGTCCTTGCGCTGTTTCTCTTACCTGAACATAGTTCTCAAACACCGATTTACGCATCTCCCCTGGAATCCCTTTGCCTGTATCGTCCACTTCAAACACAAACTCCATCGTGTTGGCATTGTTTCTTATGGAATTCGAGATCTCTGTCTCATAGTTCGATGGCTGGTCTTTATTCTTGCAGAAGAGACACTTTGAAAACTTGGTTACGCATCCGTCAGGGTCCGATGCCAGGACCACAGAGCTCTTGGAACCAGGCCTCTGAGCCCAAGCTCGGATCGATATGTGCCCGTCGACTGTGAACTTGACCGCATTGCTCACGAGATTGTTGAGGATTTGCTTGAGTTTGCCACTGTCCCCTCGCACATTCGAGGATTTGAAAATCGAGCCATCGTGCAGATCCAAGACCACATCAACCCCTTTCTTCATCGCGACGGGATGGAAGAAATCGACCACGTCTTCAAGAAGCTTCGCCATGTTGAACTCTTGTTCCTCTAACTGCATCTTCCCGCTTTCAATCTTGCTCATGTCCAATACAGAGTTGAGCAGAGCTGTTTTTAAACAACAATGCCAAGACTCTCTCTGTCAGGTCTCAAAATGAGAAAATGCGCATAAGAGAGATAGCTCAAGAATCACAGAGTCTTACCAACAAGATCATTTGTGCAGACATTCACTTGCTTAAGACTAGTGTCTAGCTCGGAGCCAGGTCTAACTTCTTCACGGCATAGATCAATGAGGCCGGTGATACCGGCAAGAGATCCTCTAATGTCGTGGCTAGCTCTCGCAAACGCTTGACTCTTGTTCATGCTCTTCCTCTCAGCCTGCTGTGTTGCTTCCATTTGGTTAATCAGCGTTGAACGCATATGCATCTCTCTTCTTGCTGCTCTCACCATAAACACAACAAACCCTGGAGGCCAGCACAATGCATAAAAGACCGTCACAATAAGCAGAGACAGCGCCGCGTTATTGATGCTTGTTCCTCCTCCTTTGTTGGGAAACATGAGTGCGTATCTCTAGTTAAAAAAAAAACAGAAGCTCAGAAACAAAGTGATGATTTTTATTACTATCAAGTGGAGAAGAACTAAAAAAAAAGTGTGTCTGATATAAGCATTTACCAGAGGCACGCCGGAAACTTCAAGAACAGAGCAAAAAGCTTGGAATTTCGATCTGTTGATCTCCACCCCGTAGCCACCGGAACTGCAACTTCCGGGGATGCATTGAGACCGCTCAGATTTTGGCTCTCCATCGAAGCAAATCGAGCCATTGGAGATGGAGAAAGAAGGATTCAGTGAACCTTCACGAACAAGCACCGTCCCGTCCTTAGTCCACATGTAAAGCTCTCCGCCGTGAAGATTCAAACGGTTCAAGACACCGGTTAAAGATTTAACCGGAAAGCCTAGCAAAATCACTTCTTTCTTGCTGTTCAAGCTAACCACGCTCTGAAACAGAGTCTCGTTATCTTCTCCTCCCAAACCAGTTCCCACAAAGGCGGTACCGTGATCTCTCAGTGCTGACTGGAACCAAACTGCATGGGTAACATCTAACGGCTGAGATCTCGTTGCATTACCATGGAGACGACCGGTTCTCTGATCAACGGTTTGAGTGTACCAAGTGTAGTCTCCACCACTCGAATTGGCAAAAACTGCGAAACTTGTGTTTGATTCTGTCACGTAAGAAAACAAGAGACCATCCGTACTAATGTACGATACTTGTGAGATTTGAGGGATCGTTGAATAAGCTTGAAACAACACTGGTGCGATCTGAAAAGCAATAACAACAACAACAATTATATATATATATAACAATAACTAAAGTGATCAACAATAGTAATCAAATCAACAACCTGTGTTTGAATCACTTGGAATTGGGTATTGTTGTCGGTGATATAAGAATCTATAACTCTGGCTAAACCGATTGTAGATGACTTCGTCTTGGGATCGATGAGTATTCCGATGTTTTCAATTTCGGAAACTAGACTTGACCGGAGATCTTCAGTGAGTAAAGCGACGTCGTTTGTTATGTTCTTCGTTGTTGTGCACCAAAGTACGATCGGTATGCACCCCAAGACAACCTAAATATCCATTGATACACACACACAAAAAATGAGTAAATTAGACAACCGAACGTTTATAGGTGAACAGTTGTCGTGTAAATTTTATTTTTATTCTTTATGTGCGAATGAGTAGACGGAAGACTCAGTAAAATAATTTGCGCTTGTCGAAGATGAAACCAAACAAAGTCGAAGACACTAGCTAGAGTCGGAACTAAGTAAATCCTAAAACCCTAAAGTCACGGCAAAAGAAAAACATAGATTATCATCTACAAATAGGCTAAATATATTAATAACCAAAAAGAAAATAAAATCATCGTATGAACACAAAACCCTATTAAGTAGCCTAATTATCCAACAATGATAGTCTAGAAGAAACAAAGAAATTACCAGGACGAAGAGGACGACTAATGGACGAGAAGTCACAAACTTTGTCACTTTCACCATCACTTCTGTAAATTTGAAGATCCACAAAACAAAAGCAAAAAAAAAAAAAAAAAAAAATCAAACTAATTAATAAGTGTATCTCTTTATCCCTTCATAACTTTCGATTCTCAAGATCCCTTTCTATATATAATTTTTTCAAAATTTGCCAAAACAATATCAAACTTTCTCATTTAAAAATAACAATAAGATACCGGTACGTTTGCCCGTTTTATAATTGCCAAAAAAGTACTATGCTACTATGTTGCCGTTTAACCGTCTGCAATAAGCTACAAGTGATGGGATTATCCTGTTGTTGGGGTTGGGGTTGGGGTAAACCAGATGAGAAAATCGATGGATTCCGCTAGGTTCTTTTTTTTTAAGCTTGTTGAAACTTGTTGTTTAACAAGAAGCTAGATTTTATAAATTGCTCCTTTATGGCTCCTGTAATTTCTTTACAGTTTGATCTTTGGTATTTTCTCAAAACGTTTTACATAGGATATACATGCATATGTAAAATACTATGTATGTATGATGATAAGAAATGTAAAATACTACAGACTATACAGATCTTCCACCAAACAAAATCTTAAACTCAAGTACAATAAGAATATTTATGAATATATCTTATGCATCGAAAAGGGAGAAAGAGAAGGTTGGTACAAACAAATCATGGTAATGAATAAAATAACAATCATCTAATTTTAGGAAACAATCTATTAGGCATAAGGATTTAATTTTAAATCTACATCTATTTCATTAAATCAAAATTCATGTAAAAGTTTATAGATCAAATTCAACGATCTAAAATGAGAGGAAAAAAACAAATTCGTTAAGAAATTCCAGATCAGAAAGGGCTGGTAAAATGATAAACCTTTGTGTAATTGAGTGAACAATGTGATATTGAGTGAACCATGAAAAGAAGGCAAAAGTAATGACATTCTTATATCCTTGTATACAGAGATTTATGTATGTGATTGTTTATATGTATGTACGTGTTAGGATGTATATATATGTTTGATAAAATGAAGAGATATTGACTTTTAATTTTCTGGTAAAAACTACGTATGAATGATGAATGAACAAGTTTGGATATTGTTTATTTAACAGAAAAAACTAATTTAAGGTAAACTTTTAAAAAAACCGCGGGAAAAATTATGTATACTAATAATTTTAAAAATCTAATGTATGTAATTGTTTATATGTATGTACGTGTTATGATGTATATATATGTTTGATAAAATGAAGAGATATTGACTTTTAATTTTCTAGTAAAAAAACTACATATGAATGAACAAGTTTGTATATTGTTTATTTAACAGAAAAAACTAATTTAAGGTAAACTTTTTAGAAAACCGTGGGAAAAATTATGTATACTAATAATTTTAAAAATATAATGTATGTAACTGTTTATATGTATGTACGTGTTAGGATGTATATATATATGTTTGATAAAATGTAAAGATATTAAGTTTTAGTTTTCTGGTAAAAAACTACATATGAATAAACAAGTTTGTATATTGTTTATTTAACAGAAAAAACTAATTTAAGGTAAACTTTTAAAAAAACCGCGGGAAAATTTATGTATATTAATAATTTTAAAAATCTACATACCTAATATAAACCGTAAATATAAATTCCAATAGTAACATAACAATAATAATATATATGTAAATACTGAAAAAATATTATATATATATATACTAAAAAATACTATTGATTTTTATTTTATACAGATTAACGAATTTATTTAAATATTGACAATTCATTTTCTATAAAAAATATATTTAAGTAACAGGTTTTCTAAAAATCATGGTACAATAAACCACTTTAATTATGCAAGTACGGTAGTACTTTATTAACTTACATATGTCCCACAAACCGTATATATATTAAATGTCCAATGATTACATAATAAAAATTCCAGTAAAAAATTGTTAGTATATAAACTTTTGTGTGATGGTACCTTTTTAAATGGTACTTTTTCAAAAAAAAAATGTGTAATAAATACAATAAATGTGAAATTTATTTAAAATTTACTAACAAGATTTATCATATAATTAAGTAGAGATAATTATAGTTAAAAAGAGAGTAATAATTACTATTTATCAGACATATATATACACATCTATCCAAGGACATTTAAAACACTATTATTAGTTTTTCATGTTGAATTAACTATTATTATTTAATTCCTTTAAAACATTAATTAAGCATCTAAAATTAAATTACAGGTTCTTCTAAAAGTCAACAAAAATCTATATGAGCTTTTTAACAACAAAAAGGATAATAGTTAAATGAGTATACTGAATATTTTTATATCTAAAATTTAAAATAAATTATTGGACGAACGTGATTTGCTGTTTATGTTTTACGGATTTACCAAAGAATTGCTGGTTAGTGGATTAGTGTCTTTCAAAAGCGGACAAATTTTTTATCTGTTTAGTTGGCCCAATAAATTTAATTTTGATATTTTTATAGCAATCACCAACAAACACTCAAGCCCACATATATAGAGCGTTGGAGACCTTTATACGTGTCTGTTTTTTCTTTTTTGAAGTATGTGTAGACCGGCTAAACTCAAAACAGTGATACAATTGATCTAATCATGTTTACGATGCATTTATTTTTTATAAGGTCAGTGTGTGAAATTCGGGTAAAGTCTAATCAGTAATCATGTCTGAACTTATATAAAACAGGTTTAGTGTTCAAAAGATTGTACCTCAAGAATTTAGGATTTTAGATAAAGTATAATCGGATTTTGATTATTTTTCCCATGCATGAACATCTTGGCATGGATACTCGGTACTCTCGTAGTCGTTTCTGTGCCCTCAACTATAACCTCAACAAATCGATCTCTCATATGTTTAGTCTAGCGAATGTAGACATGATCGGCGCCACCTCCACCTGACCCTAGCAGCTGACCCTCCACATCCATTTGAGTAGCCAGCGGCTGGTTCTGCTGAGAAATTGAATCAGCAAAACTATGATGTCAAATATGGTTAGAATCATTTCAGCTAAAAAAATCGTAGTTCAAAACTATAAAGCTTTTTATTTTTTCGTGTAAAATTTTAGATTTTTTAGTTTTAAAAATTTATACTTTAAATATAAAAGGATTTTTATTTTTATTTTTCAACTAATGTACTTTAAAAAAATTTCATGATATATTATTTTCGAAATCTGTTTAGCCCATATTTTTAGTCCTAACCTTTTTTCTACACTCCTGAGTGGGGCTAATGTATGAGTGTACCATGTGAAATGAGTTTTGACATACTCACAAATGTCCTACAAAGAACACATTGAGGACCATCCACTTATGAGATATACATGTGAGTGTCTCAATTGTTGTATCCTTATGCCTTTTATTAGTGTCCCACTCTCAATAAAACACACTTCAAAGTCTCATTCTTAAACGCTAATCGTAATCGCCAAACACAGTGCAGATAAGCGGCTGTTTCTATTAAGATAAGATTCTGTCCTGTGAGAGATAAAAGCCCATGAAACTCTATCATCAAAATCTGTGAATTCAGACTTTTATTCACATGTTTTCCCAATTATTGTCATTCCCTTTTTATTTTTACTTTTAGGTCCAGAGTACACCTTTGGATCGATTCTTGTCTCCATAACTAAAATTATAATCATTTTCGATATTCCGATCGAATTTCTTTAATACTTATATATATTTTTCGTTGAGTTTTTATTGCATTATTCACAGGACTTTTCAGCAAAGCATTGCCAAGCTGGTGCCTGACCCTCTTTTTCGATGCTTTCTTTTATTTCTTTTCTTCAAAATATTTATTACGTATATGATATACATACCATAGTCTCCTATGTAAAGGGAAAAAAACTTAAATAACGATATGTTAGTGACGTCAAAATAAATAATAATCATATAATTTTCTTCCTCTTGTAGAAGTTTTGTCTTCATTTTAATAGAATCATTCAACGTCAACAATGTCAGAATGTGTTTTTAATAATTATTGTAAATCAAATCTAACAACCTCGTTTTCATAAGCAGATATCTATTTCAGAAATAAACGAATAAAAAAAGGCATATACTTGCTTTACGTATAGATCAAAAAGCTTAATAACAGAGTAAAACGAAGAATTTGGAGATTTAATATTGTTAGAGTTTTTGAAAAATTAGGGCCTTTTGTGGAACTGCACATGGATAACTCATTCCCACGTGAAATCTAATCCGAGAACACGTGCCTTGGCTTTCAACAGAGGTCTCTCTGACTTTTTTGATTAGTTTCAGTTCCATCCAGAAACATAGAAAGAAAAAAACTAAACAAAAATATTTCAAAATCCAAAGAGGTGTAGATTCTTGGTTTGATGCCAACGTAAATATCATTTGGTTTTTAATATATTATAAAAATAATGACGTCCGTATTTGAATTGTGATATTTTAAATTATTCTACTGAATTCCAATAGTTGTTCTTGGGATATGTATTTCGTACGCCCACTTGAAAAATATTTACTATGATTTATTTGAAACCATATCGCCACCACCATATATACTGTAATATCAAGTATGTTGATGCTTATTAGAAACTTGGATATTTACCAAATTTTTCTTTAGAGCCTACGGTATAATTAAATATTTTTTTTCACATAATTAAATTTCAACATACAGTAGATATTTTAATTCGTGGTCGTATATGAAGATATTTTTAATCAGTTTAATGAGATTTTGCTATTGCAATGCATATATGCGTCTATATACGTTATGGTGTGCCTCCCCTAATACAAACATGTTTAAAGAATGGGGACCATGAATTACGTTTAATCAAACCTTTAACAATAAATATTTTGTATTTTAAAACTTAACAACTACTATGATAAATTTAAATTACTAAGTATATTAAAATATCTTCTTGATGTCATTATAATAACAGATAGATTCCCAGTGCTTTAAAATTACTCGAACCATCCTGGCAAAAACTGTGACCACCAGCTTTAAACCTAACGTCTCGATCCATGACAGTGTCTCTGGTATACATATAGTATATGTCCTAATTATCTATTTATCCTTTTCTCTACCAATGTGATTATAAATCAGGTCACAATTCATAAATAGTTTCTATGTAAATACATGGAAATTTGTGAAATGTTTGTCACTTTTAACGTTTGGTGGACTTCACTTGTTTATACCTTACAGTCATCCAAATTTTCATATTTTATTGGCAAACAGAACATATATGGAGACATGTTTTTTTCGATTTATTCTTCATTATCATCACATTCCAAGGACAAATGAATCAAAAAGAAAACAACAACGTGATTAAGAGGGAAATTAAATCAAATGTTCTTTCAGCATAAAAATTATAGACAAATGAATCAAAAAGAAAAAAACAACGTGATTAAGAGGGAAATATAATAAAATATTCTTTTAGCATAATATTTATAGATAAATATATTTAGATTTACCTGTCTTGAGATTAAGAAGAAAAAAATAGTACTAAAGTAATCATTTTGTAAAATAATTAGTGTAAAACATAGTATACTAGTATAATTTATAGATGCAAATAAATGTGAAAGAAAGTCGTATCTATAAAATAATCATTTTACTTATTTTTTTCCTTTGTTGAATTATATTATCTTTATTTTATAAAAGGTATAATTATACTATTTTCACACATATTAAAAATTAATAAAGGTTCTATTCTACTTTATTTTTATAAACATTTTTAAAATATATATATATTAATATAACAAGGTTAAAACTACAATTTTGTTTAAACATTGCATTACAAATACAAAATAACTGTTTTTATAAAACAAAATCAAAACCTCAAAGTAATATTATTTATAAAACAGAGTAAATAGTGATCTTCTTATCGAAGTAAATAAAGTTGCCAATTATAAAGGTTAACTGTCACTAAACATAAGACACAATACCTATGAGAAGAAATCGAATAAAATTGCATTATCTATAATCGTGTAATACATATTAAATTTTATTATAAACATTTTATCTGAATTAATTCAAAAGAAGTCGAGGCACAGCATGTGTATTTTCCACTTCTGCATTTATTTCTTTATGATGAGCCTGTCTTTTTGTTTTTGCCCTCTTCTTATTTAATGAACTAAGTCGTCTTCTTTGAATTTTTTTTTGATAAAGTCAAAAATGGTTATATAACGGGGTATTTTTGCTATTTTTTATATAACCATTTTTGAATTTTTGTTTTTATCACAGTTCTGTTCATATACAAAATGATTATATAATTTTTTCTTATTTAAAGTCGTCCAAATGTTAGCACAGTTCTGTTCATATATCTTTCTTAATTTATTTTTATTTTTGAGATTGAACAATTTTTTTTTTTTTGAACAACTAAATTGATTGAGATTTAAACCGAGCGATATTTATCTGTTTCAATTATACACATACATACGTGGCTATGGACCCAAAATTATTTTCCTTGCAGAACATAATTCACACCACTTATATATTAAGTCAGACTCTAATGGAATCTTCCACAATTATTGCGATTGCCACAGCTCTCAATCAGATTAAAATCTACTGCTCCCGCTTTCACCTTTTTTTCTCGCATTATTGTGATTGTAGTTTCATTTTATTCATAAATCTATACAATTTAAAACCACCAATTGTATGTTTGGATCCAGAGACAATCCTATGTCATACTTATTCATTCTTCAAAAATATATACAAGCTGGGATCGATGGTAAATACTATATAGAGTAAAACCAAAATATCATAAGACGATTAGAAATTATATCCAATAATATAGAGTTACAAATGGTATACATAAGTGTGGTACAATTACATAAAAAAATGTAGCTTGGAATTTTTTAAAAATTTTGTATTATGAGGTTTTTAAAAGTACACATGATGTATTATTGTATCCAATATATTATACGAGGGAAAAAAGTTACCATCCCAAGTATATGATAATGTGATATATATTACTCCTATATGACTCTGATTCAAAATACCAAAAAAACAGCGTTTAAAAAACGACGATGACAATGATATATTATATGTTAAAATAAATTAAGAGATTCTCTGGTATGCCAAATAGGCAATCATAATGATGTGTGTGTGGCAATGCACAACGCTGATCTGTATGCGTACCAGTCCTTTCGTTCATTGGTTAAACTGAAAGTACCACGTGTCACAAAATTAACTGGACTGTTTCCGACGTGGCAATGCATTTAATTATTTGAGCTGACAAGATTAGGCATCGTTGTCAAGACAAAATTGACTAATTAATCAGAGCCACAAAAACAAGAAAAACAAATTGAGTAAGAGGTCCGTATCATATTTCCTCGCACAGTACGTAATTCTATTTTAAGTTTAACAAACAAACATACTAATGCCCAATTTAATTATCTTGACATAAAGAAAAAAAAATACAATAAACTTTGTGAATAGTTGATTAGAAATCGAAAAGCACGATTCCTGTCGTGTTCCTTACAGCTTACAAGATCATTAAGAACCAAACCACTTTTTCGTTAAAACAAATCATTTGTGTAAGTGTAATATTAGATGCTTAGAGCTACTTTCTGATGTTACCACTTACACCTCCGATAATCTACTTAATTACAGTAATACCTTTGAGCCACTAATACAACCACCTTACGCACCACCCATTTTATTTGATGAGTTTAATTTTTGGATTTATTTTGTTTTGGTTTAAATTTTGAGATCATCATACTCATCTTCAACTATCTAGCTACAATAATCAACACCATTATTATAAAGATATATATACACAAAACAGTTTTCGTAAAATCAAATTTGAACCTGGCTTTTGATTAGTTTTCACCTATTTAGCACTTAAGTCGGATCGGTTTAAACTTTTTTTTTTAACACCCATAACGTACAGGAACATGTGTATCATTCAAGTACCATGTTGGTTTGCAGAAACCTTTAATCTTGATCATGGTATTAATTAAATCTAAGTAAACGCAGGAGACACCTAATTGATAGATGATGGAAGAGAAAGAATGTATTCGCTGTTTATTGGTGCTATGAAGTCCAATTAGTTCGATATTCATCATTGAACTATATAACATGCAAAATATCATGTATCCACTATCCAAGCATTATAACGTGCCACTGTATGCAAATATTCACATGGTCAAGACTCAAGACTCAAACGTCGCATTATCAACATTTTGGTCAATTTTTTATTTTTCTAAATAATATGGAGGAAACTAGAGTTGAATAATTGATAATGATGATAATCGTTATGGGTTTCTATAAATTCGCAATCATTTCGTTCGTCCAAGGTCACGGTACGATCGAGATATGTTTTTTCCAATACGACTGAACGTAAAAGTCCACGGGATTATTTAACGACCAGAGTGTTATCAACTATATCGAATTAACCTTTAAAACAAAAACATTATACTTTACGCTAAGATATAGTATATGTTAACAATTCCTAAAGACTGATCACCACGCCGTTTGCAGAAAAAAAAATAAAAACGCTGGACACTCCTTGTCCCTATCAATTGCAAATGGATGCATTTAGAGGTTAAACAAATACAAATGTGTGGAAATTATATTATATATTACGAATAAGACATTATTTGATTATTAATCGAAAATTGGGGAATGACAGTGTGAAACATAATATATGGCTATGAAGAATAATAGAGATTCATTGGAGAGAGAGAAAGAAGAGAATGTGTAAAAGAGAAATGGTGCCAGCTATGAATTTGAAGGATCAAAGCTTTCTCTGAAGGCCAAAGCTGTCATCTATCTTTCTCTCTCTTCCTTATAGTGCTCTGTTTCTCTCCACATTCACAGACACACACACTCTCTCTCTCTCTTCCTCTGTTCCTTTACATTCACTTCTCTCTCTTTGTAAATCTTGGAGGAGAAGAAGCAAGGAATTTTGGGGGGAGAGATTAAAAAGCTTCGACGCATTGAAGATTTGAGTCTTCTTGATGATTTCAATCGATTGAATCAATTCAAAAGCTTTTTCCAAACCAAAATCAATGGCGGTTCATCCTAACGTTAATAGCGATAAGAAGCACTGGTGGTTCACTCAAAGAAAGGTAATAAAAATCTCAAATCCATGAGGAAATATCTCCAATGAGAATCAACATTCGATTCGAAAGATCTTAAAATTTTCTTCTTCTTCTTCTTTATTTGTTTTGTCTCTCAGCTTGTTGATAAGTACATTAAAGACGCAAGGACTTTAATGGCAAGTGAGGAGCTAAACGACGTCACTTCAGCTGTTTATTTACTTGACGCAGCGTTGTCCATATCGCCGCGTTTCGAGACGGCGTTAGAGCTTAAGGCTAGATCTCTGCTCTTCCTCCGTCGTTTCAAAGAAGTCGCCGATATGCTTCAGGATTATATTCCCAGTCTTAAGCTGGCCGTTAACGACGAAGAAGCATCTGCTTCTTCCGAAGGCTCCTCCTCCTCCTCCTCTTCCTCTCGCGACGGAGTTAAGCTTCTCTCCGACGCGTCGTCCCCGGGACGCGACTCGTCGTTTAAATGCTTCTCTGTTTCTGAATTGAAGAAGAAAGTGATGGCAGGGATATGTAAGAAATGCGACAAAGAAGGGCAATGGAGGTATTTCACTCGTTTCTTTATATTTACTTAGAGTAGACGCACCGCACAAACCGCAACCGTTGATTTTTTAAAACGCTTGATTTATGATTTTCCAGGTACGTTGTGTTGGGGCAAGCTTGTTGTCATCTAGGACTAATGGAGGATGCGATGGTTCTGCTTCAAACCGGAAAACGCCTCGCCTCCGCCGAGTTTCGTCGCCAGAGTGTTTGCTGGTCCGACGATAGCTTCATTCTCCTCTCCGAATCCTCTTCCGCGTCTCCACCACGCAACCTCACGGAGGGTGAGAATTTCACTCACCTTCTCGCTCACATAAAACTCCTCCTTCGTCGTCGCGCCGCTGCAATCGCCGCACTCGATGCTGGACTTTTCTCTGAGTCAATCCGTCACTTTTCGAAGATCGTCGATGGCCGTCGCCCTGCGCCTCAAGGATTCCTCGCTGAATGCTATATGCATCGAGCCGCGGCGTATAGATCCGCCGGTCGAATCGCGGAGGCGATCGCCGATTGCAACAAAACTCTAGCTCTCGAACCATCGTGCATCCAGGCGCTGGAGACTAGAGCCGCGCTTCTAGAAACAGTACGGTGTCTTCCAGATTCGCTCCACGATCTAGAACACTTGAAGCTTCTCTACAACACAATTTTGCGAGATCGGAAACTTCCAGGTCCGGTATGGAAGCGGCACAATGTGAAATACAGAGAGATCCCGGGAAAATTGTGCGTATTGACAACGAAAACGCAAAAACTGAAGCAGAAAATCGCAAACGGAGAAACTGGGAACGTCGATTACTACGGTTTGATCGGAGTGAGACGCGGATGCACCAGATCAGAGCTCGACCGAGCTCATCTATTGCTGTGCCTGAGATACAAACCCGATCGGGCCTCGTCTTTCATCGAACGGTGTGAGTTCACCGATCAGAGTGACGTCGATTCGGTTAGAGATCGAGCGAGGATGTCTTCGTTGCTGCTTTACCGTTTAATTCAGAAAGGATATTCCGCTGTGACGGCGATCATAGCCGAGGAGGCGGCGGCGGAAGAAAAACGCAAAAAAAACATTGCGGCGGCTCAGGCTCAAACGCCAATGCACAAGACCGAAGAGCGTAAACCGGTTGGAAAATCCGGTTTGACTAAGATAGCCGGGTTCAGTGAACCGAAAGCAGTGGGAAAATCTAAGATAACAGAAAATACTGAACCGAAACCGGTAAATTCCAATGCGTACCAAGGAGTTTTCTGTAGAGATCTTGCTGCTGTGGGGAATCTACTAACCCGGGCTGGTTTTAACCATCCAATTCCGGTCAAATACGAAGCTCTCACCTGCTAAAAATTGAATCCGTCATTTTCTACAAAATCTTTACGATATGAGTTAAGATTTATTATTTATTTAATGTGGTCAAAATAAATAAATAAATTTAGCAGAGAAAATATTTAGTTTATAGGCGTAAAAATTTTAGCTTTTATATAGCAATGTCATATGAAAGTTCATATGCATGTGTATGTAATTTTGACTATATATATCAAATTTTGGTTGATTGATTCTTTAGTGGGTTGTTAAATAAAGAGTGTAATAGGTGGGTTTTTTAAGAAACAAAATCACGAGCCCATTAAGAAAAAGATCCAATCAGCCACTAAGGCCACCAAGATTGTTGGAGAGATTAGTTTTGGCCGAATAGTACACATTATCAAAGCTGCTAATTAGCCAAAAAACTCCCAGTTGATAGGAGAATTCTGAGCAACATTCTGACCTACAACGTCAATCGTCATATGCTCCGTGTTGTTCTGAATTTTAACAAACATTCACTTTGAGACAATCATGAACATTATCTATAAGTTTAGAAATTGCTACATAATGATAGTAACAGAAGTTTTTATTCAAGTGTAATGTTGTTTATGTCATATGGTTGCTCCACCATTATCTAAACTATTTTAGAGTTGTTTGAAATTTATAATTGCAAAAATAATTTTTTAAAAATTTCATTTATTTTAGGAGTGGTGAATTTGTAGAAAGACTTTCAGGAGGTGTTATTGATTCTTGTATTTTAATGTATTTGAGAATTCAAACCAAATTCAGTGTTATTGGTTCTTGTATTTTAAAATTTATATTGAAATACAGTGTTATTGGTTCTATGATTTTAAAATCCATAATGAAATACAGTGTTATTGGTTCTATCATTTTAGAATCTAAATATTATAAGGATTTGAGTTTTAATTGAATTTGAATGGATTTGGAAGGATTTTTATGACTAAAATACAAAGACCCAAATACAAGGTCTAACCTTGGTATTTGAGTGGATTTGATTTTTTTCTATTTTGCTGATTTTAAAATCAATAAATTTATCAAATCCAAAGAGAATTTATAAATCCACCAAAATACAAGAACCAATAACCCCTACTCAGTCTCTTTAATATATCATAAAGAGAAATCCCCACTTTGTTACCATCTTAATTACAATATTAGAAAGATTAGTTTTGGCCAAATAGTGCACATTATCAAAGCTGTTAACTGCAATTACTTTCTTGAAGTTCAAATTTATTAACATATTTTACACACGCAAATCTTTAGGATTTCTGGTGAAAGTTTTCAGAGAGCTATGGTTCCTTTCCGATTTAGGCCTAGCATATATGGATACATCTCATTAAGCTTTTTTTATGAGGTGGAATCCAGTGATTGGAGCTAATGATTTCCATAGAGTGTTGCGTAGCCACCTTCAGAGAGGACTGGTCAGCATACTCATGCATATATACCCTAATTACCATGCGCTAAGTAGAGATGGTGTTGTGCTCTATAATCCATCACCAGAAGAGATGAATTGTGTCACTATTAGGAATCGCCAACTCGATCTTAGATTCAGTTGTCATCTTCTACTGGCTATACTTACAATGGTGAACTAGTGTACGAGTGCCAAGATTCGAAAGGTTTGAACAGAGGTCAAATGGATATATCTATGTGGGTTTCCCTACTATCATCCGGTACTTCACTTTGGCTATTGATCCCATATTATCATCTTTTAACTCTTTTCGGAAATTTATCAGTGGCTATCTGTTTTTTTGTTTGTTATATGTTAAATGACTTTTATTACCGTTAACTCTCTTTAGAGTTTTAACCCTAACTATTTTATCTTGCGGTTTTTTCGTTTGTTATATGTTAAATGACTTTTATACATGGGTTATATGATCTCCCTACTAAAAAGCTGCCTCCGCCACTGGTCTCTGTTATCTAAATGAATATATATATAGCTCTCTGTGTATCAAGATAGAGAATCCAACGGCATAATTTCGATCCTACAAAAGATGTCTATTTTGATAGACAGAAAGATAGAATAACAAAATTCAAGCTCTAAGAGGACTTACTTTGTTTTTTTTTTCTTGAAACAAAGTTACTTCTTAAAAAAGCATATATATATAAACTAAAACTATATAAACTTTCCTTATACATCTTTATGTAAACAAATGTGACTTTTTAAGTCTTTAGAATTTTCCCTTTTTCACTTGACTTTTTTTTTGAGAGAAATATTATCGAATATATTGGGTTTAATTTTGACCGGTAACATGGAAAAGACACGTGGGCTGAAGTCCACAATATATTGCTAATAGGAAAAATAGGTCATATCATACAAGGCTTCATATTTCAGACTTTGTATGTTCACTTTGCGGATTCTATCGTGTGCGTACAAACAGAGAGACCCGTCTCCACAGCAATGCCATGGTAAATAGTGTGCCTCTAAGATGCAACTACTGCGTTGCATACCACTTTCAAAAAAAACTATTGCATTGCGTAGGACTTTAGATTCATGTGATCTTAACATTCATTTGTGTATAATTGGTTATTTTTAAAGGCTACAAGCTAATTTGAAGTCTTATTTTTATTGCAATTCTTATCCTTCAAATTTACTTATCTACATTTATCAATGCATGTTAATTTTATACAAATAGCTATTTGTTTTTTTACTAAGATTGAACTGTTACACTTGAAATTCTAACAAAAAGTTGAGAAATTGGTTTTCTAGAGTATACTAGTTTCGATGACTTATCACAAGTAAATATGAAATTCTAAACTCATTTCATGGTAATTTGTGGTATAAATATTAAACTTTCAAGTTAAATGAAAATGATTATAATTTGAAATATGCAACTTGATTTCCATCAGTTTAAATTTTAATCAATATAAATATTTAAAATGAGATAATTTCCAAAACAAGAAAAATTAATGCTAAAACCAACAAAAAAAAAAAACTAATACCTCTCGAAAATTAGGCTGGGTTTCATCAAAATTTTATTTTAAATGAAAAGTAGTTGCTTTTCCGAAAATTGAATAGTACTATGTACAGTACTACGTTCTCCACTACTCCAATATAACTACGAACGGAAGAGCCACCAGCACATTACGAAACGGCATATAATGACATGTGGGGAACACGTAGTTAGATGAGCAGTAAATGGGAAACATATTTTGTTGGCTGTCCTCATATTTTCGTGTATTGAGTTAGATAAGGAAACTTGTCAAATTTAATTCTCCAGAGATTCCATAAGATTCCCTCGAATATAATTGGTATCTCAGTATTTTTACAACTAACATTAACAAAGAATATATATATGGCGGACGGTCCATTTTAAACTTAGGCTGTTGCATTGCATTTGTACATTAGCAGATTTAATTCGTTTGCTTAATTAGGACCAAACACATCAATTAAAATTGGTCATTTATGGTTTAATTGAGTTCAGGTTTTATTCTTCTATAAGTTCACTAATCATCTTCTCACGTAACGTTTCTAATTTCTATATGTAGTTGAAATGGTCTACCGGCATATCGCTGATGTTATTGTACACGTGTTTACGAACGCACACGTGTTTTGAGTTCGAGCAAAGAGTAAAAGACCGTCTGGTCAGCGGACCAAGATCCGGATATTCATATACTATTATTCAAAACATGCGATTACTATCTCATCTACGTATTCACGTGACCATCAAGGCATCAATAACCAATAATTTCATTTTATTTAAAATATTTGATTAGGAAATTAAACAAAATTTGAAGGGAAGAAAAGAAAACACAAAGTAATGTCAACGATCTCGGCACACACTAAAATTAGCGTTAAAGAGAACCACGACGAGCCTGCTCGGACCGATCACGAGTTTCCTCGACGGTGAATAAGCCACGACTTCAGTCTCCTTCTTAACCGACGTGGCACTTCATACACCGCATACGTGTCATCATCTCCTTCCCCCTCGAAGGCGCGAGGCTCTTTAATCCCTATTTTAATTAATTGTCGATGTTCCGCTATAAATACCATCTCAGTCACTTTTCCTTGTGTTGTCTGTCACTCAGTAACTTCTCTTTCTTGTCCTCTCTCTCTCTCTCACTTACACAGACATCTCTCTCTCTCTCTCTCACTTACACAGACATCTCTCTCTCTCTTTCTCTCTCCATAGCTTGACTTTTGTGGTCAGTGCGAGAATCATAAATACATAAAACCGCCGGAGAAAATGGGAAGAGCGCCGTGTTGCGAGAAGGTGGGGATAAAGAGAGGACGGTGGACGGCGGAGGAAGATCAGATTCTCTCCAACTACATTCAATCCAACGGTGAAGGGTCTTGGAGATCTCTCCCCAAAAATGCCGGTAATCATATTTACACGTCTTTGTCGAATAATAATTAATTAAAATACATCAGTATAAACTATAATGCAACGCAAACTTCAAGCTATGACAATGTGTTAGATAGAGAAGAGAAGTAATCGTGGCTCTTGTCGTAACCTTCATAAATCATGGATTGTTGTTAGTTGGTTTTATATTTAATAATAATTTTAGAATAAAATTCTGTAAGGCTAGAAGTTTTACTTCAATCCCAGTCTCCTCTTAATTTCATTTCAGTTTTTTGGTTTTTTGCCAGTGTCAGAGTCATGCTTGGTTGTTAATGTAGGAATATAAAAGTGCTGCCAAGTGTATGCATTTAAGGGTTATAGACTTCAAAGTATACGAACAAATGTATACAAGGAAATACAAACAGATGAGTATTGATTCTATTTTGTCCGTTTTATATCAATAATCCGAGCAAACAGATGCATACTGGTATTGATTTGATTTCCAACTCCACTTTTGACACAAGATTTTTATTATTGCAGTAGTTGAGAAAATTATTAGTTGTGTATGCATATGATATACAAATACAAGAATGCTAAAACTATCTCGTGAACCAAAAATTATTCCCAGACCCCATAAAAAACACATATTCCTTAACCAAAAATAAAAATATACATATTTCGTGTACTAAAAAACAAATAAGCAGATACTGTTTGTTGTTTAGCTATAACAAAAATCTGACGTGTTTTATTAATTACTTTCTTGATTTTTATTTGTAAAAAGGATTAAAAAGGTGTGGGAAGAGCTGTAGATTGAGATGGATAAACTATCTTAGATCCGACCTCAAGCGTGGGAACATAACTCCAGAAGAAGAAGAACTCGTTGTTAAATTGCATTCCACTTTGGGAAACAGGTACTCTTTTAATTTCACTATCTTCATTATTTCAGACTTTTATCATATAATAATGACAGCATATCGATTAAATAAGTAAGGCTTAATGTTATTATTTCTTTCAGTTTAACAACTTTTTTTCCACGGTAATTTAACTTGACAGTAGATTACAAAGGTTACAGTAGTAAAAGCGAGTGTTTTAGTCGAACAAAAACCTTTTTTTTTTTCGTTGTGGGTCTCTCCCTCTTAATGCTTTTGACTGTTTTCGTGGAACAAAAAACAATTTTTTTTTGTTGTGTCTATTCCTCTTAATGCTTCTATGACCGTTGGTTGTTAGTCTTTTCTCTTTTGGTTGAGACAAACTAAATGTACTCTACTATTTTACACTACTTCATCTATTACGTTAGCATGAATTGGACCACACAAATATCTAAATATAAGTTCACATATTCAAAAAAAAAAAAAAAAAAAACTCGTAAACCTATCTATCTTTACTTTTTAAGAAATGAAAATTCTTACTAATAATAAATTATGGCAACGTTATGCAAATTATTTCTATTAATGGAATTGGTAAAAGTAAAACAAAAATAGGTCCGCCAACGTAAATGTCATAATGCTTGTTTCTAGAAACATCAAACATGGTTAGGTCAGCAGTCATATCAACGTAAATTAAATCAAATTTAAAACTGTTCAGGCCACTATTCTATTGTTTTATAGTCAGGCTACGAATTATTAGTTCTCTTATTCCCCGGAGGATAGTTTAATTTCTTTTAAGGTTGTTCAAAAATATTAATAATAATTGATTAATGTGATATTAATATATGTAGGTGGTCACTAATTGCGAGTCATCTACCAGGGAGAACAGACAACGAAATAAAAAATTATTGGAACTCTCATCTCAGCCGTAAGCTCCACAACTTCATCAGAAAGCCGACGATCTCTCACGACGTCGCCGCCGTAATCATGAACGCTCCTCCGACGTCTCCGGCAAAGCGCAGACCGGGGAGAACAAGCAGATTCGCAATGAAACCCAAAACTCACAACCCAAAATCTCGGAAGACGAAGAAAACGTCTGTACCGGCGGAGCCAAACGCTGACGTAGCGGTTAAAGCGGTGGCTGGAGAAGGAGCATTAATGGTGGAGTTAAGTGGAGCCGAGGGTGAGCGAGGACCATGTGACTACTATGGAGCCTGTGATGAAGGAAGAGATTGTTGCAATAATAATACTCTCATGAGCATTGATGGCGATTTATCCTTTGATGATGACATAATTGATCTTTTGTTGGACGAGTCAGATCCAGGCCAAGTGTTCGCATCGTGTGGTGGTGATGCGGAGTTGAGTAATATTAAAGACTCTGAAGGAGACAGGAGGTTCTCGGAGACTTCGAACCAAGGGAGTCTCGACTGCCTTCAATCTTGTCCGTCGGTGGAGTCGTTCCTCAACTACGAGCATCAAGTCAACGATGCGCTGACGGATGAGTTTATTGATTGGGACTGTGTTTGGCAAGAAGGTAAGAGCGTTAACCTTTGGGATGAGAAAGAGGGTTCTGATTCAATGGTGTCGTGGCTTTTGGACGGTGATAATGAGCCCACGGTCGGGAAAAGTGGCTGCGAGAACTTTGGAGAACCGTTGGATCATGCCGAGGAAAATGCACTGGTCGCTTGGCTTCTGTCTTAGAAGATATTTTATTAACATGCATGTTTTTCTTAAGTCATGTAGTCTTTTTGCCTTCGCTTTCGTTGTATGTTTTTTTCCTTCTTTAGGTTTTGGATTTTATAGATCGTGATGTATATATTTCAATAAAATTCGATCTGGGGATTTTGTAAAATAACTTATCATGGTCATTTTAGAGGATAAGCCAGATCATCTGGTTATAATTTTTCGTCTGAACTAATATACTATATATAAACATATAGGTGTACATTTATTTGGAGTTTTTTTTTTCACGGCATTTGGAGTTTTCAACCGCCTTTAAATATGTAAAATTATTAATTAACCTTGTGTCGGAAGAGCATAAAATATAAAAGTATGAAGTTTTTCTGATGAGTTTAATTATCAATAACTCATTATATTAAATTTAATTAGCTAGGTTAATAATATATCTACTTTAGTTCATCGTCTCAAATATTTAATTGGAGCAACCATGAATATTATCCTTTTACTTTTGTAACGGCCAAATGATGAAAGCACAGAAAATAAATCTCTATTATTTTAAGGCAAAAGCATAAAGCTGCATCACATCTGCGAATTATTACGTGCTATTCAAGTTTTTTGGCACGTGACGAGATCGAATCTAACGAAGGTTGTTCCAACTTCTTTGTACGAAACTACGAACAAGTAGATATATAATTATTATGGATGTCGGTTTGGAACAATAACACAGTATTGTCCTTTTTTAGTTTAAAGTGCATTGCCCTTCTTATCTTATCATACAGCCGTGAAAATAATTAAGTTTCTGTAAACTTGTAGTAAGTGATCAATATATGTGACCTTGAATGTTAATGAAACCATAGTTTAACTTTAAGTTCTCGTCAAGTAATTTAAACCTAACTAGATGATTGTGTTGAATATAATTAATACTCAGGTGTATGTGTCAGTTAATTTACATTTTTCTGTTTCTAATAGATTGATGTTTTGGTTTTTTTTTTTTTTTGTTTATCAAAAAATGATTTTGCAGAGTTTATTTAATACATTTTATTTTATAAATTAATTAGTACTAGTAAATTTATGGGCAAATAAATAGAAAAAAATAAAGGTTTACATTTTTTCAATACTATTCTTATTGAGCAAATAGTAGTTAATAGTTACTAATCCCTTTTTCTCTCTTTTAAAAACAAATAAAAACCATTTGTAAAAGTATATATATATATATATATATCTTTTTAATATGTGTGAAAAAACTTAAAACATCAGGCTATTTAGAATAGATGGAGTATAATAACTTTGATATATATTTTTGTTTCAGACTAAAAATGATGTATGATCTTAATAAAGAGTCTCTAGCTCCACAATTTTCTTCTGAAAACAGTTTAAACCAACTAGCAATTAGATGACCACTACCAATTAGCATGCATTAACGAATTTTCATAAACATAATAACGAAAAAGGGACCTAGAGATTATTTGGCTTTTTGGGGCAACAACACACGCATTAAATTTATGTTTGGTAGATTGATTTATGAAATACCAGTTGGCAACTTGGTAAGCATATAAAAACAATATAAAGGAATTTTTTACCCTTTTCTTAAGTTGATATTTTGAATATATGTATATATATAGCACATAAAAGAAAGGGGAAGTAAAACAGTCGCTTTCCTATAAGTCCGACTTGGTTCCATAGTCTTTGGAATTGCCCACGTGATGCCTTGCCTAGTACTTTTTCTTGTCTAGATTTTTATTTATTTTATAGTATTAGCGTTTCTTCTTCTCGTCTTGCTACATAACTATACATTTAAGAAACTCTCTAGCATGACTTATAATATAATTTACACTATCCCATAAAACAAACTTAACGAGTTACAGTTTTACAAAAAATATTATAAATGAATTGCTTAAAAATAACAATGTGAAAAGAAAATGATAAAAATGGAAATTCAAATATTTGGGCTTCTTTACTTAACCTGTATTTTAATTAGAAATTTTTGGGCCTAGTTGGACTTATGGGGGCTTGCTTGCTTAACCTGTATATTTTGATAAGATACTTTTCAGATAAAGCCCATTCAGGCCCAACTAAATCAGATTCGTTTCGTCCATCGATGTCGATGACTAGTAATACGACGCCGCGATGGTGTATCCCCTCTGCCGCTAATTCTTTAGAGTGCCGTGTAGTTTCGTACAGTTCGATTGGGGGTTAGATTTAAGTATTTGAAAAGTTATGGTGTTTAAATTAAAATATAGGAAAGTTCAGGGTCTCCCTTTCTGTTTTGAAAAGACTTTTTCTCTTCTCGTCTCCGTGAAAGATGTGGGTGGAGAGCTAAAGTGCTAAACCATTCATAATCCGACATGTAACCGAGCCACGTATTTAGAACTCTCGATCCACCGTTCGTATTAATTTGTGATTAAATCGACAATCCAGATCACGCCATGTCATTGTTTTATTTTACTTTATTTTCTCTCTTTTCTGTATCTTCTTCTCTAAGGGAAAATAAATTATGAGCAAATCCCTTTAATAACAGAGCAAGCACTTCTAAGATCAAAGCTTCAAGTGAAAGAAGAAAACAAAAAAATGGCGAAATCTCAGATCTGGGTTGGTTTTGCATTTCTCGCGTTGCTTCTGGTGTCAGCCATAGCAGACGATGTTGTTGTTTTGACGGACGATAGCTTCGAGAAGGAGGTCGGTAAAGATAAAGGAGCTCTTGTCGAGTTTTACGCTCCCTGGTATGGTTTAATTACTTCAATCGTTTTTGCCTTCCTTTTCTTTATATATGAGTAGCTATAGATTCAAGGATTCCGATGAGATCCTTATTGTTAGAATCGTGGGTTTGATCTGTAAATCTTCTGTTCGATTTATCTGGGGAAATGTTTTGATTTGCGATTGCAGTCTTCCGGATTGATAGGAATGAAATTCCAATTAATGGTTATCGAGGAATATGGCTGTATTGAGCAACTAAACTAGAGTTACTGATGTGCTGCTGAATTTCACAATTCCATACTTGAGTGTGGTTCATAAAGTTGATCTTTTATGACAGAGGCTTGAAGTTGTTAAGAATCCTCTTCTGAATTTGGTTCAGAAAGTTTAACATAGTTACTCTGTGTCATTACAGGTGTGGCCACTGCAAGAAACTTGCTCCAGAGTATGAAAAGCTTGGGGCAAGCTTCAAGAAAGCCAAGTCAGTCTTAATTGCAAAGGTCAGTGTTATTTCTTGATTTGTATGTAGCTCCAGTGTTTGAGAGATGATCGATTCTTTCATTAATTTGTGTATTTTGGTGAAGGTGGATTGTGATGAGCACAAGACTGTGTGCACTAAATACGGTGTTAGTGGATACCCAACCATTCAATGGTTTCCTAAAGGATCCCTCGAACCCCAAAAGTAAGCTTTTACAGATTCCGTTAAGCAGATGGATTAACGTTTTAGTTCATAGACAGTTGAATGATGTTTTTTTTTTTCCTCATCTTTTAATTTTAACAGGTACGAGGGTCCACGCAATGCGGAAGCATTGGCTGAATATGTGAACAAGGAAGGAGGTAATCTCGTTGATGATAGTAGCTAAGCTAGTCCAATTTTTGGGATTCACACATTCCATCTTTCCATATTTACTTTTCGGGGAAATTTGTTTGGACGTGGTAATTGGTATAAGAGTTAGATTCAGTTGGAGAATTTTATCCTCTGCGATGCATGTGTGAAATTGCTGGAAATACATTGGTTGACACCACTTCCTCAACACTGCATTAGGATACATAGTCGGAAATTAATTTTCTCGGAATTTTCTAATTCATTTTCCTGATATAAAAGTCTCAGAACTCTTCTTTGATAAATAAGTTCTTTTTGTGTACTTGCCTATGCTGCAAACAACTTGCTAATTGTTGAAACAAATATGTTTTCAGGTACCAACGTGAAATTAGCTGCAGTTCCACAAAACGTGGTTGTGATAACACCTGATAACTTCGATGAGGTTGTTCTGGATCAGAACAAAGATGTCTTGGTCGAGTTTTACGCGCCATGGTAAGATCTCTTTCTTCGTTTACATGGTTTTGCTTTCGTGCTATTATCTAATTTGTAAGTTTCGTGCTATTATCTAATTTGAAAGAATGCATTTTCCAGGTGTGGTCACTGCAAGTCCCTCGCTCCTGTAAGTTCTCAACTATTTGTCTACTTTTGATAGATAACAATATTCCACTCTCACTTTGTTACTAATGCTGTTTTTTATTTTCTTTGAATCATCAGACATACGAAAAGGTAGCTACGGTGTTTAAGCAGGAAGAAGGTGTAGTCATCGCCAACTTGGATGCTGATGCACACAAAAGCCTCGGCGAGAAGTAAGTTGGACAAAGGATTTTCGATGTACTGTATAATATCATGTAAAAACCGTTAAACCGAAGGATGAAAACAACTACTACCTTTTACTGTTCAACAGGTATGGAGTGAGTGGATTCCCAACATTAAAATTCTTCCCAAAGGACAACAAAGCCGGTGTAGATTATGACGGCGGCAGGGAATTAGATGATTTTGTAAGCTTCATCAATGAGAAAGTTGGGACCAGCAGAGACAGTAACGGGCAGCTTACTTCAGAGGTAAAAAAAAAAAGCATGTCTCTTCAGAGGTTAAACATCTTAGTATTACATAAAGTTTAAAGCTTTCAGTGATCTATCTCTTCTTTTTATTTTATATAAAAAAATAGGCGGGTATAGTTAAAAGCTTAGATGCATTGGTAAAAGAGCTGGTTGCAGCAAGTGAGGATGAGAAGAAGTCAATCTTGTCTCGCATCGAAGAAGAAGCTAGTAACCTTAAGGGCTCCACAGCAAGGTATGTAGTAGTAGCGTTTCCTCATTACATGGATTAAATGGTTTATTTTACTGTTTCCCTGAGCTTTGAAGATGTCTCTCTATAGGTATGGAAAGCTTTACTCGAAACTCGCAAAGAGCTACATAGAGAAAGGTTCAGGGTATGCTAGCAAAGAAGTCGAGCGGCTTGGACGCGTCCTTGGCAAGGTCTTTAAGAGTTTCTTCTTCTTATTCTCTTCTCTAATTAGCTTATGATTGCTATAAAGACTAAGTAATTTTTATATTTCGGGTTTTTCGGTGCAGTCAATAAGTCCGGTGAAAGCTGATGAGTTCACTCTCAAGAGAAATATCCTGAACACGTTCGTTGCTTCTTCTTAGAAGCCAACGTTTGGAACCTGAGAGAATAGGAGTCGCTACACTTTGATAATTAATACACGATTTGTAGAATCCGTGTTTTGGAGGTTTTATGTCTATCGAGACTTGTGGTTTGTTCTCAAACTCTTTTGAACAAAGGTTTCTTTTGTCTTTTTTTTGGGTAAACCAGCGACGATAATCATATATTTTATTCTCTTTCTTCTCAGTAAACATTAATGGTTTTAAGAGCACATCATCATCCCCATTTCTGGCTGCACATCAAAAATATCCCAAAACATTAAAATATTTCGGATAGGATGTAATTAATATTTTTCGTTGCGTAAACAGTGAGACTGCTGCCTTGAACAACAAAACTCGTCGGAAAAATAAAAACAAGTTACAATCGATGAACAATCTGACAACATTTATTCCTAATCCACCGGAATCCATCCTTGAGAGTCGATTTAACTTTGCCTTCAGTCGTATAAGCTTTATACCTCGCGATTCTCTTCTTCCTCTTCGTCTCTGCATCGGTTAAATCCCAAGACAGCGCGGAGCTCCTAAGCGCCTTTACTTTCACCGGAGGAGACGGCGGTGACATAGGAGAACCCCGAGTCCCGTAGAGCTGATTACTTCCTCCCACGCCGTAACCCTTAGCGCTTCTCCCATCGACGGTGTAAGTTCTCTGACCTGCACCGTACCCATACCCATCCTGGCCGGCCATTTCCCCTGACGCTGGAGCTCCGTCCGATTTGAGATCGGACTTGCGATCAAAGTGCAAATGATCAAACAAAACAAAAAACTCACCACTCTTATTTGGCCTTCCTTTTAACTTACTTAACGTCCAATTAAGGTATTATTTTATTTAACTAGTTACTGTAATAAAAATACATTTAATATTAAGCATCAGGAAATCATAAAAGCTCAAAAAGCTTGAACCACCTGTCAAATGGAATCTACTGTGTGGATTCACTGAATTTGTTTGTTTTTAGTTTTGGTAACACTACTATATATTGTTTCTAAATGGCAGCTGTTAAATTTGCGATACAGTAAAATTTAAGATTCTTTGAATCTGCTGCCATGCGTGATTGAGTGTGCATTCTACAATTTACTTTGATTTCTTTCGGTTTTTTACAAATACTAACTATAACAAAATAAAAATCATATTTTAGGCATTCAACATAACAGGCCACAAAAGGGTCGTTAGGCCTTTCCAAATCAAATACGGGCCAGATTTACGTGAGGCCCATACACAGTGGACACTCTGGAATCACCGAAATGATGATGTGAGAGGGGTTTGGTTGTGTAGTTGGCTAGTCACACTCTTTGTCCTAGTTTGTACTATTTTGTTTGGGGGTAAAATAAGCGTACAAGAAGCGGCATGAAACATTCAGATTTTGTTGGTCCATTATTTCTTATCAGACTCTGCGTCTGCATCGATGCATCCAAATTTTACGTAACCATATATTATTTATTCACATACAAATATTTAAAATATTAGAATAAATTATAAAATAAATGGTCTTGGTTAAAAAAAAAATCATCTACTATATATACCAATAAAAAATGAGTGCAGCTCATGATATTTTCTTGTTTTGTTTTTAAAGTTAACTTTAAACCTTTACTTATAGTCACGAGACGGGATGAAAAGAGATCCAGCGGTCAATAATGGTTCAGGGGTTGAGGGTGTATTTTCAACATTTATTGCAACAGCAATCATCCCGCTGTAAACGCGCATCTGATTGCGTTTTGTGAATTAATTTTCCCAAAACGGCAAGAGTTGAAATTAACGAACTCTAAAATTTATGAGTCTTGACATTCTATTATGGATATGAATGTGATCATATCGTTGTTGGTCTGATGAGAAATCCGTAGATTACTAATTTAATGTTTTCCTACGTGATAGATTAATTATTTCGGAATAAAACAATTATATCAAACTATTATACGTAATCCATAAGGCATGTGGATCCGTGCTCTGCTCTTTATAAACAAACCAAAAGTCTCCGTCTCTCTCATTAAAATCATCCACTGGTCACTCTCTCTCTCTTTCTCTGAAGAGATTATAGATAAAAACACATTTACATTTACATATACATATATAGTGAGAGAGTGATGGAGCTAAGGTATTGGCGGAGGCCGAGAGGATACGAAAGGCTAGATGGGTCGTCGGCGAAGAAGGCGAAATCGGGTCGGAGAAATGTGAAGCGGGTCAAAATGGATCGGACCCGGAAGAGACGGTTTTGGAGGATCAAGATAGTGCCGAAGCTGAGGATCTTGAAAAGGGCGTCTCCTAAGAAGCTTTTAACGTGGCTTCGAGATGCTTACGTCAATATGATGCTTCGCCTCGCGAATTCTCGGGTCATCGGCTCGTCCTACGGGTACGGGTCGGGTTTAGCGTCGAGGGAGTATGATGAGAAGAAGCTGGTGGAGATTTACAAGTCGATATTGATGGCGCAGGGGAATCTCTTGCACCACGACCTACCTAGCATTTCCTCCGATCCGGTTCTACTCTCACCCCTTAGGGTAAACTAAAATTCCATTTGCAAAATAAAAATGGGGACTATATATATATATATATATCATCCATGTTAAAGTTGTACTTGTGATCTGTGATCAACTTACCAAATCTAGTGGATCAACTTTTAAAATTAATTATTTATGAATTGTTGCTGAAGCTAATAGTCTGAAAAAAGAAAGATCAAAGGTTTGCATTAACGTCGTAACTTCTAACTGCCTTTTTCTCTTTTATAAATTCTTGCTTCACCGAGACGTGTTGGCATGGAGACTATTTTAACGTAACTTTAATATAAAAATTATTTCGTTGACTTTTTGTTTGATCCGACTACGCTTTGAATTCGTATATTTACTTGTGGTTATGATTTGTAAATAACGTAGGACCAACATTTTAAAACATTGTACAAGTAAAAGAGTACTTGATGGATGCTGTCCAAAGCTGCGAGTCAGTCAGAGCCGTCATTGCTTACATCATAGGCGATTCAATGATTTGTTCTGTATTTTTATAATTGTGAGATTCCGTTTGTAATCATTAAACCTTGATATGGGTTGATTCTCGCATAAGTTTACAAATCACCAACAAGCTGCATGTAATCTATAATCTTTTGATTTGTTAGAAGACTGTGAAAAAGGTAAACACTGTGATAAAGTACTGAGCTTTTAATTAAGAGTTACACTGCAATGATATGTTTTAAAGCTCAAATGAATCTATACAAAAGTCATCTGGCCCTAATAAAATACATTTATCTGGAATTATATCATTTGTGATTTGTCCATTTCACAGAGAAGAATCTGCATCCTTAAATTCGCGAGTAATCCACTTCAATTATTTTTTTTTTAATTTTTTTTAATGGAAATGTTAAATTAATTCATTCAAAACCAGTTTTACAATGACTGTAACTTTAGTCTGAAGCTATTTTGTAAGAAGAACTAAAACATTTTACAGGTTGAAATTTGGGTTATTGGAATGAAAACCAGGTTTCCATGGTTGTTTCATACTTCTGATCTCTCATGATCCTATAATCATTGCATTATATTATGCACCCAAGAGTGTCTATTTTTATGCATTAGAGGATGTGTAGCCACTTTTCTGTTTTACTTAAAAAACATTTACCATAGATTTAGTTTCAATTTGTTTTTCCACCCGATCGATAATCTAATTAAATCTCATGTTTTGCAATAAAAAAAAAAGAAGAAAATCGTGTTATGGTGTTTCAATATTTTTACTTTTAGCCCCCAAAATATCTAAATATTTAAAGTACGTACCCGAAAGCTCACCATACCTTTACGGGCTTTCATTTAGGCCCATTAGTTTGGTGTATATACACAGTACATCAAACCTAGAAGAAAGCTTGCGGATCAAGGAACTGTGTGTGTGATTTGGTTTTGGTTGAGAGGATGGCGTGGGCGCAGCCTGAATACGCGACAGCTCAAATAGCGGTGTGGTGGGACATGAAGGGCTGTCCGATTCCAGAGGGTTATGATGCTCGTCGGATCCGTCCGAATATGGAAGCGGCGTTCAGGAAACTTGGCTACTCTGGTCCTGTCTCCATCACTGCCTATGGCGACCAGACACAAACTCCTTGTCACCTCCTGCGAGGGCTCTCTTCCATCGGAGTCTCTATCGCACATACCAAACCCGGTTAGTCCAATTGCTATCGATCTCTGGAACTTAGGGCTTTTAAATTTCAACTCAAGTCCTATTCGCCTTTGACTGATGAAACAGAAAGCACATGCTCACTCATGTATTCCGATATGCTGGAGTGGCGAGCTCAAAATCCTCCTCCGGCTACAATGATGCTCATCTCCGATAAGGTGAAAGATGTGTTCGATTGGGATCTGGCCCGTCTACAACAACGGACGAAATATAACTTTTTTGTGGCTACTCCATCTAGGCATATCTCATGTTTAGCACTGTACGCTTCAGAGTGGCTCTGGGGTAGAATACTTGAGCCCAATGTCGCACTTGTTCAGGACATGAGCAGTGAAAGTAGTGAATTATCTGCCATGTTTTACTGCAAATCGTGCAAATCGTGCTCTTTCAATGGCCGAAGCCTCACGGGTTTCAGGAAGCATCTCTCGAGTAAAAAGCATGCAGTGCGAGTAAGAGAAAGACAACCTCTCTCTCTCTCTATATATATATCTGTGCATGCACATTTGAGCTGTTTCCACTTCACTCGCAGGAGGCTGTGAAATATGCGTATGGAGATCTTGACCCTGAGACGAGGACGTGGGGAAAGAACTACGCGGCGACGCCTGAATACGCGACAGCTCAAATAGCGGTGTGGTGGGAGATGATAGACTGTCCGATTCCCGAGGGCTATGATGCTCGTCAGGTCCGTCCGAGTTTAGAAGCTGCGTTCAAGAAACTAGGCTACTCTGGTCCTGTCTCCATCACTGCCTACGGCGACCTAGAACAAGCCCCTGATCACCTCGTGCGAGGGCTCTCTTCCACTGGAGTCGCTCTTGCACATGCCATTCCCGGTTAGTCCATCTCTGGAATTTCAACTATTCCCGGTTAGTCCATCTCTGGAATTTCAACTACTGAAACGTTTTCCTTTTGCTGAAACAGAAGTCATATACATGCGCATGAATGACGATTTTAGAAAGTGGCATATGCATAATCCTCCTCCGGCGACAACGATGTTCATAACCGACTCTGTGGATGTGTACTTCAACAACAGCCTCGTCCGTAACCTACAACGGAAGAAATACAACCTTTTTCTGGCATATTCATATAGGCCTCACAAAATGTCTGTCCTGCTCACTTCTGCAGAGTGGCTTTGGGAAAGCTTACTTGCAGGTGCTTGTTTGCCCACTAACGTTTGAAACTAATTACGCTGCTGTTTCTGAGCTATAGTTTGTTTTTATCTTCTTCTTTTCGACATGTTTCAGAGACAACAAGACATGTTTCAGAGACAAGAAGACCCGTCCTTCGCAAGTGCAGTGAAAGGGGTGAATCTACCGAAATGTTTTTTTGCAAATTGTGCATTTGTGATTGCAAGAGCCTTGATGATCTCATGGAGCATCTCTCAAGTGATAAAAAACATGCACTCGGAGTAAGCATCGTCTGTATCATCACTACATTGTTTCATTTGAGCAACAACCTGTTTAACCTTTTCCCTTCGTTGTCAAGCAGGAGCGTGCTTTTCTCGCGTCTCGTCGAGAAAACAAGTACAATCGACATGAATCGATAAAGGCAAGTTTTTGTTGATGATAATTATAGATTTTCAACAGAGAGAAATGCATACAAGATACTCATGTATCATATACACATCTTGTAGGCAATAACACTCGCAAAATTTCCAAAGAGCAAACGTTTGAGGAAAGCATACCGGACGGGTTTTGGCCATCTTCATAATCATTTACGTCTTGCTGATCGTTGAGCTCGAAAATCTCAAACCTGCAAGAAAAAGTGATTTTTGGTTATTTACTTTTCATTTCGTTTTCTTGTCTAAAACAGTGATGTCAGCTCTTATTTTTCGCTATTTGTTTAAACAACAGTGATGTACTTATTAGTGTTGCGTAGATTACCAAGGCAGTGACGGCGATCACATCAAGAAATAGTGCTGATCTGTATTGCAAACAATGTGAAGCAAAGAAACAAGTCTTAACTCTCTGTGCTTATAAGACAAAGTGACGTACACAGAAGAGTGTATAAGAAGACGTACGGCGAACTTAAAAGTCTTAACTCTCTGTGCTTAGTAGTTGTCTTATCGTGGCACTGAAGCTTGTGAACTTAAAAGCTTCATATTTAATGTTTTCAAAGCCTATTATTTGAGATTAGGGAATAAAATTTCAGAACATTGATGTTTGTGAAGTTCTCAAGTTATACAAAAACCATGGTTCGTTGCTTCTTTAAAATCTATACTTTCGATTTGTTGTGTGAAGCTCTTGAGTTTTTACGTCCCTTGTTTGATCATTTGAATAAAAATTCTACTGCCTTTTGTTCATAGTCGCTCTTGCATTTTGATATCATGTTCTCTAGCTCAAAATAGTTCACTCTTTAATGCAGAAGCTCAATGCTCGATTTCATAACGTTTAGCTCAATGCTCTTGTTGATTTGTAATGGTTCAGGGAAAGAACTTCACAAGAATGTGACGAAGTTGACTTGTTGATAGACGACAGGAGACAAAAATTTATCTTTATATCTTCCTGGAACAAGTGAAGATATCTCGTTACACAAGGAGCTAAGAGTACGTATACCTTGAAGAAAAGCACAAAGCAGCTGCAGCAGCTTTGGAGGTTGAAACTCAGAAGCATGGGGAAATAGAAGAAGAGGAAGAGGAGCAGAAGAATTCAGAGAAGTCTCTTGTTTCGTTAGAAGATGATAAACCGGTCCTGACGAATGGCATCTCTGTCTTCTCCGACCTGATAGGGTCAAGGCTATCGGCAAAACATGAGTGTGGTGTTCGATCCTTGGAATCCTAAGAGGAAGCCAATATCGACGCTGAGAACGAGTATCTCGTTAAGAACAACTTCATCAATTCATCTCTCCAAATGTATACATGCAATGGTGATCAATACTTTTATTTGTGTTAAGACGTGTGTGTTGAATTTAATATGTATAACATTGTGATTTCAGATTTTTTAAATGTGTTAAATTGAAGATGTATTTTAACATTGTGATTTTAGACTTTTAAGATCTGTTAAACTCTTAGATGTATAACTTTTTTTTTTCTTTGAATTTTTAGATTTGTTATATCAATATTGTTGATCAAAATCAAATTACAAATGTAGATTTAGATCTCAAGTTTTAGATTTATATGAAATTGTTATTCAAAATTAATTTATAAATGTTAAAAATAACAATTTGAATATTTAATTGCAAATATATTTTAGATTAAAGATTAGTATAGTCAAGATCAAAAAAAAATATTATCAAATTTTTTTAAAATGATTAAATGAAAATATGGATATTTTTATCATTTTTTTGTTCAGATGATCCATTCAAATCTAATATAACTGATTAAACAAACATCAAGATGAATGATTCAATTGAATAACCAAAAATAAAATGAACAATATTTGAATGGTTCATCTGAATAAAGCATCTAAATGGATTAGTTAGAGAAAATGACCAGATGATTAGTTGGATTGGTCTCTTCTTGGTCTTTTTGAAACACTTGCAGTCATGCTCCACTATTGGACAATAACAAGTAAGCAACTAGCTAGAGATTATCTTATAAAAGAAATAAAATTGTATAAGCTGATATTAATTTTTGTTTCAAAAAATGTTTATGCCGCTTTTTTAATTAAGCTCACGCTTATAACAACCTTTCAGTCCCATTCTTTTAACATTTGTAACAAAAAAAATTACGATTGTCACGTTTCCTGTATTATCTCTCTAAAAGCTTTTTCGGATTCTTCTTGGAAAGCTGTGATGTTTTTTCCAAGAAAGATCTTTTCCTTTCTTCCTTCGCTACTTTATTGGGATGTGATAAGTTAAATGCTTCGTGTGATTTTGATTTTATATTCTTGCGATTTCCAGAAAGGTTAATTGGTTATTCCTTAGACTAGTTTCAATTTATGTTGTGATGAGTTAAATGCTTCGTGTGATTTTGATTTTATTTTCTTGCGATTTCTAAAAAAGTTAATTGGTTATTCCTTAGACCGGTTTCAATTTATGTTAGTGTTGCATCTTTTTCAGATAATATACCAGATGAGAAAAAGAACACCGAAGTTCAGCCTGATGTCATAGGTTAGTTGGCTCCGCCAGTCTTAGGTCAGAACGTGGCTCAGGGAGACTTAGGTGAGAATGATCTGAACGAGAACTAGCCAGTTTTAGATCAAGCCTTAGTTGAGAACAACCACGACAATGCTCAGGTCTTAGGTCAGAACGTGGCTCAGTGAGTCTTAGGTCACAATTAGAACGAGCTCGTTCAGGTCATTCTCACCTAGTTTTTAGTTGAATTTTCGATGATTTTAGTTATGTGTTTCCGTTAATTTATATTTAGAGGAGTATAATTCTCATGACTTCTGTTATCTTGTCTTTTGAAGCAGCAGGAGAAGAAGCGAACCATACGTCAAGTTGAAGCCATTCTTGATTTGGCCCTCAACTTGAAGTGGTAGCTTGGGTGACGTGACTATCAAAGAATTCCAAATCAAAATCTTTGCAACATACGTACAACATACGTAACCATCGGTGCGGGGCGGATGCGGGTTGTAACGTTTTGATTTTTGTTTTTGTTAGCGTGTGTTGTGTTTGACAAAAAACTGTGTGTTGTTTAACGTAAAATGTGTGTCGTTTTAAACAAAACAAATATATATATACTTTTGGTTGAGGTAATATAATTTCCTTCAACCAAAATCGAAGGCAGCGGCATTACCCCTCTCTCTCTCTCTCTCTCAGGGGTCTTCTTCTTCTATTTCGTTCGTCATCGTCTAAAAACATACAGGTATATACACCTTTAGATTCGTATAAGCTCTTCTGTTCTACGTATCTATGTTTATCTCTGATTTGAGTGCTTTTCGTCTCCGTTGCGATTCTGAGATTCCTTCAGGAATTGGTTTTTAGAAACAAAACTCAAACATCATTATTATAAGTAAACTTGATCATAAGTGAATTTTGCTTTGTAGAAACTTTGATGTCATATCGATTCTGGTTCAGGGGTTTCAAAATTGCGATCAATTAGTTTATCCCGGCCCTTTTTCTTTTTATATTTCTTCTTTACGTTGCGTTTTTGTGATTCCGACAAGTATTTTCTGCTTGTGGAAAGTATAATTCTAAATTGTTAATGTTTTGATTATTGGAAAGCTGGAGATGGAATCAAGATCGACCTCTATTGTCTGTGGGAAGGAGGACATGAAGGAGGAGGTTGTGCGACTTGGAGTTGGGCTATCCCTCTGTGTGGCTCGGTCGATGTTCTTGTTGTGTGATCACATTCGCAGTATGTTATGGTTTTGTTATCAGATATGGAGAGATGCAAACATGGGCACAACTAGTGACAGTCACGTGATGGATAGGCTGATTCGTGTTATGCATTATGTCTACACAAAATATATCAAACCGAAGAATGGAGTATATCAAAATGATGGCAACTTTTCGGTCCATTGGAGATTGATTTGGCCAGCGAATGAGAGTTTTGCTCGTGGATTTGTGTTGTTGAATCGCCTTGTCCATTTTCTCGATTCAGGACGAATATATGGCCGAGTGTTTACGTCTCGTGTTGAACAAGAGGTGAAGAAGGTAGCGGAGATGTTGGGGTGTGCCAAGGGGCTTTCAGAGGCGAATGGGTTTGCGTGGGATGAAATGGAATCCGACATTTTGGACATGTGGAAGTCTCTCTGTGACACAGAAGCTAAGGAAGCAACGCCGACTGTGAAAGCCATAATGACTGACTTGTTTCTCCCTCTATATCACGAAGTATATCCACCTATGTGACGAGTTTCTAGGCGATGATTTTAGTTATGTGTTTCCCTTAACTTATATTTAGAGAGAAATATAATTCTCATGACTTCTGTTCTTTTCTTGTCTTACTACATAAACATTGCTTAACCAAAAGCATACGTTTTTTTCATTGATCAAAATTTTGAAAGGAGGGTACCTGCAGATGATGAACAAAACTAGCCGATAGTACATGATTATTGATCAAATTTTTTGAATAGGGTATCTTCCTATTCAAAAATTTAATTGAACATAGACATCGCTCTTCTGAAGCATTAACATTTATTATAGCAGAAAATATAAATGATTGGTATAAAAAAAATTTGTGGCATGCTGATGGGACCAGAGTTTGGTGTTTGGTTGGTCTTCTGATTCGTCTGGCTGAGAAGGAAAGTACAATAAGTTTTACTAAAAAAACAAGAGCCAATCAATAATAATTACAAATAATAAATCTATAAGAAAAAAGGCGAAATGTTGAATTTCTCATCGTCTCCCTCTCGTTCAATAAACAAGACAAACACGGCCTGTTCTGTTTTTCTGCGATGTTCTTCGTCTTGATCTCCAGATTGGTTTAACTCCGTTGACTCAAATTTTTGAAAGAGGGAGAAACAAAACTCGGACTTGGACTTGGGATCCTTGTCGGCAATGCGACGCTGGTTCGCCGCGAAATCCCTCTCGAGAGAGGAAACCACCCTTTTCTCATTCTCTTCTTCTTCGGCGACGCAATTGTTCTCCCCGCGTTTCCACAAGTCTCTTATTCTTCCTCTCTGCTCAGATCCAAGAGATGTCCGCTAATTCTCATCCTCCCAATTCCAAAAATGTCCTCTGTAACGCAGCCGCCGGTGCCGCCGCCGGTAATTCTCCGATCCGCTTCTTTCATAACGAAATTACGGAGCTGGTCTCGAAACTTATCTTTGATTTTGTTCTGGTTTCTGATTCGAGTTTCTGATTTACAGGGGTTTTTGCGGCTACGTTTGTGTGTCCACTTGATGTTATAAAAACGAGGTTTCAGGTTCATGGGCTGCCAAAGCTCGGGGATGCAAACATCAAAGGTTTGTCCTTTTTTTAAAAAATATCAAATATTCTGCTCACCCACCAAGGATTGCTAATGAATATGGTTTTGTGGTTTGATCATCAGGTAGTCTAATTGTTGGGAGTCTTGAGCAGATCTTCAAGAAAGAAGGTCTGCGTGGCTTATACCGCGGTCTCTCCCCTACCGTGATGGCACTTCTCTCCAATTGGGCGGTGAGTTCAACTTCTTCTTCTTCGAGCTATAGAGGTGTAACAATTTTACATCTTTCTTGATTACCAATCAAGTCTTAAAATTTATTTTCTTTCTGCAGGTTTATTTTACAATGTATGATCAGCTAAAGAGCTTATTATCTTCAAATGGTTTGTCTTTAAACACACAGCTTAATTACTTGCTTCTGCTTCGGTTTTTAATCAACAAGCGTTTTTCTTTGGGAGTTAATCTTCTCTGTTTGTGCCTACATTATTAGATAAGGATCACAAACTCAGCGTTGGTGCTAACGTAATGGCTGCCTCTGGTGCTGGAGCTGCTACTACAATAGCCACAAATCCTCTTTGGGTTGTCAAGACTAGACTTCAGGTCCGTTTTCTCTTTGCCTGCAATCAAATAAAAATGGGAACCTTACAATTTGGTATTGAGCATTGCCATTTAGTCCCGAAGAACCTCGCCATACATAGATGTAAATTTTGTGTTACAGTAAGAATCTAATTCGAACACCATCTTGATCCCTGTTCAGACACAAGGAATGAGATCGGGTGTAGTGCCGTACAAAAGTACACTGTCTGCTTTAAGGAGAATAGCTTACGAGGAGGGGATTCGCGGATTGTACAGGTTCTCAATCTCCCCAACACATTATCTGTTTACTTCTGAAATTTCGCCTAATGCCAAAACTCTTTGTGGTACCAAACAGTGGTCTTGTTCCTGCGCTAGCTGGTATCAGCCACGTTGCCATTCAGTTTCCTACGTATGAGATGATCAAAATCTACTTGGCCAAGAAAGGTAATTATATGCCATACATCTTGTGAAAAGGTGAAATCTTTGTTGGAGAGATATGATCAGATGAACTAAGTTTGTGAACTCGACAGGTGATAAATCAATCGATAACCTCAGTGCTCGTGATGTAGCAGTTGCCTCTTCGATCGCAAAGATATTTGCTTCCACATTAACCTACCCGCACGAGGTATGATAAACCTCTAAACAAATTTTCAGTTGGGATGGGTTTATATGATTCACCTGTTGATCTCGGGGCGTGCGTGCAGGTGGTACGAGCAAGGCTTCAAGAGCAAGGACACCACAGTGAGAAACGTTACTCGGGCGTAAGAGATTGTATAAAGAAAGTGTTTGAGAAAGATGGGTTTCCCGGTTTTTACAGAGGCTGTGCCACCAATCTCCTGAGAACGACTCCTGCTGCGGCTATCACATTCACGAGCTTCGAAATGGTTCATCGTTTCCTCGTCACTCGTTTACCTTCTGAGCAAAGCTCTATACTTTAGTTTGTTTGTTTGATGATGATGACGATTACATGGTGTGGTTTAGTGAGGTTATTTTACAACTGTTACTAAAGTTTCCCCCTTTCGGGGAATAAATCAGAAAATAGGACTTCGTTTCTGGGCAACCCTTAGATTCGTCTCACAGGCTTTTGTTTCTGTTAGGAGAAATCAGAACTTGTGTGGGTTTATGAAGAATGGAAACTTGAGAGACACACAAAGAATAGTGTTTATCTTGGCATTGTAAAAGACTGGTTCTTTTTATTTTGGTCTCTCTCTTTGATTTTGTGAAAGAGAGAGTTTGTGGTGAACAGGTGGGCTTCATGTTCCTAAAGGAACCATTGACTTTTTTTAATGGATTTTATAGAAAAATCTTAACTAAACAAACAAAAATATTATGAAATATCTGGGCTTTGTGGTTATGGATTAGACTGTGTTTTCTTTTTAGCTGCTGTATGATATAATTAGGTGAGCTTTGGATCCATATCTTGATATTTTATGTATTTAGAATTGAATAAAAATGAAAAAACGAAAAAGCCAATGAAATGGAATAATAATGAAATTGATGGGTTGTTGTTGCACTTTGCTTTTTCTTTATCAGTATCTATCAAAACATGGGATACTTTTTTTCTGTTCCTAATTTTGTTATAATGTGATATTAAATGAATATCTTAGGGTTTCACACCCATTCTACAGGTCAAGAAAAGCAAAAACATTTTTAAGGAGGCAAGCAAATGGTGATGCAAACGGTGTGTTGTTGTTCTGCAAACGTTTTGAGAATGTATTTTTGCGTTGATACTCAGCAAAATTGTATTCGTTGCACGACCACTGAAAACCAATAATACCAGATATGTATGAAAGTAATTTAAATTAGTTTTGAATTGACTCTTTTATCAATTTATAACAAAAAAAAATATACTAGTATAATTTACATAAAAATCATCATATTCACTATTTTATTTTGTCCGTTCACACTATTACCATTTGTTCATTCGGTTTTACATTACTTTTTCGGCTTCTATTCATTTTTCTTACATGTATATATTTGTAAAAATTCCTGATTAAGCTAAACAACAAAAAAGAATCCGAAAAAGGGAAACCAAATAAAAGAAAAACGGAAAAAGGAATCATATGAATCGAAAGAAAGTACATCTTTTGTGAAGCATATAGATGACAACATGTGATCGTAGGCTCGTAGCATTTTTGTAATTCCCATACGATTTATAATCATGTTTGTGGGATCGGGATTACATGTGATGTGAGCGGTGAATTTAATTTAAATACGAACAGTGTTTTTTTTTTTTTTGTGTAGGATGTGAGATTTAATATAAAACGACAAAAATACATCATGTTTTACAGTGATAAAGTTAAATACCAGTAGTTAATGCTTTAATCTATAGGACTAATCGTCTCTCATGTCGTGATTACAGTTCAAGAGCATATTAGGGATGATGAAAAATAAATGACGCCATCACCGTGTACCACGTTATGGTTTACGATAATGAAATTTTGCAATAGTCTAACAATAATGCAAGAAGTATTTTGTTTACAAATTTCAATGTTAGCTTTCTTTTCATGAAATGTATAATCAAAATATTTATTATCATTGTCCATATATACAAACACAAATGTTTTTCGTTAATCCCTTTAAAACAGTGGGGAAAAGGGGATTATTAGGGGATAAAAAGATGCTTTAGCTCACCAAAAAAAAAAGTAATGGTATTGAAACATCAAAAAATGTCTTGGAATTATGATTGAATCCCACATGCTCTGTTTCTCCTCTTTATTCTTTCTCCTCTATTTTGTTTAGTCGAAAGTTTTTCGAAAGGTAAATACAGTAAATTAATTATATTTTAGATAAGGACAATGTATAAACTGTTCTTGTGTTTCACATCACCAGAATCAAATGTTTTTTAATATTCAGGTAGCATTTTGAAATTTTGAAAAAATCTCAATAGTTTTCAATTATTTAGTATGCTTTTTTTTCTCCTGATGTCACCACTGTCACGTGGCAGTAATCTGTACGCTTGTGTTATTGACTCCGGTGACAGTCGGTCGTAGTACCAACCAATAGTCGACTTCTTTGTGCGACGTGGGTCCCCGTCAAAGACGCTCTACGTGGGGTTACTTGCTAGGCTCGCATTCCGAACCTGATTAGGTTCGGCTCCGAGGCACTAATTTGAATTTTTTGAACGTTGAAGCTAACCCACTTCCGTCTATCTATCTCTATATTCACATTTTCCTTTTTGAGCAATTGTTTGTTTTTTTTTATAAGAAAATGAGATTATTACTACAATCTCGAAATCATATATAATCGGACGCCTTTTCATCAAAAATATCGCCGTCAATGTTTGGTGGTGTGGTGATCTCATTGACACCATAAGATGTTGACAAGTTGCCCATATACAATGTCTCTTTTATTATCGACTATGGAATTCAAAACCTTGATAATAATAATTTTCCATATCCACTAACTCACCAAGTGTGTGCATATGAAAAAACTGATCAACATTGATCTTAAGATTTGTTACTTACTGTCACTTATAACAAAAATTTATATTGTCTTATATCCTTCACGACAACTAATATTTTTTTTTCTTCTAAAGACCAAAAATCTAGATTTGTATTTGCATAGATCAACAAAACACAATATAAACAAACCATGTGTTACACAACATAACTTTAACCAATGATTTACAAATCAGACCGGACCACTCGGTCAAACCGGTTGAACTACGGATCCCATACCTTATTCTGTTAAGATTTTGTAAAATCAGAATAGCAGATGATCCAAAAAAACGTCCAAAGATGTTTATTATATATTTAAAGTTCATTCTAATCCTGTGTAATATTCCAAATTAGTATATTTACTAAAACATAAATAAACCGGCCGTTATGTACATAGCTTATATGGGGAAAGAATCAATCTTATAGTAGTTACCAAATAATGAAATGAATAGTTTATGAGAGAAAGGGGAATAAAATAGCGAAAAGATTGAGTAATATGGATCTAATTATTGCAGTAACTCCAACTAACTCTCCATTTTTAAAGGTATATTTGGAAAAGAATGTCTCGCCTAACATTCTACTTATATAACAACATTATATTATAAATAAATAAACATTCTTTGTGATTAATTGTTTTCCTTAGGTCGCTCAATACTAGAGTAAAACTTTTTACTTCATTTATTTCTTTGCTTCTAATGCATTACTCATGAGATCAACCAATTCACAACTACTATTCTAGCTACGTCCATTTGTTACTGATTTTAATGATCCATCTTATTTCACTTTGAGAAACTAACATTATATATTCACGAACATATGAATATACAGAGCAAAAATAACAATATCTTCATGAATTTGGAGATCCATCCCTATTACTAGGATAACAAGTTTGAAGTTAGTTTTTTGCTTATGTTTTAGTTATACTTCCTTACTTTGTGATGATTTATACTTCCTTTTCCTTACTTTGTGATTATAACATAAAAAGTACAGGTAATACTAATATCAGCAAAGACTATTTGATTAATTATTTAGAAAAGTAAAAATTTAGTAATAAACTATATGATCACACATTAAATTGCATCAAATACATCTAGGATGATCACTATACCAAAAAACCGGAAAAATTTGATCATTGTTCAAGGAAAAAATCCAAGAAAATTGGACACGACAAAAATATACTAATAATTAAATAGTACTATTAATCTGGTAATATGAATCAGTTATGACATTGATACAATCCAAATTACGCAACAATACTAATATAATAAATGGATAAAAATAGTAAGGTTTATAAATTCCAAACGGTAGAGGAGGCTCTTAAGTCTTGACCGAAAAAGATTCTGGCGTGATCCACACGCGCGGGAAAAGAGAAAAACCTGAAAATACGTTTATTATATTATAAAAGGTTGGTTAGGGAGGGAAAAACGAAGCGTGTTTATTTATTAATTTGATCAACTCCGAAGCTGTTAGGTTCGGGAGTGGAGAGAATTTAGAGAGAAGGAAGAGTGAAGAGGACAGAGTATAAAGCAGTTAGCTTTACAACCTTGTATTTGAGAGCATTCATGGAGGTTATGAGTAGTATTCTTCTCTATTAATATACAAAATCTCACACTACCTTTATAAACTCAGGCTCTTCTTAAGGAAAAATAAAATAAAAACGTAGAGAGAAATCTTTCAAGCTCTCTCTCTCTCTCTCCTTTTTCTGCCGTTTCTTAATCCATTGCAATCCGATCCGGAGGATCAGTGTGATTGTTTCGAAATTCGCAGTGGATTTTCCTACTTCGGAGGATCTTTGGAGCACTGCGACGGGTTCATGGCGGAGGACGGAGGATTGAGCTTCGCGGCGGCTTCAGTAATGGAGGATGTGTTGCAGCAACATGGAAATGGGCTGAGAGATCATGATTTGGAGTCTCGTCGAGCTGAAGAAGCTGGTATCCATCTCTTTGTGCCCACTACTAGTTTCACAGAGAATGTTTGATCTGATAAATTGATGTTTCTGGGTCTGAATTTATCAGAGTAGATTCTTCTTCCTCGTTGTTGATTAGTAGCCGTAGCTTTGGTAGTTTAGTTGAATCGTAGAGGGAAAGTTTATGGTTTAAATAGAATTTCGATCTTCTGCATTTGCGTAGCATCGAGGAGGTACGAGGCGGCTAATTGGCTGAGAAAGATGGTCGGAGTGGTGGGAGCTAAAGATTTGCCTGCAGAGCCAACAGAAGAAGGGCTTAGGCTTGGATTAAGAAGTGGCATTATCCTTTGCAAAGTCCTCAATAAGGTTCATCCTGGGGCTGTTTCAAAGGTAAATTACATAGACCTTCACTTAGATCCTTTTCAAGATATATAGTTTTAGGAGAGGGTCCTGAGAAATTTTAACCTCTCTTTGTTTGAATCAGGTTGTGGAGAGTCCGTGTGATGCCATTCTTGTTGCTGATGGAGCGCCGTTGTCAGCGTTTCAGTATTTTGAGAATGTTAGGAACTTCCTTGTTGCTATCCAGGAAATGGGGTTTCCAACGTTTGAAGCATCTGATCTTGAGCAAGTATGTAGTCGGTTATCTCGCCAAATTCTGAATTTTGCTCACTGTTTTCAAGAACTGTTTATAAATATGCTTTTTTTGTTTTGTTTGGTTTGGTAGGGAGGAAAGGCTTCTCGTGTTGTGAATTGTGTCTTGGCAATCAAATCGTATGATGAATGGAAACAAAGTGGTGGAAACGGAGTTTGGAAATTTGGTGGTAGCATAAAGCCTCCTTCACTTGGGAAGTCATCATTTGTGAGGAAAAACTCAGAGCCGTTCATGAACTCTTTATCGAGAACCTCATCAATCAACAATGACAAATCTCCATCTGAGACTGATTCTAACAAACTGGTTAGCCTCGTCAACCGTCTCTGGTTGGTTCTGTCTTCTCAAGTGGAATGTTTGATGTTTAAGTGTCTTTGTACCTCTGTTTTCAGTCCAATTCAGGTTCCCTGAGCACACTTGTTCAAGCTGTTCTATCGGATAAAAAGCCTGAGGATGTGCCCAAAGTGAGCTTCAGACTACTTCATTTGGCTCTGTTATGTCTTTTGCATTTCTGTTTCTTCTGGTTACTTTAAACCGTTTGGCTCTGTTATGTTCTTGACTAATGTTATGGTTACAGCTGATTGAATCTCTGCTAAGCAAAGTTGTGGAGGAGTTTGAAAATCGAGTTACAAACCAGTATGCGTTGGTATGTTTTCAGTTTCTTCTACTGTATCTTCATTGTTTGTTCATTGCTTCAAAAATTCTTCTAATCAAAAGAATTCTTTCACGTGAAGGTTAGAGCAGCTCCAAGAGAATCAACTTCTGCACATAACAACAGATCATTTCATAAACCTCTTGGTGAAAGAGAGGTAAAAATCTTCACTCTGTTTCTGTAAAAGATAGGTTAGAAGA